CACGGACATTTGAAATATTCAAATCTTAAATGCACCCAGGAGCCTTTTAAACCTACCTATCTGCTTGAACTAAACACCCGGCATCTTTTCTTTGCTGCAGGTTCATTAAGACTCGGGCTCAGTTTCTGAGCTGACGTCAGGTGTTTATTTTGGTTGAACTGCAGCTGAAATGCATTTGTTGAAATGACTGGTGTGGAACTGTGTGTAATTGTGTAAGATCGTGGTGTTATCGCTGTAGTGCGGAGCTTTGTGAAACAGGCTAATATTAATAGAGAATTAAAATACTTTTGTGGGTCAGATAGGACTGTGTCGTGGGCCTGATCTGGCCCGTGGGCCTTGTGTTTGACACATGGGGTTTAGACCAAAAAGGCACCAAATATAGTAACAGTACTTTAACAGTAGGCAAATCGTTTGCTCCCCTTTCCCCTCGTTATTGAGAGCATTATGGACATTCTAGCTCTCTCTGAAGGCAAAGACTCTGCAGAGCTTATAACAAAACAATCTCTGCAGTCTTTGGAAGAAAATCTGGATCCGTTTATGCGGGAGCTCTCAAGATCATCTGACACACATCACGATTCTCTTAGTGACCTAGTTATTCCTGGTAAAGTGTTGGATCATGGAGTTTGTCAGCAACATGTGAAGGAAGAAACAAGATGTGGAGCTGCTCAGGAATCACAGTCAAAAACTGTAGGTTGCTCTGTGAGGATGACTGGAAGGAGACGATTCCAGCGATTCTGAAGCTGTATTTCTTGCTGTGGGATCAGCCAAGCGCAGTCTGTATCCTCTCAAAGCAGTGACAGCTTACCTGTCAAACTGCCCAATCATGTCATCATTGAGACTGACTCGGATGAGTTCACCGTCGCCCCATCTCGTCTGCTCTCATATGTCCTGGAGTCTGATAGTAATACAACACAGGTAAAACGGATGGACTCCATAAGTGACCCCTCAGAGGACTTAACCCTTAGGACCCGGCAAAACGGTAGGTCACTTCATAACTTCAGAACGGTTTAAGATACAAACATGATCCACATATCAGCAGGCCTGCCCCTAACTAGCAAGTATGACATCATCAAGCTGTGACATCAGCATCAGTGAGTAATTCGGCTTGTAAAATCACCTAAAATCCTGATATTATTGCTCTGCTGTTTGGCCTTCATATTCCAACAAAAGGTTAAAACAGCAACATGATTCATACATCAGATCACTCATCAGACTCTGCCTCACCATCCAGAGTGATATCACCCACCTGTGACCGTCCATCAGCCAGCAATCCAGCTCCAAAATCACCCAAACCCACTCACTACTGTTATATTACATCTCTGCTTTTAGCGTTCTTATTATAAACAAAGGGCTTTCAGTTTACATTGATTTTGAGTATTAAAAATATCTGATATTAAATATGCAACTCAATTTGTAATTAAAAATAAAGGCTTTCTTGCTGTGTATCAGAGTTTTAGCACTGAGCCTGAATCCAAGAGGAAAGAAAATCAATAAAAAAACATGTCTGCCTTATGCTAATTTTTATTTTTACTCATAATAAAAAATAGAATCACCATCAAAATGATTGCACTTTCAGCTCACAGACACTCCAAACTAACAATTTCTGAAAAGATAACTACAACTGCACTTGTTTTCAAGATCTGTATAATTAAAAAAATACAAAATTTAGCAGGCGCTAGGTAAATTTTTGATCAGAAATGACCCAAATTCATAAAGATATAATAATTCTTTTAGCATTTACATGTCAAACAATGGCATATCTGAGCAGCCCAGGGTCTCCTGAAAATAACAACATATGGCATGTGTGACTGTCACATGTAAATACTTTATAATTGCTACTGCAATTGACCCTAAAAATACCAAAAAAATCCCCAAAATTTTAGGTTTCTAAGGGTTAAGGAAGGAAAAGTCGATTCCAACAGGTAATTATTTTAGTATTCATCTCTCAAACCTCAGTTTAAGACACAACAGCAGCTAGAAACACTAATTTGACCAATATAGCATCACACAGCACTTCTGTTTTACATTCTGTATAGTGAAGTTACAGGTTTAGTTGAGACGGCCCAATAATGAGGTATTAAATGATCAAACCGAATTCGATCGTATTAAATGTATTTTCAGTGTTTAACATGATAGATTTCTACTGCATAAAACTCTGTTCCATTTTTTTAAAACCTATATCCTTTGAACATCAGTTTACACGCTAATTTGATGCATAATTGTCTTCTTTCTTTTCTCGTAGCTCGTTAGGGGAAGTCCTTCTTCTCCAGGGTTGCTGCAGCTTTTACTAAGACCTTTCGTAAACGAGGAAAAGTGTCAGCTTGAACCAGCTGTTGACTGAACGTGGACACCTGCTCATTCAAATAAATAGAATAAAATAAAATAAAAGCATAGAAGGCAGTTTTATAGCATATAGTCAGAATATTATTATTATTATTAATATTATATATTATGTTAACTGTACAAAATCACAGTCTGACAGTAAACATGTAAAAGTCTGAACAGGGTGGCACTTAATTTTCACGGTTGGAAACATCACAGTCTTGGAGAAGTGCATCAAATATGCATGTTCAAAATTCAGTATTTATAGCAGTGAGCAGCTGCTTTTAGCAGAACTGTCTAAATTCAGGACATTGGAGAGGCAGATGTGCTAAATTGTGTTTCACTTCCATTGTTCTGGAAGCAACAGACTTGCTTCCAGAATTTTGGTGAAATCAAAGACTGTCAAAAATTCAGGGTTCCAGGATGAGTTATTGTGTAATGATCTGGTTTGACTTCATGTGAAATTCCTCAACAGCTGCAGTTCAACAATTATAAGACAGTAACGTCTGTTCCTCCATTAAGAACAACCCCCAATTTAGATTTTTATAGAATCTGAGTGTTTCTCTAAATAATATTTTTTGTAAATGAGATGTGAGTGTGAAGAACCTTTTAAAGAACCTCCACATAATGTAAAGGTTCTAGAAAGAACAATTAAATTGATATACAACCCATGCATGCATTGCTTCTTTAAACTTTATAAAGGCTCTCTACATTATCATATCTTAAAGGTTCTTTAGAGAACATATATGCACACACTGATGCACTCACAAATAGCACCATAAGATGGGGTTCTATCTGTGACTGTGGCCTCAACAAGGGCGACACGTTTAATGCAGCCTGTGGTGCAGAACCCATTCAGGCCACCAGAGGGCTCACCAACACACATAAGATGCTCTTCGGGTTCTCTCTCCGATAGTAGATCAGTACAGCCTGAACAGACACTTCAAGAAGCTCATCACAGTTCAGGATGATCTGTACAACGACTGGTCACTTCATTAAGCACACCTCCTTGTTTCTACACTCAGTGCCCATTTTATCAGCTCCACTGACCATAAATTAACTTTTTAGTTCTACAATTACAGACCGTAGTTCATCTGTTTCCCTGCAAACTTCATCAGCTCCCTTTTACCCTGTTCTTCATTGGTAAGGAAGCCCACAGGACCAACACAGAATATGTATTATTTGGGTGCCAAATGTGTCACTGCTGGACTGAGAATAGTCCACCAACCAAAAATATCCAGCCAACTGCGTCCTGTGACCACTGATGAAGAACTAGAGGTCTGTAAGAGGTCTAAATATATTATGTATATAGTATGTGTTTGTAAATTTATAGATGTGTGTGTACATCTATAAACACCCTCCAAACGGAGTTTTTTCAGAGACTCCAAACAGAGAGTTATGAGAAAAAAGAAAAACCGGCAAAATGGAGAACAAGAGACCAAAGAAACACACAAATGTGAGAATTTTCTCTGTTAAAAAATTATGATAACCACTGTATTATCTTAGTTTAATGTCGTTTCAACGTATTTTGGTCGTTTTCTTCATAACAAGCATTAAAAAAACGCTAATAGCATGCTAATGTCTCGGTAGCTAGCTAGCTAACTTTCCCGTTCCACCTTAAATAATCCAGCAGTTCTGACGCCTGAAGCACCAGAATGTAACTGCTGCACCATTTAAGGTGGAACGGGAAAATCGAACAAGAAGCTGGAGAATATCTGACTTCAGCTTCATATCACTGAAGAATTAGGGGTGGGTGATAATAAATAATTGCCCCCCTCTTTGAAGGCATATGATGCCCTAAATGTAACTAAAGCCCAGCAGTGAGGAGCTGAACTTTACCCTCCTCTGCTGTCACTGCAGACTGGCAGGGTCGCCTACAGAGCAGCGCTGGTAGCTGTTAATGAAGTGATGCTCTTTTTATTTGAGGGTCCCATTTCAGAGGGAAGATTTCAACCACTACCCTGTAACTCAGTTCTAAGGGGTTAGGGTGACACTCGAAAACAAGGGGTAGGGGTAAGTGTGAGGAGCTGGAGAACGAACTGCCGGCTGTGCAGCGAGTGGGCGGAGCTCGTTACTCTGACGTAGCAACAAGCTGCTCGTTAAGGAACTATAATTTGGTGAAGGAACTGCGAACATTAAAACATATTAAACGCCGCGTTCACGGCCCAGTTTATTAATTTATTACTGTATTTATTATATAACAACAGTGGAACTACGGAAAGCGAAAAGTCGTGGCCATGACTTAGTAAGGCGTGGGAACGAGATCACGGCTTACTAAGTCGTGGCCACGACTTCATCATCTCTTTCCCATGTCTTACTAACTCGTGGCCACGCATTATATTTATTTATACAGGATGTCACCAGCGGGGCTCCGTACATTTCACGCCAAACCACTCTGAATGATTTTGCTCACATCTAAACCATTGAAAGAGCAGTAATTTTGCAAAATCGGTGGAGTTCCCCTTTAAGAACTCTAAATGTACTGTGAATACGTTACTTTTTTATGTATTGTAATTTAGTACATTTAGGAGGCTGCATTCAGTATTCAGACGTTTACAGCATAGTACGACCGCCCCCCCCCCTCACCCCACCACCCCCACCACCCCCAAACACAGGCTGCGCGTACTGCGCCTTTAAGAGGCGACTCGGAGTCACTCATCGCTGCCACCGCTGTAATATTTCACCTCATAGCTCAAAGCGGTGGTGGCAAAACCGGCACGCATCCCCACCTGCGGCCATTTTCTCGACATGTAAGCAGTGTCCGTGTCCGTGGACGCGGGGAAAAGCCCTTTTTACGGGCCGTTCGCTCCATCCTTTTTGCGCTGAGCCGCTGGGTGAAGATGGTGAAGAGGAAAAGCCTGGACGACAGCGAGCAGGAGAACTGCCGAGGGATACCGTTCCCTATTCAGACCTTCCTCTGGAGACAGACCAGGTCAGAGATGAAACGAGGCATAACAGGTGTTTTCAGACGGGGTCGGTTCCTCCGCGGCCGCCCACACGGAGAGAACCCGAGATTTTCGGTGGCTTCATCTCGAGCTCTGAATATCAGCTCGAGGCTCTCCTGCAGAGCTGACTTGTGCGTCATCTTTTCCACGCACCGGTGTTTTCGCTGTTTTTTAGGCAGAGATAAAATATGTGAGAACACTGAACGTTCAAAATGTGAGGGAAACGTTTGAAAAACATCTCCCACTGAATGTCATCCGAGTATTTCACACCGCAGGCGAACGTTTATTACATGACAGCTCGTCAAATTCAGGCTGTGACTCTTCTTGTTCTTATGCACTGGTTGTACAGTTTCACTGTAGAACGCTGACCGGTCTGAGAGAATGTGTGTTTTGTCCGTTTCAGTGCCTTTTTGAGACCGAAGCTAGGGAAGCAGTATGAAGCCTCCTGTGTGGTGAGTAATAACAGCGCTCATCAGGGAGATTGGTTCCCCTCACCCATCCCTAATCTCCGCTCATTACACCTCAGGCTTCTGTCCCTGTCGTATCACTTATTTTGGACAGACAGTAATGTCGTTTGATCAGTTCCATGTAATTGTAAAATGGCAGTTTTTAAAATTGCAAAATTTTGATGGAGTTGCACATTTACTTAATAAAATGAACACAAACTGTAAAAAAAATAATGAATTGAAATTAATTGATTTAAATGTGTATATCAGTTCAGCATATCACATCCAGTTATGTGTGTGTCTGTGTGTTTATATTGTACTTCTAACTTATTACCAGGGTATATTTTGGTTTTTTTTCCAATCTGAATTTACATGCCCTAATCGTAAGGCAAATTATTCAGTAACTGCATGAAATAAATTTAAATGTATATTTATTTATTTATTTTTTGGGGGGTAAAAGCTCCACTCAAATGAACAGAACATGTGTTTTATGATACACATATTGCTATTTGCTTACAGTTCACTGCTGAAAGCCAAAAATCTTGGACACTCTTTGTATTATTTTATAAAAATAATGTTTACAGAGCAGATCACTGAAGAGACGCCATCTGTTTATAGTTTATAGCTCAGATTTGTGGAAAAATGGGTCGACTTTCAGCAGAAAAAAATTGTGAGTTCAGCTTCTTTTATTATAAGGGTTTAAAATGACATCACCCACCTATTTGACTGGAAAGAAGACAGTTACAGCTCTCATACGACCCCCACCTTTAGAATGTAGCTTATGAAATATGAAGGTTATGAAGAATATGACGAAGTGTGTTTTGGAACCACCGGTGGCCTCGAGTTGAAGAGGTTAATTTGTTTTAACCCCCTTGTTTGGTATTCTGTGTTTTGTAATGAATCATCATGTCCTACGATGGATTTTTAGGTTAATAGTACCCCCCCACCCCAAAAAAATCTTTAGTTCTTATGTTGATGTATGCTGAATGTATGCCATTAAGATGTTCTACCAGTTGTTGGCCCAGTTACATATCGCTGCTGTCGTTGAAGTAAAACTTCGTATCTCCCCAGTGTTAACTTTACAGGAGAAGGGAAAAACATACTTTATTTTTTTTGCAACTCAATTGACCAAGACAACATGCATTTTCAAATTATGTCAAAAACTGAAAAATGGAAATAGCAGGTTTTGTTCCGACAGCAGCGACATAATATAAGGTATATTTACGAATGAATAACTCAATCTGTTGGCTGTACTATGGTTTTGCTACTTATCACTCTGAAATCTGGATTTGGAATTCTTGTAATAACTTGGAGAGGTAAGAGGTGGGTAGCCATTGCTGTTTGATAACCTGAAAATCTCTGTGTTCCTCTCCCAGTCTTTTGAGCGTGTGCTGGTGGAGAATAAGCTCCATGGACTCTCTCCAGCTCTCACTGAGGCCATCCAGAGCATCTCACGCTGGGAGCTGGTGCAGGCAGCGCTGCCTCATGTCCTCCACTGCACCTCCATCCTCCTGTCCAACCGCAACAAGCTAGGTATAAACCCAAAACTGATGTACATACCGATGTGGTAGGATAAATCCAGTTTGGTTGTTCTTGTTTAAGTGAGATCTGGGAGTCAAAGGAAGCACCATGCCCCTGCTCTTGAGGTTATTGCTGGCTAGATGGTGTTTATAGAGTTTATAGCAGTGGTTCCCAGCCTTTGTCCTGTTGTTTTCCATGCTCTAACACATCCATATAAACTGGGGAAAGATTGATCAGCATTATTAGGTGTGTTATAACAGAGACAGTATCAAAATATCGCTGCTGTTGGAAGAAAATCTTGTATCTCCAAAATGGTAACTTTACAGGAGAAGGAAAAAACCTACTTTACTTTCAATGTAAGTCAATGGAACCAGACCTTTTTCCAAGTCATTTTGAGCCGTTTCTTTTGGTCCATTCATCATGAAATTTACGCACTGTGTAAAGGACAACCAGCATTTTCAAATCATGTCAAAAACTGAAAAACGACAAAAATGTAGATACAATGTTTCCTTCGACAGCAGCGATATGGAACAGGATCGTGAAGGATTATTTCACAAGATATTGGAGATTCGACTCTGGCTTGTCATTTTAAAATGATAGTACTCCTATAAAAGTATTTTTGGAGTCTGGTATGTAAAAGCAAAGCCTATTTTCTCTTCGCTTGCTTATCTTATTTGCTTGCTTTTGTCTGAAACCAAGATATGAACCTTGAGCACTGTCGCCACCAGGGCACCAGGACAAGCTCGGTGTAGCCGAGACCAAACTACTCCACACTCTTCACTGGATGCTGCTGGAGGCTGCCCAGGAGTGCCACCAGGACCTGGGACATGGCTGGTCTGGAGGGGGCAGTAGCGGCAGCAGTGCCTTTCTGCAGCCCTTGGGCAACCAAGGAAATCTTGAGCGGAGTGGCAGCACCCCTGAAGAGAACGAGTACGCCCGTGCCAAGCTTTACCACAAGAACATGGCCACTGTGGAGCTTTTCGTATTTCTCTTCGCTCCTCTCATACACCGCATCAAGGTTGGTCCTGAACTTCTGGATACTGTTTATATTGGATACCTTGCTACTTATTTTTTCCATATTCTACTATCAGTCTGTTCTGACAGTTCTTTATTCAGTGTAATGTTTATGTCAAGTATGTAGGTGACTGTAAATTTCACTGATGTTCAACATTTTGTATTTGGCAGGAGTCTGATCTCACCTTTCGATTAGCTAGTGGACTTATCATTTGGCAGCCAATGTGGGAGCACCGCCAGCCCGATGTTCCCGCCTTCTCTGCTCTCATCAAGCCAATGCGGAACATTGTTACTGGTGAGATCGCTTTTGTGTCCATAATGAGTTGCAGTAAAAACTTTTAGCGTCAAAAACATACCAGACGACTCTTGGTCCTTTCACGGCAGCAGAAAAAATCAGCGTAATATTTCCACTTCCATTAAACATAGTCGGTAAGCTGAGACATGTTTGGTGTCTGAATTCTGCTTCTTTTGTTTTGCATAGCTAACAAATAATGGGAGCTTAAAAAATGGCTTCAAGATTTGTTTTGCCACTGTTTCAACTGTGAGCTTTTGTTAATTTTTAAGGATAAAAAAATGTCATAGTATCAGAAGTCATGCAAGTAAGTCTGTCTGGAAAATGTGGGCTATAAACTTCCATTTTTGATGGCTACATTAGCCTTGTATCTTCAGTGATAAACAAAACTTTGGATACCAAATGTGGCACAAAAGGTGCTCATCAACTATTTTTGGTATATGAGGAAATTTAAGGACATTTGTTTTTCATCAAACTATTCCTTTCAATAAAGGCTTTGTTCACACAGCAGGTAAAAGTGGCCCAAATCTGATCTTTTTCTTCATATGTGACACAGATGTGTGTCTGTGTTTCAGTGTGAACAGATAAACATACTGAATCTGACATTTTCAGTTCTGTTTTGAGACGCTTTCTTATGTGGTACTGAAATCCGATACGTATCCGATATGCAGTGCGACTCAGCCTGAACAGCCAGATCGGAATTCGTGTAACTTTTACGTCAATCCAACTCGACATTCGTCACAATTTCCCGCTGCTGAGATTTCAGAAACATTTAGGCTGATTTTGTTGTCCCAGAAAATTAGAAGAGACTCATCGCAACCGCTCTGTGTTAGAGGAGATTTAGAAAGAAATGTCCGAACGCGGCCGCAGGAGAACGAGGCTGCAGCGTCAAAGAACAGTTAAAAAGTCCGAAAGCAAAGTTTAAAGAATCCGAGGACGAGAAACCAAAGAAGTGACCGCGCCCTTTTTACGGCTCGAACACATTCTGGGTGATGAGCCCAGCTGTCAGTCAGTGAAGCTTCATGATGGCTCCTGTGATGCTGGTGAAGATGAAGCTGATCCTCTGGGAGCGGCTGGCGTTCATTCATCGTCATGACTGTTTACCTCTGGATGAGCCGCATGAAGCAGCTTCAAGCTCTGTTCTTTTGTGCATGCGCCTCAGTTTAGGAGCTGATCTATTCAGACTGATGTCGCATACAGATCACATTTAAAAGATATTGTGAACAGCCAAACAAAAAAATCAGATTTGGTAAGAAAATCAGATTTGGGCCACTTTTACCTGCTGTGTGAACGTAGCCTTAAAGTGTTGTATCATCACAGTGCAACCTCAGATTGTCAAACATGTACCTTCCTTTCAACATCCACAGCAAAGAGGAACTCTCTGGTGAATAACCAGTGCAGCCCCTGTGGCACCAGCAACCCCTGCTCGACGGTAGGTCTTTGGAGCATCTGCACAGCCCTCCCCAGTTTTTTAGATCCCAGTGGAGAGTTATTTCCTCTCACAATGAAGAAATGTGATTTCACAGCTACTGTCATGTGATCTGGCTTCCTGTCTGACTCCCAGGTGGTGTGTGAATCAGCCCAGTCAGACTCCTCCTCCCCTTCGGTGACAGGCCAGAGCTGTCGCCGTGGCAACTCAGTGGAGAGAGGAGGCTCCTCACAGCAGCCATTCGAGAGAGGCCTCTCCCAGAAGAAGTGAGCGTGCAAAACTGGGCTGCAAGTGTGAAACATTTGTGGAGAAGAAATGTCTGAACCAGGAGTTCTCACTCTTAGGCCCAGTCCCATTTCTTATTTTTACCCCTACCCCTCGAGTGTCTCCCTAACCCACTGGAACTGGGTTACAAGGGGTAATGGTTGAAATCTTGCCCTCTGAAATGGGACCCTCAAATAAAAAGAGCATCACTTCATTAACAGCTACTAGCGCTGCTCTGTAGGCGACCTGCCAGTCTGCAGTGACAGTAGAGGAGGGTAAAGTTCAGCTCCTCACTGCTGGGCTTTAGTTACATTTAGGACATCATATGCCTTCAAAGAGGGGGCAATTATTAATTATCGCCCCCTGCTAATTATTCAGTGATATGAAGCTGAAGTCAGATATTCTCCAGCTTCTTGTTCGATTTTCCCGTTCCACCTTAAATGGTGCAGCAGTTACATTCTGGTGCTTCAGGTGTCAGAACAGCTGGACTGTTTAAGGTGGAACGGGAAAGTTAGCTAGCTAGCTACCGAGACATTAGCATGCTATTAGCGAGTTTTTTATGCTTATTACAAAGAAAACGACCATAATACACTGAAACGACATTAAACTAAGATAATACAGTGGTTATCGTAATTTTTAACGGAGAAAATTCTCACATTTGTACGTTTTTTTGGTCTATTGTTCAGCCAGCTTTTTTGTTGGGGGGCTTTGAAAAAAACTCCCTTTGGAGGGTCATGTAGCCCAAACACTTCGCCCTACCCCTCTATCTCAACAACAGTCGGGACTCCCTACCCCTAGACGTGAACGCGCAAAACAGAGGGCTAAGGGCTGAGTGGTAGGGGCGAGGGGTGAAATGGGACTGGGCCTCACTCTAACTCCATTTAACTCCTTTTAACTCCATTTAATCAGTTAGTCTCACTCTTCAACAGCTGATCAGGTGTGCTCCTGCCTGATTGGTATGAAAACCTGCAGCCACACTGGACCTTTTGCAAATAAGACTGGACACCTGTGGTCTAAACATCACGTCAGGGGTGTTTACATACATGGCAATTGCTTTGCTAGATAAGATCAGTTCTGCTAAATCCGTCACTCCATCTGGCGTCGTGTTAGTGTGTGTGCTTAACGCAGTTGCTGAGCAGCAGTGCTAAACAAACTGAATTTAAAATCTCACTTCCTTTTCAACAGATTCTCTGTTCTCAGATTGATTTCCTCTCTCCCTCCTCATTCCCCTGTCCCTGATAGATTGTCAGCGCCTGGCGGCCTCTCTGTGTCCCAGCGGGCAAGGTATGCTACATACTTCGATGTAGCAGTGCTGCGTTGCCTGCTGCAGCCTCATTGGACAGAAGAGGGGGTGCACTGGGCTCTCATCTTCTACCTGCAGCGACTGCGGCAAATACTACAGGAGAAGCCTGAGCGGCCCCCCGAACTGCCCATAGCACCTCTGCCTCGACCCCGAAGCAGCTCCATGGTAGCTGCAGCACCCTCTCTGGTCAACACACATAAAACACAGGTAGGTTGGACTGCAGATCTGTTGCATCAAGACATAAGTCTACAGTTAATACTACTTGGTTTGTAACCTGTCTGTGACAGTTGGAAAAAGATAATGAGCAGACACATTAGAGATTTAGGCCCAGTCCCATTTCACCCCTCGCCCCTACCACTTAGACCTTATCCCTTTGTTTTGTGCGATAGGGGTACGTCTAGGGGTTTGGTGTCCCGATTTTTGTTGAGATAGAGGGGTAGGGCGAAGTGTTAGGGCTACATGGCTGGTTTTTCAGAGACACACTACAAACGGAGTGTTGAAAACGAAGAAAACCAGCAAGTTTGTTGCACAAGAGACCAAAGAAACCCACAAATTTGAGTTTTTCGTCTGTTAAAAAAATACAATAGCAATTGTATTATCTTAGTTTAATGTAATTTCCATGTATTTTGGCCCTTTTCTTCATAACAAGCTAGTAGTTTGCTGAGGTCTGGGTAGCTAAATTTCCCGTTCCACCTTAAATGGTACAGCAGTTACACCTTTTAAGGTAGATCAAAATTTGAACAAGAAGCTAGAGAATTGATGACTTCAGCTTCATATCACTGAAGAATTAGGGGTGGGCGATAATAAATAATTGCCCCTCTCTTTGAAGGCATATGATGCCCTAAATGTAACTAAAGCCCAGCAGTGAGGAGCTGAACTTTACCCTCTTCTGCTGTCACTGCAGACTGGCAGGGTCGCCTACAGAGCAGCGCTGGTAGCTGTTAATGAAGTAACACTCTTTTTATTTGAGGGTCCCATTTCAGAGGGACGATTTCAACCACTACAACTTATAGCTCAGTTCAGAGGGGCAAGGCGACACTCGAAAACAAGGAATGGGGTAAATGTAAGAAATGAGACTGGGCTTTAGTTTTGTGACATTTCATGGTCATTCTCTCTCTGTCCTCAGGACATGACCTTGAAGTGCAATGAGGAGGGCAGGTCTCTGAGCTCAGAGACCTTCTCCAAAGTATCCATCACCAACCTCAGAAGACCAGCCGTCCCAGACCTCGCGTCTGACATGGGCATGAATATTTTCAAAAAGGTTTGTTTACAAATATAGGACTTTACTGTACATTTCAAGAATGAGAAAACTCTTTTGTACCCTACCAGCACCTTAAGACGTTTGTCCACCTTTAGTTTAAGAACCGCAGGGAGGACCGGGAGAGGAAGGGATCCATTCCATTCCACCACACAGGGAAAAAGAGGCAGCGGCGTATGGGCGTTCCTTTCCTGATGCACGAGGACCACCTGGATGTCTCGCCCACACGCAGCACATTCTCATTCGGGAGCTTCTCCGGTTTGGGTGATGAACGCCGCCCCCTAGAGCGTGGGGGCTGGCCCTCAACCATCATGGGTAATGCCACTTTTAGTGCTATGACAGGAGTTAAGATCTAAGATGCTAATTTGCTGAAATGAAATTTGAAAAAGAACATTTGGTTAAAATTCGATCTTCAAGCAATATGATGTACTTTTGTTTATTTTAATGTGTAAACAAGTCTGTTTGAGATTATGTAACAAATTGTGTAATGATTTAGGTATGCGGTTTGCACAGTGCTGATTGTTGGGGTGTAAGCTTCCATTACTAGCTACATTAGCCTCACAGCTCCAGGGTAAAACTAAAAAAGCAAACTTTGTACTCAAAAAGTGTTTGAAATGAGGGAAAATTGTACAAATTTGATTTTATTATTACTGCTTTGAAGATTTAATTTACTTGCGTAATATAAGCATCAGTAGATGAAGAAGAACCCAAACACAGAAGTTACTTTCTCCTCATTCAACATGAACAGAAGTGCTTTAAAATTTTGTGATATTTCATTGTTTTTTTATTATAATCATAATTTGTTTTTACTTCTTGTCAAAACAAGGATCTGTGTTGGATTGTGTTAAATGTGTCTGTTGGTTTGTCTTGAAGGAAAGTTCACTCGCCGAGGCAGCACAGACACAGCAGGAGATATGGACAGTCTTGGAGCAAAACACTCACATTCCCACCACAACTTGCCTGACCATTCCAACAGCCACAGTGACAACACCATCAAAGAGGGCGGTAAGACATCTCCACGCTTTAGGACTCTCAGGTGGTCTCACATAGTAAATTTGACCTTTTTTACATTGTTTATTTGTCAAATATATTGATAAATATTATATATTATGTGTTATATGTAACAATTTAGGCATGCAATTTGCACAGCGCTAATTGGAAGGGGCATAAGTCTCCATTACTAGCTACATTATAGCCTCACAGCTCCAGTGCAAAACTAAAAAAGCAAACGTTGGACACAAAAAAGACAATGTTATGACAATGTTAAGTCTCCTAAATTCATAGGTGAGCACTTGTAAATATCAAGCTTTCCCAGAAACTCATGGCGTTATGAACCAGTGGTTCTCATCCTGAAACTATCATTGAAGGCTGCAGTGTGTAGCATCACTTAGCCAAGCAGCTAAACAAGCAGCTTACGTAGCTATGTAATCTGTTTAAACATCTATTATTAATTTACTAAGCTCCACAGGCTTATCAGAAGAGGTCTGCCATCTGAAGTAGACTGTAGATAGAACTGTTAAAAGTAGATACATCACTTTGTTGAGAGTGGCTGAGTTGCTAAAAAGCTGTCAGAAGTATTGCTATACATTGAAATGCCTAATTAATGTCAAAATAGATTGTTTTTCATTTGGTTTATTTATGATCAGCAATGGCAAACCGTGTGTTTAGTCGCAGTTATATGTGAGTTATATGTCATTGCAGAGAGAGCTTTACAGTGTTTTCACATATAGTTCAATTTAAAAGAACCAAACGGAGTTCTGTTAAAATGAACCTGGAAGGGAACCAACTGCAGATGACCTCAGTTCATTTTGTGTTCACAATGTAAGTGAACTATGAAGAGGACTCAGTTTTCTTTCTGGTCCTTCGAGATCTCAGACCACTTTTTGTTCAGACCACAACTCCATTAGAGTTTCAGCGGTGAACTTTCATTCATTCAGCGCTCAGTGTGAAAGCAGCTTAAAATTGCGTTGCGTGCCCAGCTTGAGCCTTTAACACGGTAAAATCACACGGGCTCTCGCATCTTATCGCTTTAATATGTCAGCGCTGCAAACGAACCGATCTCGAGAGGTGGTCTCAGTTCAGTTCATTTTGGGTTCGTTTTTGGGGCCGTTTGTTTGGAATGTTCACATATGCAAAAGAAACCATGACTCAGCGGTCTCAGTCCACTTCAGATGCTGAAAAGGCCCAAGTGTGAAAATGCCCTTAAACAGACATTTTCTACTTTCAATTGTGCATTTTTTTTCATTGCATCTGTTATTTTGACAGCAGCCCTGCAAGACAAAGCTACCATTCCTCTCCTTTAGTGAAAGTGCCAAGTCAATTTAAATAAATGAATACAACGCTTTAAATTGAGAAGCTGGTAACTACTTATTAGAGAAGCTTTCTGTTCTTCTTTGCAGGCTTATCTACTATAACTGTATCTCTTTCTTTCTCTTTCTGTCTCACATCTCTCAGTCCGTTCCCAAATCTCTACCATCACCATGGCTACCTTTAACACAACCGTGGCCTCCTTTAACGTGGGCTACACTGATTTCTTCACGGAGCACATTAAGAAGCTGTGCAATCCCAACCCCATCCCGGAGATGCCTTGTGAGCCGCTGGCATGTTCCAACCTGCCCCGCAGTCTGACCGATTCGTGCATCAACTACTCCTGCCTGGAAGAAAGAGACACCATCGAGGGAACCAACAACTTCATCCTGAAAAATGGCATGCTGGATCTTACTGTGAGTGGGGGTCTTGCTCTTGCTTGGTTGCTTTAAAGCCAGGCATATACTGTGCGATTTTAGAAATGTTGTTTGATGGTGACAATTCACACTGTACATTAAAATTACCCATCGTTTATAGACGAAGTCTATGATTTATGTTCTCACATTGTGCAAAAATGCTCACTAAAAGCTGCAGTGTAGGTGCTCACAGTGTAAGTGAAACACGATGTGGACAATTTCCAATAAAGCTGTTTCATAAAATGACACACTGTGCATTTGAATATGGAGCAAAAATGCAGAAATGAAAAATGCAAAAATTACAGCTGCTTTGCTAACATTTCATAACATTTGCTATGCATTGAAACTAAAAACGGGTGGTGACTGACGTAGGCAGGACAATACAGTCGCTTTATAGCCTTTAAAAAAATCACTAGATCAACATTTATACCTGGCAATTCAGTTTACTCAAACTTTAAATTAAATTAATTTAAGAAACCCTTATTAGTCCCACAACGGGGAAATTTCACCTCCGCATTTTAACCTATCCGTGCAGTGAAACACCACATACACACTAGTGAACACACACTAGGGAGCAGTGAGCACACTTGGTGGGCAGCCCTGTCCACGGTGCCCGGGGAGCAGTTGGGGGTTGGGTCCTCAAGGGCACTCCAGTCACATACTGTCAGCTCAGGGAATCGAACCGGCAACCTTCCGGTCACAAGGCTGGTTCCCTAAACTCCACCCCACGACCGTCCCCTGGCATAAGTTGGCATATATGGATTTTGGTATCATAAATATAGAACTTTTTTATTTTCATTTTGTTAACCAACATGTGTGGGGGCATTGGTTGTGATTGTTATATGTGTGTGTAGTTTGTGTGCTAGAAATTGGTTGATGAGATCTTCTCAGACTGCAGTGCAAGAGACCAAAATTCCTGAGATATGAGGAATCGATTCTATTCTTTGACTGATAAAGCTGAAATTCGGCCTGATCATAAAGTTCACTTGGTCTTAAAAACAGGCTGAAATCGCACAGTGAATGCCTGACTTAAGTGGTAAAGTCTGCGTCATGTATGTAAGTATTTGACCTTGAATTTGAGTCTATTTGTGACATTTTAGCTATACTGATTGAGAACAGCTGGAGAACCATATATCCAGCTTTTCTGAGGTTTATAACAATGATTTCTCCTTGTTCGTGCTCGCCTTATATCTCAAGGCTGTCCTTAGAGCTCTGTATGCTGTCCTCAACCATGACATCAGCTCACGGATCTGTGACGTGGCCCTCAACATCATCGAGTGTCTCCTGCAGCTGGGTGTGGTGCCCAGCATGGCAAAGAAGATGTCTAAACCTGAGGACAAGGCGAAGGAAGCAGAGCATTCGAAAGAAGGCGCTGGCCAAGGTGTGGGCGGAGCTCATGGTGGCGTGAGTGGGGGCACAGGGGCGGCGCCCAGTGGAGGGAGTGGAGATGGTGATGGAGGAGGAGGAGGAAGTGGAGGAGGAAGCAGAAATGATATTAAAAACAACAAAGACAACAAGGTGTGTGTCTTACACTGACTTTTAGTTCCCAATTTAATTTGAAAGAAAGTGTTTTAGGAGGGAAGCAGATTTTATTTGACTGTTGTGGCGTCTTTAGAGATGAGTACCATCATTATCATCCATGTTATATTCCCAGGAGGAGGAATCTTCCCTCAGCACTCACAGACTGGCTCTTACCATGCTCATTAAGATTGTGAAGTCTCTTGGCTGTGCTTATGGCTGCGGGGAAGGCCATCGCGGACTCTCGGGAGATCGTCTGCGCATGCAGGTCACTATGCTCTACTTCCCATAAAATTCTGTAATGATGGTCTTTTAAAAAATGACATTAGCCAGATAAAGATGTCGCTGCTGTCGGAAGAAAACCTCATACCTCTAAAATGGTAACTTTACAGGAGAAGGAAAAAAAAATTACTTTACTTTTAATGTAAGTCAATGGAACCAAACGTTTTTCCAAGTCATTTTGGGTCATTTCTTTTGGTCCATTCATCATGAAGCACTATGTAAAGGGCAGCAGGCATTTTCAAATTATGTCAAAAACTGAAAAACGTCAAAAATGTAGATACGAGGTTTTGTCCCGATATACTGAAATACCGATATACAGCGATATACTGTGTTGACTACACTATTAGATATGCACTGATCTTGAGTTTTCTTGGCCATATCTTATTCTTGTTTCTTTACAGCTAAATTGGCCAATAGCCAATTTTTTGGCCAATTTTGATTTTTTTTTGTCTCTTTTGTAACCTGAAGCCCATAGTGTGTGGGCTAAATGAACAAATAGAACAAACTGTCACATTTTCAGTACTATATATCAGCCAAAGTTGCAGTATACACAACATTATTAGCTGTTTAGTGAGTCAAACTGCCATTTTGCCTATTTTAAAAGTATGACATCGACAAAAGACGCAACTTTAGCACATTAAGTCTTTCATATATATTCTACAACATTTTGGTACAGATGTAGCATCAACATTCAAATGCAGCATTAGGGCACTTACAAGACATCATATATTTACATTGTAAAACTGCAACACAGAACAGCCAAAATCAAAATAAATTAGCAGGTTTTGGATCGTGTGTTTGGAGAAAAAAGTCTGATGTTCTTGGCCAATTCTGATCCCTAGTCATCCCTAGTCACTTCTGTACCAGTAGGGGTGGGCGATATGGCAAAAATAGCATATTACAATATTTAAAGACGTTTACAAGATACGTAATCACTGTATTTAGTTTATTTGAAGCTTGATAAGTTTGAAAACTATGAATACAATTACTTTTATTCAACGTTTCACATACTGCACTGCAACCAAGCAAAATTAAACAGATTGAATTTACTTCTCTTTGTAAATTGGACAGTGTTATTTATGTACAATATCCATGAAAAGGATACTGTGGGTCACTTTATGATGATAACAGTAACATATCTTTGTATTGCGCGCCCCTATGTATCAAACAGCTTGTCAAAAAAAAATTTGTACAAATGACTTAATGATGGTTAAATGCTTTAGATTAAAACTTGATATTTAAGGTCTTCTTATGATGATATTTAGCACCTAACTTTGTCTTTTGGCATATCGTAGTAATTTGACTGTGTTCAGACTGTGTGGCTTTTACCATGTATAGGCCCAGAACTGCCTGACCAGTCTGTACAAGCTGGATAAGGTGCAGTTCCGGCAGACTATGAAAGAGTACGTCAACAAGGATTCACTCAACAACATAGTGGATTTCCTGCATGCTCTCCTCGGCTTCTGCATGGAGCCCATCACTGACAGTAAGAGGACAAAGCCATATCCCATGCTTTACCACACATGATAAACATGCCAAACCTGTAAAAACAGCTTTAACCCACATCAGTTAGCACAGATTGCAGACTAGCAAGTGTCAATTTTGAGCTGGCATAAAACAGAAAGTATTATTTTGACAGCAACGTTTGTCTCAGCTTGGGTGAAATCAGAATGGACTATGGGTGAGTTATTAGCATAGCCAATTAACGCTTTAAATCATAATTCTCCACTTTCATAACACCACAAGTGATCAAAGAAGATCATGACACATAAAACCTTCTCTGTCCCTATTGGACCGCATTTCTCTCTGTGTTTTTCAAGGCTTTCTGTGTTTGCCAGTGTCTTTTCAGCCTCTGTCCAGTCTGTCTGTTTTAGTATACAGTATCGTTATATATGGTATGACATGATCCCTGAAAACACTTTGGACAGTTTAAAAACCCAGAAAGGAAATATGCATTATTTAAAATTGAGCACGTAGGAAATAGGGCTGGGTATCAAATTTCTGTACTTTTATGGTACCGACCAAATTACTAACTGACAAATTACTACTAAATATAAAAAATCAGCGTCAATACAGAATTTTGAAGTAAATATTTTCACATTCAAGTTCAGTCAGTGAGTCAATAAGAATGATTGTTCAAAAATCTAGACTGGAATACTTTTCATATGCATGTCATTAACATCGGCCTTTCTTTATTAAATTGCAGACCATCAGTAAAGACGTCCAACCAAGCGAGGCTCAGTAAAATATCATTTTCGGGCTGGTTCTGACTGATTTTTTTCATGTGCAGCGTCCAGCTTTGGTTTGTTTTCTAGTGACTTTAATGTATTAGATTTGTTTTTGCCTAAAGGAATTCTCTCTAATCTACAACAAAGCAGAGGAGACATTTGACCTGTTCAACTTCAGATAAAAAGCACACTGTTCACCTGTAGCGTAGAGCTTGCGATAGGATTTTGAGCTATTTTGGGTTATGATGGCAGGAGGACCAGCACATCATCTCTTTAGCAGCATTTGCTGTGGATGCAGCCGTTCTAGAGAAGCTACTAGCTGGCACAAATATCAACGTTAGAGTACTTGCATAAAGTCAGTATTGGCTATACAGTCGTATGCAACGGTTTGGCGGCCTCTGGTTAAATGACAGGTTGATTTTCTAAGTGAAAATAAGTACACACTACACATAAGTGCACTTCTGCACATTTGAATTCACAATTATTGCTTATTTTAATATATTGGAAAAAATAAAGCATATCGCTGCTGTTGGAAGAAAACCTCGTATGTCCATTTTTGTCGTTTTTCAGTTTTTGACATAATTTGACAATGCCTCTTGTCCTTTACATTGTGTGTTAATTTCATGATGAATGGACCAAAGGAAATGACCCAAAATGACTTGGAAAAAAGTCTGGTTACATTGACTTACATTAAAAGTAAAGTAAGTTTTTTCCTTCTCCTGTAAAGTTACCATTTCAGAGATACGAGGTTTTCTTCTGACAACAGCGATATATTAAAAAAGTAAAACCAATATATTCAACTCAGCAAATGAACAGAAATTGTGCACTACAATTTGCAGAAAAATGCCCTGTTTTAGTTTTGCTCGCTGTACATGATGTGTTAATTCTCACTTAGAATGTCACCAAAACGTAATTCGACTGAGGGTGTTCAGACTCGGGGTTTCAAAGTTAGCGGTATCAGTCAGTTTAGGTCATGGGTTTAGGTCAGTTAAGGCTTTGATTTAATGTTTGCGGATGCCTCACGCTCATTTCTGGTTTACGCAAGCCGACTTTTAATATGTATTTTGTAGAAAGGCATCGAAAAAAGTATTCAGAAATCAATATCAAAACCAAGGTGTCAATATTGGTATCAGTATTGAAAAAATGGAACAATTCCCAGCCCTATTGGGAGAAAGTGGGGGGAAGCCTGGTCACAATATTTTGTAAAAGAAAGTTATGTATATTGTTTTAAAAATCTTAAATTATTTTTTTCTTCCAGAAACAATATATCAGACTTCACTATAACAATATGCTTTTCCTTCCTACAAATTTCCCCTGCACCCTAATTTAGTATTACACAAACAGTGAAGTGAAATTAATAAATTAGAAGTGAAATAATAAATTAGCCGTGTGCTCTAAAATACTAAGCAGGGAATTGAATTATTGTGTTGGAAATGCTGATCATGTCTTTTTGTTGTTCTCCCTTCATTCCTCTTCCACTTCTGCACCTCTCCTTCTGTCTCCCTTTTCCGTATAAACCGTGTTTTAGGGACTGGTACGGGCTCTAAGGGCAGTTTGGGTTGAAGTCTATAATAAAAGTTTTCTTTTTTTTTTCCAAGCCTGCCCTCAGATCGACCGTCTTCCCGTAAAACACTGACGTGCATCAGTAACTCTTCCTCCATTACTCAGTCACTCATCCTTTCAGCAGACTTGCCAATCTTAATATTAGTACATGACAGTACATAATACACGCTGAATACTTTTTTAGGTTGTCTTTTTTTCCCAAATATTGAGAAAATAACGTGAACTAAATTTTAATTCACTTACAGTACTTCCAGCTGTTGGCAAGTTAGTGAACATATGAGTGGAATGATAATGAAACCATGAAGGTCCCTTGGAGTGTGAGTTTTGTGCGCATGAGTGTGAGTGTGTGGGTGTGTGTGGGTATGTGTGTGTGTGTGTGTGTTTGGGGTGGGTTAGTGTTTCCTGAGAGCTTCATGTCTGTGCTGGCCTGACACCAATGTTGCCCCGCATTTCTTCTCTTGCAGAATACGGCAGTGCAGGTGAGAGGTCCAGGAGGGCGAATAAACGAAACTTCGGTAGATACACAATATCTAAATTTACAGCCAAAAACTAGGCATTACTCCCATTCCTGCACCCCTCCCTGTGTCTTAAGGTGACATTCTCGCCTCCAGATTTGGACGAATAGTGCTGGCCCCACCAAAAATGCAACGGTTTCTTCTCAAAAGACCAGTTTTAACAAATCTGTGAGAAAAAAAAAAATCCCCAGTGCTGTAAAATGGAAGCATGACCTGATTGTTAGGTCCAAGACTATCAGGCCGCAGACATTTGCATGTGTACAACCCTTCAAACCTGCAGTCCCTTTGGCGTCAGCCTCTCATATGTGCTTTTACGATCCTTGTGCCCCCCTTTCCTCTTCCATTTTGTGCGTGCTGACGGCTTCCCCTGTTTGTTCTCCCACTCATGCCTGAGCCTCACTTCAGTTGCTCCATCTTCACTTCCAGCCTCGCACCCAGCATCTAAGGTGGCTCCTATGTGTTTTCAGACAAGGCTGGCTTTGGAAACAATTTCGCCACAGGAGGTGATAAGTCTCTGGCTCAGAACATGGAGGCAGTGGTGGTGGGCTGCATGTTCAAATCCCTTATAACCAGATGCGCCTCCACTACACATGAGCTGCACAGCCCAGAGAATCTGGTGAGGGCCAGGCCCCAGGCCAGTCCAGTTTAGGCTGTTGATTCATTACTTTTATGAGCAGTCTCACAGCTGCTGTGTGTTATATTAAAGTGTGTTTATCATTGTAAGATTAATTGAATGTGTGTTATTAATGCTCTTAGGAAAGCTCGGAATGATTTGCTCGGTAAAGCATTTTCTCTTTGCCTCTCCCTCTCCCTCTCGAACGCCTCGCTCACACTATAAAGGGTCTGTACTGCGACATTCGGCAGTTGGTTCAGTTTATCAAAGAGTCGCATGGCAACGTTTTCCGTCGCGTGGCCCTGAGCGCTCTGTTGGACAGTGCAGAAAAACTCAATGCCACAAAGAAACCTGAGGAGAAAGAGGACGCCAAGCCCGGTGCACAAAAAAGGTTAGCCCCGCCGCACTCTGCACACAGTTACTGGAACACGCCCTACTTCAGTATAACCCAGTTCAGCACCACTTGTAATTAAATTTAAATTTAATTACAAAGATTTTTTACCATTATTACCTTATTTTCATCATTTTATTATTTATTTGTTTGTTTATTTATTATTATTCATATTCTTATTCTTATTTTAATCACTTTAATTACTTTAATCAATTTAATTACTTTATTATTATTTTCATTTTAATAATTTTTTTGTTTACTTTTTGATATTATTCTCCTTTTTTATTTTAAATTTTATTTGATTTTATCAACTTTTACATTGTAACTACATTTTAATTACTGTTTTATATTTTTTATTGTATTTTTATTATTAATGTTTCTTTTTTTTTACACTTACCTGATTTGAGTCTTTTTTTATTTATTAAATTAAAATTAAATCAATTATTAAATCAATCCCTTGTTCTGTATCAACTCGGCAACATTGTAAATGAGGGTCACCCTCAATGTTCTCCGAGATTAAATAAAGATTGATTTATTGATTGATTGATTGATTGATAAAGAGGGCAGACTGGCCAAAATTAAAAGTGTAACCATTGCTACAGCTGTTGTAAACATGTCTACTTGCTGCCTACAGCAGTGATACAATAGTCATGAGAGTGAGATTTTCCAGAACCTGATGGATCTGATGATGCATCTTGAAGGTGGGAGGAAAAAATCACAAGCAGTTTGGGGCAGATACTGGAGGGCAGGCTGAGGGAGGTCATATAGCTAACGTTCCTTCTAGGAAGCTGAATGTGACATACATTTATTAACCCCTACATTAGTAGTGTCTTGGTATATTTCTTTGCCACTGTATATGGGATTCCCAATGATTGTACTGAGGTATTTGTGTAATGCATGGTATTGTTGTGAAAAAACAATAGTGGACAGAACCTCAAAAAGAAAAGAAAATTGTAAATTTTGTAAGTAATAATTTCTGCTGGAATGCCCCTTTGAGATTTACATTTATATATTTAGCAGATGCTCTTATTCAGATTCACTGCAGTAACACTGCCGTGGTGGCGGTGTGTTAGTGTGTGTTGTGCTGGTCTGAGTGGATCAGACACAGCAGTGCTGCTGGAGTTGGTTGGTTATCCTCTAGTCCTAGTGCTGAGAATGATCCACCACCCAAATAGTACCTGCTCTGTGAGGGTCCATGGGGGTCCTGACCACTGAAGAACAGGGTAAAAGGGGGCTAACAAAGTATCAGAGAAACAGATGGACTACAGTCTGTAACTGTAGAACTACAAAGTGCACCTATATAGTAAGTGGAGCTGATAAAATGGACAATGAGTGCAGAAACAAGGAGGTGGTTATGCCTGATCGGTGTATTTTGCAGTTTGTTCTTATAATAAAAGAAATCAATCGACTGCCGCATCTTTAAACTATTCATGTGCATTGACTAAGATGTGATGCTATGTGTGTTTGTATTAGTGAGGAACAGATCCCCGGGGCTCTTTTAGGAAGGAAGGACTTCTGGAGAAAGATGTTCAAATCCCAGAGTGCTGCCAGCGACACCAGCAGTCAGTCAGAGCAAGACACATCTGAGTGCACTACTGCCCATTCGGGCACCACCACAGACCGCCGTTCCCGCTCGCGCTCCCGACGCATCTCACTGCGCAAAAAGCTCAAATTGCCCATAGGTGTGTGTGTATGCTTGTCTGTCTGTCTGTCTTGCATCCAGCTCTCCTTGTTAATGAGCTTGATTATGGGACTTCATCATTCACTGGCTGACTGAGAGTCAGATCAGAAATTATTCTAACGTCATAAAAATTTGTTTGGCTGGGGTCTTTTCATCTCTTGCCTGTCTGTTTTTTGACATTTCAATGTTATTGGGTATTCTGGCTCACCATCACTGTGTGTGTGTGTGTGTCACTGACATATGTCATGTCCCATTACATAATCGTTAGGCCATGTGCACGTTTGTGAGATTAACATGTTATTGCTCCATCTGGCAACCCAGTCCTTTGCAGCTGCTGGCTGTAGGGCCCACAGAACTTTGTAAATGTGATATTTATTTCAATGTGGTTTATTTGGAATTTCGAAGCCTATGTATCTTTGATGTGCACATGGCTTATGAGTTATTGGTGTACTGAAAATATGAAAATCTGGGGACCACAACCATTCATATGTCTCTTTTTGTGTGTGTGTTCTTTTGCCACCAGCATGCCGTCGGACTGTCCGCCTTCCATTCACTCTCTCCGTCTTACGTATGTGTGTGTGTGTGGGTGTGTGTGTGTGTTATTTTGTGATCATTATTTGCTCTACAGCTTTTTGAATGAAGAATATGTGGAATGGAGTTTAAATGTTTGTAAGTTCTGTGTTTTGTCTATCTGGTTTGCTCTTTGTGTGTGAAAAGACTTTTATAGTCTGTGCATGTGAGCTGTTGTACCTTTTGTCCTGCCCCAGATCCCGTTCATTTCCATTCCATGTTGCTGGTTTGATTACTGAGCCATGTGTGAAGGTGTTATTGCTCCAACTGAACCAAGCATCGTCCTAACTCTGCACTGCCAGGCTGCCCTTAATAGGTAGCGCTTTTACCTAACAAAAAACACAACGTGGCTGTGTTTCTGCGCTAATTGATTAATTAAATGGGTGGCCTGTTTTAGTTGGAGCAGGTGTGTGTCCTGTTGTTCACCCCTCTCCATTGCTGCACGTTTGCAGGAAACTGGCTGAAGCGGTCCTCCCTGTCGGGACTGGCTGACGGGGTAGAGGACCTGCTGGACATAAGTTCAGTGGACAGACTGTCCTTCATCAGGCAGAGCTCCAAGGTGAGACCAAGTCAGCTACTCTGCTGGAGCTAAAAAAATGCTCTTAAAGAGGAAGTATACTGTTAGATCACTCAACATTTAAAAGCCCATATCCTACATTTTTCTTGTGTTTTATTTTTTCCCCCGAGGTCCATTTATGAGGTTTGTGTGGTTTTACCTACTCAAAACAGTCATAATTCATTTGTGCATAAACATTTCCAACCTCTATTTATTCCTTTGAATTAAACAGTATGTTTTTATTATTGCATCTTTAAGATTGATGTATGTAAATTACCCCTGATTGACTTGCACCTCGATCCCAAAGTGGTCTTCACTTATAACTTCACAGTGAATGGGCAGAGCCGAACTGCTGTAAGCTGAATAGACAGATATGTCGTCGCTATCCACAGTTTACAGGAGAAGGCAAAAGCATTCCTTACATTTAATGTAAGTTAATGTAAAGAGATTTTATTTTAAATAATTTTGGAGCATTTCTGTTGGTCTGTTCACCAGAAGATTTTCTCACAATTTAAACCGCAGTTGCTGAGCTCAAATTATGTAGAAAACTAAAAAGACTGAGATCACAAAATCTATGAATTAAAAACAAGCTGTTTTTGTAGCTTATTTTCCATATATGGACTGCATGGACTGGGGAGGGAACAGTACATTTTGAAACTTAAGCAATGTTTACACACTAGGGAAGGTTAGCAAAAACCTGAAACATCATGCGAGGGCATTTCACTGATGCTGTTGCTTTTATACAACAGTTAAATCACTAAAGCAATAAATTAATAAACTGGGCCGTGAACGCGGCGTTTAATATGTTTTAATGTTCGCAGTTCCTTTACCAAATTATAGTTCCTTAACGAGCAGCTTGTTGCTACGTCAGAGTAACGAGCTCCGCCCACTCGCTGCACAGTCTGCTGTAAGCCTCGCCTATTGAAGTACAGACTGAGCCATAAAAGTGCCGCAATATCAAGTTCAGCTCAGTTTTGTCAGTTTTTGCCAGATCAGTATTAATGTTGTTTTGTTCCAGCCAGTCTGTAAAGCATCTTACAGCCCATTTAGTTTGGCGAATGGTGTTGGGTTCATTTCTGGCTGATTCCAGGTTGTTCAGCTGTTCTTCTGTCTCAGCTGTCGACTGAAAAGCTGCTCAATGGTGATGACAGTTTGGGAATTTAATTAATTTTTAACTTAAAAGTGTCCATTTTCTGTTTGTGGCAAAGTAAGAAGTAAAAACGTTCAAATGTCTTGGGCGTCTCCTACAGCTGTCAAAGTCGTTGCTTAGCAACGGCGCCTCAGCGTAGTGATACAGTGTTTGTGAAAAACCCGTGATGTTATGGTGAAATAACAGCACGGTTAGAACACTTCTCAACCAATCAGCTTGCGTGGCAGGAACTAACTGTTGTATAATGTTATTTAGGACAGGACTCTGACTTGGCCATTCTACAATACAACAGATCTGTTGATTTATTCTTGTGTCTTGGTTTACTGTCACTGTCAGATGCATGATCTGCAGAAGACTGCTGAAACATTTGAAAATAGAAATGCTATGTTTGTAGACCTCTACCTCTACAAAATCCAAGGCTGTTCCAATCAGAAAGGTCCATTCAGTACAGCCAAGAAATGCAGCCTACATTCTGACAGTTTTTGAGGATACTGCCAAAATACTGTTCACGGTTTTCTGTTGGCCAAAATCCTTTGCTCATGCATCCGAAAGTTGAATAGATGAAACCATCTACTTCACGTTGTTTAAAAAGGCCAGTAACATATCGCTGTTGTCGGAAGAAAACCTCGTATCTCTGTTTTTGACGTTTTTCAGTTTTTGACATAGTTTGAAAATACCTGTTACCCTTTACGTTGTGTGTAAATGTCATGATGAATGGACCAAAAGTAATAACCTAAAATGACTTGGAAAAATGTCTGGTTCCATTGACTTACACTGAAAGTAAAGAAGGTTTTTTCCTTCTCCTGTAAAGTTACCATGTTTGAGATACAAGGCTTTCTTCCGACAGCAGTGATATATAGTTACATATACAGTATGTTATTTCATTAGCTGTGTATCTGTTAAAAAGGGTGTAAATTGAATGCAGGCCTGATTTTGGTGAGTTTAACAGTTTTTAGCTTGTAGGACATCGTTTAATTACAAGCAAATTGATTGGACGGTCACATATTACATTATTCACATCAGTGTTCTGCTTGTCAACTTATTCACATCAGCAGTATTTTCTCCATCAACTTTTTGTGCTCTAACTCATTTCCGATGACGTAACAAAGCAGCCTTGATAGACTTTGGTTTTCCATTACGTAATACAGAGGAGGACTCTTCGTAGGTCAGTCCTACTTAGGATCCACCTTTTGGCTGCCAACTAGCTTTTTAAACACAGGTATAGTTGTTACTTAAATGAAGATCATGGCGAGTTTCCTGCACTTTCCTCCACAGGTGAAGTTCACTAGTGCTGTGAAGCTGTCCGAGGGAAGCGCTATGGAGTACGGCCGGGAGGAGGAGGAAAATTTCTTCAAGCGGCTCGGTAAATGGCGGTCCGGTCGGCGGAACCCATCCAAGCTTCACCACACAGAGGAGAAAGATGGTAGAACCCTGGGGTGTTCCCCCGGCCCCCCCCTCCCCCGACCTCCGCTAAATGCTCTGTGTTTGTGCCTGTCCGTGTCCTGTCCTGCGCTTCTGGTACACTCAGTGTTCTCTACCATCTTCCATGCCAGCTCTGTGTGTTTGTGTTTGTGCGTCTCTGTGGGAAGTTGTCCGCTGGCAGAAGGACAGTGTCTTACGACGTTATTTTGCTGCCTGTCCTGGTACTGTGACTTGCCGTGGCTTGAAATTGAAGCTTCCAGCTCTCCACAAGAGATGCCTAAATGTGAAGTATTGGATGTTTAAGTGGGGAAGTACATAAGCATCATGTTTTCACAGCTGTATCTAATCATGTTTCCACACTTGGAAATGGACATTAGTTAAAAAAAAACAACCAAAGAAACAAACCATTTCTGTTAAAGTCTGTAATTTAAAAAATTATATTATGAAAATAGTTTAATTATATGGTATCCATGTATGCTTTTGTTTTGTCGCATTGTTGGGCCATAAATTTGACCAGCTTTACCATGTAACTTTTGCCATTTGTTGACATTGTACTGTTGTTTCACCACCGCTAGGATGCCATGGATTTCAGGAGCGCTTGGTTGCTAGCCAGGAGGCTATGAAAAATAAGAACATAGTGAACCTGGGTGCAATTAGACAGGGCATGAAAAGGTTCCAGTTCCTCTTGAATTGCTGTGAGCCAGGAACCATCCCTGATGCCTCCATATTAGCTGCCGCACTGGACCTGGTTGGTTCTAATTATTCTACTCTCAACATAGACACATCACTATGGTGACAGAGCTGATATAGAGACCACTGATAAAGAGATAATGGCCTTTTCTGTGTCACCTGTTCCTTGTGTACACATCCCATAAGCGATTGATTTGGAGCGTGCTTTGCCCTGTGTACACCTGATGTGTATTTGTCTGACATGTTCCCACCAGGAAGCTCCAGTGGTGGCTAGGGCATCCCTTTTCCTGGAGTGTGCCCGCTTTGTGCACCGCTGTAACCGTGGCAACTGGCCGGAGTGGATGAAAGGTCACCATGTCAACATTACCAAGCGAGGGCTCTCGAGAGGACGCTCACCTGTGGCGGGGAACAAAAGGAACAACAAACTCCAGTGGAACGCAGCCAAGCATTTCTACCAGTGGGGGGATGTAAGTAATAACAAGTCCCCAAATACCTTGAGGTCCCTAATCCTGATCCTGAACTGTGCCAGGACTGCACATTTTGGTTTAAGTTCTCTTGATCCCTTGATCCAGCATACCCACTTTGACTCAGGAAGGACGGCATTGTTAATTAGCCAATTAACTGGTTTAAGTGTGCAAAGAAAACATATCAAAATGAACTGCTGCTTCAGGTCCTTACACAACATTTCTATAGGGTTAAGGTAAGTAAGTAAAGTTTATTTATATGGCGCTTTTTACAACAGGTGTTGTCACAAAGCAGCTTTACAAGGCAAATCAGCATTACAGAAAGAAATCCGGGTCCGAGCCCCCATGAGCGTCGCCAGTGGCGACAGTGGCAAGGAAAAACTCCCTAGGAACAGGAAGAAACCTTGAGAGGAACCAAGACTCAGAAGGGGAACCCATCCTCCTCTGGTCGACACCGGATAGTAAACATTGTTAGTACAAAAACAGGGAAAACAGGTGGAGCAATGATTAATTTGATTAGTTTAGGTCATGCAGCAGCAGCATCAGCATCAGTGGGGTCAGGTTGTGAGGGTGAGGTTTGCACGGCGTAGTACAGCATGGAGCTTGATGGTGGTCAAGCCGGTCGAGAGGGCTGGCGAGCAGTGGCACCCGATCAAGGCAGAAGAGGCAGCAGCATCAGACGCACAGGATGGGCAGCTGTTCAACTCAGCAAAGGAAACGAAAGAAAGGAAAAACACACAGAGTCAGTTCTGTAATGGGTGATTGATTAATTTGATTAGTTTAAATGATTGATTAGTTCAAATGATTAATTTGATAAGTTTAGTTTATGCAACAGCAGCATCAGTGGGGTCGGGATTGTGAGGGTGAGGCTTGCATGGCGTTGTACAGCAAGAAGCTCAATGGTGGTCAAGCTGGTCCAGAGGGCTGGCGAGCAGTGGCACCCGATCAAGGCAGAGAGGCAGCAGCAGCAGCATCAGCATCAGCATCAGTGGGGTCAGGTTGTGAGGGTGAGGTTTGCCCGGCGTAGTACAGCATGGAGCTTGATGGTGGTCAAGCCGGCCCAGAGGGCTGGCGAGCAGTGGCACCCGATCAAGGCAGAAGAGGCAGCAGCATCAGACGCACAGGATGGGCAGCTGTTCAACTCGGCAAAGGAAAGAAAGAAAGGAAAAACACACAGAGGGTCAGGACTTTGACTTGGTCATTCCAAAACATTAACTTTATTCTTCTTTAACCATTCTTTGGTAGAATGACTTGTGTGTTTGGGGTCCTTGTCTTGCTGCATGGCCCTCGTTCTCTTGAGTTTCAGCTCACGGACAGATGTCCTGACATTTTCCTTTAGAATTTGCTGGTATAATTCAGAATTCATTGTTCCATCAATGATGGCAAGCCATCCTGGTCCAGATGCAGCAAAACAGGCCCAAACCATGATACTACCACCATCATGCTTCACAGATGGGGATTTTTTAGAAGGTTTTTATACTGGAATGCAGAGTTTTCCTTTCCAAACATAATGCTTCTCATTTAAAGCAAAAGCATTTACAGTACAGTGTAAGATTCCTGTTGGTGTAGTTTTGAGAATAGAAAACCATACAAAACAGTCCAATTAGAACCTTTATCATTGTAAGACATTCTTTTAATATGGAGTGCAGTACTCAGTAAGCATGAGCTCTTTAATCTATGCCATGATATAATGATATGTTTGAAAATATGGGTTGCTGGGTGTTCAAATCTTTCCACTTTGCTCTTTCAAATTGAGTTCTTTCAAATCAGGCAGTTTGGTTTACTTGAACGTCTCCAAAGGCCCAAAGAATAAGGATCAATTTATAGTCCTACACCAAGAATCATTGTTTTCTTTTTAAGATTTAATTCTTGCCTTTGCTCCATATTTTCTCCGGAAGGCGATTGGCACTCGCCTGAGTGAGTTGTGCCACTCAGACAGCGAGAGCCCGGCTAACATCCTCGGCTTTATTTATGACGATGAGAGCAAGAGGAGGGCAAGGAAAGAGGATGAAGAAGAGGACTTCCTGGATGACAGTAAGAGAAAGAGTGTGTTTTAAGTTTAAACGTGGTAATTTTTCTTGCACTATCATGATGTGTCTGTTGCATGTGCATTTCTGCAGATACAGTCAACCCTACGAAATGTGCCTGTCCCTTTGCACTGAAGATGTCTGCTTGTCAGCTGCTTTTGGAGATCACCACCTTCTTGAGAGAGACCTTCCCCTGCCTTCCTCGTCCTCGCACAGAGCCTCTAGTGGTCAGTGTCTGTACTTATTCCAAACTGTGGGTGGTTCCAGGCTTCAATTCCTTACTCTCATGACTACATAAGTTATATATTAGTTCAATAGTAACTACTGAAAGATTTATGATGGTTACTGAATAATAAATTTTAAGACTAATAACTGCCTGGATACGCTTGTGACATTGTGTGCAATATACTTTTGCTTGATTGCGCCATGTAGTCATCAGCAAGTGACAAAAGTATAGTGGGAGGGTTGGGATACATTAGCAAGAGCCCCCTGGCATGGACATGGACTACACATCGAAAGAAAACATGCTAAAGAAATTAAAAATTACGTGATAAATATACAACCCCAGTTCCAAAAAAGTTGGGATGCTGTGTAAAATGTAAATAGATGTAAATAAATACAGAATGCAATGATTTGCAAATCTCATAGACCCATATTGTAATCAAAATAGAACATAGAACACATATCAGATGTTAAAAGTGAGTCATTTTACTATTTCATGAAAAAATATTAACTCATCTAGAACTTGATGGCAGCAACGCATCTCAAAAAAGTTGTAGGTTCTATTGTGAATAAAATATGGGTCTATGAAATTTGTAAATCATTACATTCTGGTTTATTTACATTTATTTACATTTTACACAGCATCTCAACTTTTTTGGAATTGGGTTTGTAGTTACTTAAGTGCCTCTTGAAGCCACAGGTGGTGTTTTTAGTGACATTTAAACCGTCTAACTTGATTGGCAGTCAAGATATACGCAATCTTTGGTGAGTCACAATGCTATTGTCGATCGGCCCAAGCTTGTGCCTGGATTTTAAGAGGATGTGATTTTGCAGATTTACTGTAAGCAACTGTAGAAGTGTGACAAGCAAAGATTCGCACACTAGGAACTAATTTGCAACCTGTAATACACCACTAAATTGGAAAATTGGAAAAAGTCTTAAATTTTTTGGATGTATTTGATGAAATGTCATGATGGGCAGGTTCACAAATGCACCTAAAGTCTTGAATTATTTCAGGATTTAGAGAGTTGCAGGCTGCGTCTGGACCCAGAGCTGGGCCGACATCGCTATGAGAGAAAAATCAGCTTTGCGGGAATTCTGGATGATGAGGATGGTCATGATTCCCTGAACAGCAGCAGTCACACTCTGAAGTCTGATACTGCATGTGATGAAAAGAAATCTTCACAAGAGCCCCTAGGTATGTTCGTTGTCTGGAGACGAAATGGTCTTGTTTGTGAATTTACATATATTCGACTTTGCTCTGGACATCTCCTCCGCTCTCCACTTCTTAGCTCCCATCAGGAAGATCCGCATCGGAGGCTCTCGCCTGCTGCAGATCAAAGGGGCCAGGAGTTTCAAGGTGAAGAAAGGAGGCTCCCTTTCCTCCATCCGTAGGGCTGGAAGTCTGAAGAGCACCAAGATGTCCCGGCAGGACTCGGAGTCCGAGAATGACGCTGAGTCTGATCGTCTGCTGTCTCAAAGCAGAGACACGGTCACTGATATAGGTGTGAAAGCCTCTAATTATTAGTGATTGTCTTGACCTGAAGGTTAAATAAATAAAGCAGACAAACCTTTTCGTGGTCACATGTATTTCATAATCTAATTAGGCACAGGAATCACACTGGTGAAGTAAAATGTGTGTGGGTGTGTATTATTATTTGATTTTAGGGAGCCCCTGGAGTGCCAGTGAGCCCAGCATTGAGCCTGAAGGTCCTGGCAGCACTGGGGGAGTGGAGGACAACTACCACCGCAACATGTCATGGCTGCATGTTAGTGCCTTCACACTGCTGTTGTATGTGTGTGTGTGTGTGTGTGTGTGTGTGTGTGTGTGTGTGTGTGTGTGTGTTTGTGTGCCCATTACAGTTGTTTGCACAAGTTTGAGCACCCTGCCCAAATTACATACTGTTGATTTTTAGAAAAACAGTTTTTTTTCTGAAGATGTTATTGAGCTGTTACTTTATATTTGTTAATAATTGTGGTACACTATATTTCCAAAAGTATTCACTCACCCATCCAAATCATTGAATTCAGGTGTTCCAATCACTTCCATGGCCACAGGTGTATAAAACCAAGCACCTAGGCCTGCAGACTGCTTCTACAAACATTAGTGAAAGAATGGGTCGCTCTCAGGAGCTCAGTGAACTCCAGCGTGGTACCGTGATCGGATGCCACCTGTGCAACAAGTCCAGTCGTGAAATTTCCTCACTACTAAATATTCCACAGTCAACTGTCAGTGGTATTATAACAAAGTGGAAGCGTTTGGGAACGACAGCAACTCAGCCACGAAGTGGTCGGCCACGTAAAATGACAGAGCGGGGTCAGCGGATGATGAGGCACATAGTGCGCAGAGGTCGCCAACTTTCTGTAGAGCCAATCGCTACAGACCTCCAAACTTTATGTGGTCTTCAGATCAGCTCAAGAACAGCGTAGAGAGCTTCATGGAATGGGTTTCCGTGGCCGAGCAGCTGCATCCAAGTCTTACATCACCAAGCGCAATGCAACGTGTCGAATGCAGTGGTGTAAAGCGCCGCCACTGGACTCTAGAGCAGTGGAGACGTGTTCTCTGGAGTGACCAATCACGCTTCTCTGTCTGGCAATCCAATGGACGAGTCTGGGTTTGGCGGTTGCCAGGAGACGGTACTTGTCTGACTGCATTGTGCCGAGTGTAAAGTTTGGTGGAGGGGGGATTATGGTGTGGGGCTGTTTTTCAGAAGTTGGGCTCGGCCCCTTAGTTCCAGTGAAAGGAGCTCTTAATGCTTCAGCACCAAGAGATTTTGGGCAATTTCATGCTCCCAACTTTGTGGGAACAGTTTGGGGACGGCCCCTTCCAGTTCCAACATCACTGCGCACCAGTGCACAAAGCAACTCCATAAAGACATGGATGAGCGAGTTTGGTGTGGAAGAACTTGACTGGCCTGCACAGTCCTGACCTCAACCCGATAGAACACCTTTGGGATGAACTAGAGTGGAGACTGCGAGCCAGGACTTCTCGTCCAACATCAGTGTCTTCTGTTATAGCTGCAAAGGGTGGGCCGACATCATATTAAACCCTATGGATTAAGAATGGGATGTCACTCAAGTTCATATACGTGTGAAGGCAGACGAGCAAATACTTTTGGCAATATACTGTATATGCAAAAGTTTGGACACCCAGTTGTAAAGTCATAACCAATTATCTGGCTCTTTAAGCGATCTGCTAACACTCACCAACAATGGGATCCTGTAAACAGCTGGCTGAGGATCGGAAATTGAAGGTAACTGATGCGGCGTAGCAGCGGAAGGCTGTAAAAAGATATCAGTGCTTCCAGTTCACAATATCTAAAATGTCATTAAGCAATGGCAGTTAATGGGAACTGTGGAAATCAAGGCAAGATCTGAAAGACCACAAAGACTAAACAGAACTGCTCATATGCTTGGCAAAGCAAATCCCCCATAATATGAGCCAGAGGCACTTTGAAAACAAATACTGTGGACTGATGAAATAAAAAATGGAACTCTTTGGCTACAATTATCAAAGGTATATTTGTAGAAAAAGCTTTTGATGGAAAGATCTCCTTGCCAAGTGTTAAGCATGGGATGAATCTGTTGTGCTTTGGGTTGTGGGGCAGCCAGTGGCCCAGGAAACGTTACACAGGTGGATGGAAAAATGGATTTCACTCTATTTTACAAAAATTCTGGAAGCAAATGTGACAAAGTATGAGAAGATACTGAACTGAAAATAGGCTGGTTTCTACAGTAGGGCAATGATCCATAACATACCTCAAAATCCATCATTGAATTACTTCAAGAAATGCACACTGAAGCTTTTAGAATAGCCCTCACACACTGTATGCAAGACAGCCTACAGATATCAGAGAACTCGAATTGCTCAGCAAGGAAAGTGGGTGAAGATTCCTTAAACAAGACTCTCTGCTGGCTACAAAAATGTGTTTGAAAGCTGTGATATCTGCAAAAAGGGGTGTTACAGAGTATGGACTGGAGGGTGTTCAAACTTTTGTACAAGCAACAATTATTGTTTTATTTTTATCCATTTTTAAGTTTGTCAAACAGTGCATTAACGTTTGCAGAAAAAGGTGTTGCAACTTCTATATCTGTGTTTTGTTTTACAAATATATACTATCATCTCTCTTCTGACAGATTATGATCCTGCTATGCAACCAGCAGAGTTTTATCTGCACCCATGTGGACTTCTGCCACCCGCGCTGCTACCAGCGTCACAGCCGCTCTTGCGCCCGCCTGGTCCGTGCCATCAAACTGCTGTACGGAGAGACCGTGGACAGCCTGAGAGAGAACAGCTCCACCACTGGCTTCAGCACACGTGCCAAGAAGAGCAAAGAGGTGCCCAAACTTTTCCAAAATCGCTTATATCAATCAAAGGACAATGTTAAGCGAAAAGGGTCCACTGGTATTGTAATGATTGACCCTTGTGTGGTGTTGATGTGTTTGTTACTCAGTGGTCTGGTGGACCCACCGCATTATTGTTTATTTAAATCAACACAGCCATAACAATTTATGTAAAAATACCAGATGTTTAAAATATCACAAGTGTCCAGCGTAGGGTTCTCCTTTAGCAGCTGTAGCCAGTCTGCAGCCTGTCCATGTTGTCCACCCTCACACACACACACACACACACACACGCACACACACACGCACTAACAGCAGGCCATGTAGGAGGAGAACAGAGTGAAGGACACAGCACCTCCACACTTTTACTCCCCGCGGGTTCACCCAACACCACATGTGTAATATAAATGTGTGGGGGGTGAACAGAGTGAAGACACTGAAAATGGGTTATTTTATATGATCTTCACAGAAAAAAGAAGATCTGAGGTTGAAATAATAATAAATCACATCATTTTTAATTTTGGTAAACATTGAAAATGGGTCCCACAGACCGGAACACCACACAAGGGTTAATAGAATCTGATGGTTCTCTTCCAGTGCTCGGACAAGTCGTGCCTGCGGACCCCATCAATGAAGAGACGTCCCACCGACAGCAATGCAGAGGGGAAAAAAGACTCGGGGATGCTGAAGTACATCCGAACACAGGTGCCTTATTTAGGGCTCTTTCACATTCCACACCACGTGACTATGTGACATTTGTATAGAATGTCCTTATGATTGTTGCCCTGAAGCACTGTTGCATAATTCTCGTCAGGATATCCTGTATAGTTAAGTTATGTTGTGGTCGCTGTACATAGGTGATGAGTCTGTCTCCAGCTCCTCTGTCCCTGCTCATAAAAGCAGCCCCCATCCTGACGGAGGACATGTATGGAGACATCCAGCCAGCTGCCTGGGAGCTGCTGCTCAGCGTGGATGAGCATATGGCTGCTGCTGCAGGTTTGTCTATGCCCCTGGCTTATTCCTCCCATAATTAGAATCCTTGTTGCAGTAATTGTTTACTTTGTCTAGTAGATGTGGACAATATGACATACATACATCATCTAAACCGCTTATCCTTCTGGGTCGCGGTGGGGTGCTGGAGCCTATCCCAGCTGTCATTGGGCAGAAGGCAGGATACACCCTGGACAGGTCGCCAGTCCATCACAGGGCAGACAGACAGACATACACATTCACCCACACACACCCCTAGGGGCAATTTAGCGAGAAAACCGGAGTACCCGGAGGAAACCCACACAGACACGGGGAGAACATGCAAACTCCACACAGAAATGACCCTGGTCACCCGGCCGGGAATCGAACCCATGCCATTCTTGCTGTGAGGCAACAGCACTACCCACTGCGCCACCGTGCCGCCCACAATGTGACAATATTTTAGTATTATTGTGATAAATTTTGCTGTCAAGATAAACGGTCTGCCTTTCTGAGCATATCACCAATATTATCTATACTTAAAGAACACTGAACAACTGCATGTTCCATTACATTGAGATAATTAGTTCTGTTTATATGTATTTAGTGCAGTGAAGTGTGTGAAGGGCTGGATCTTTGTATTCACAGGTTTTTTTAAAGGCAGTTTGCAAATGCGGCACTGTCGGTTCATTTTGTCTGTGTTAAAATAGTATGATACGTGTTTTGAAATCATGATATGAATGATATAATATGATATTTTTGCCATATTGCCCACCCCTTCTCTCTAGTATTGTCTGCTCCTTCACACTACCACACTGAAAATGGATTAATAAGAATTTCTACTTATGAATGTGCAACAGTGTTTATCTGCTAATTTTATTTTTGACAATTTGATTAACCTTTAGAGGTCTAGAGTAACAGGTGTTGTTTGGTTGTGGGGCCTGCTCATGGGGGCTTGGACCCGGATTTTTCTGTAAAGCTGTTTTGTGACAAAATCTGCTATAAAAAGCGCTATATAAATAAACTTTGCTTGCTTGCTTAAAAGTAATTACTTTATTTAATAATTAATTACATAGTACGTAATAATTTCAGTAAGGCATTGCATTTACTTTAGATTTATATTTTATATTAACAGCTTAGAGTGTGCACTTTCAGCTTTTTTCTATTGTTTCGGTGTGCAGAAATGATTAAAACCTGGCACAAAACAGGACTGTGTGCATGACTGTAAAATCATAAAATATCTGCTGTTCATCTCACAAACACAAATGCATCAATTTAATCTGCAAGTTCAGAATCTGCGTTTTGACAGGATTTCTCCGCTTGTAACAATGAGCTCTCTAACCCTCTCTTTCTCTCTCTCTCTGTCTCACACACACATGCAGCTGCCATGTTCCTGCTGTGTGCTGTGAAGGTGCCTGATGCCGTCACTGAGATGATGATGGCTGAGTTTCAGCATCATGAGGCCAGTCAGAGGATCAACTCAGTGCTCAAGTTCTACACAATCTGGAGGTTTCGCTACCAGGTGTGGCCTCGCATGGAGGAGGGTGCACAGCAGATCTTTAAGGTACAGCCACTCAGCGATGCATTGTCCAGACTTAAGGGCTCGTTTTTGTTTGTGAGGTATGTAAGATGTCCTGTGTGTGTGCCTTTGTAGATTCCTCCACCCAGCATTAACTTCACTCTGCCATCCCCTATCCTGGGAATGCCCTGTGTGCCCATGTTTGACCCACCATGGGTGCCGGTAAACGCTGGGACTGTCCCAGATGCAATCAGTGAAGATCAGTCAGTAAGTTCTGCCCACTGGCCTAAGCATTGGACCATAAGATTAGCACATAAATTATACCAACTGTACCAGTTTTTCATCTCTGTATCCTCTACTCATGAATGTGTCCGTGATGCTTCTTTCGTTTTCCGTTCAGAAATCGTTCTCGGCCCGTGCAGTGTCCCGCTCTCACCAGCGTGCAGAGCACATCCTGAAGAACATGCAGCAGGAGGAGGAGAAGAGGAGGCTGGGTCGCGAGGCCAGCATCATCACAGCTATCCCCATCGCTCAGGAGGCCTGCTACGAACCCACCTGCAGCCCCCCGCCTGAGCAGGAGGAAGAGGGTCGGTTCCTGATTACTGTTTCAAGTCAAGTCAAAGTTTATTTAAATAGGGCTTTTTATAACAGGTGCTGTCACAAAGCAGCTTTACAGAAAAATCCAGGTCTGAGCCCCCATGAGTGTCGCCAGCAGCGACACTGGCAAGAAAAAACTCCCTAAGAGCAAAAGGAAGAAACCTTACGTGGAACCAAGACTCAGAAGGGGAACCCATCCTCCTCTGGTCGACACCAGATAGCAAACAGCGTTAGTATAAAATATTATACTACAAAACGGGGAAAAACAGGTGGAGAAATGGTTAATTAGATTAGTTTTAGTTTATGCAGCAGCAGCAGCAGGAGGGTCAGTTCATGCAGGTGAGGTTTGCACAGCGTTGTACAGCATGAAACTCCATGGTGGTCAAAACAGTGCAGATCAGCTAACAGAGATGGAGCTCTGGTGACTCTAGCAGCTCTGGTGACTCCCATGTGGCGACTCAGGCAGACGTCGCTCAGGGACACAAATAAAGGGCGCGAGAGAGAGAATTGATTAACAGAATAGATCTGTTTATGGAGAGATATTAGTGAGTTAATAGTGCAACAACTGATATTAACAAAATGTGCAAACAGAAAAGTTTTGAGTCTAGTTTTAAATGTAGAGAGTGTGTCTGAGTCCCAAACAGAGGTCGGGAGATGATTCCACTATTTTGGGGCTACGTAGGAAAATGTTTGACCACCTGCTGCGGCTTTTCTATCCCACTGTGAACTAAAGTCAGATCAGGCTGGGTCTTTGACCATTTTAAGTGTTTTTATAAGAGCAGGACCATTAAATTCTGTAGTCAAGCTCACATGTAATATATAATGTTTTGTGCTCTGCCAGCAGAAGATGTGGTAAATTTGGCCTCTCGTCGTCTGTCAGTCAGCCCCTCCTGTGCCTCTAGCAACTCTCACAGGAACTACTCATTCCGTCGGGGCTCCGTGTGGTCTGTGCGCTCGGTGGTCAGTGCTGAAGGTAAGAGACTGAGTTAAAGTTTCACTGTTCCTGTGTGAATAAATAAGCAAATAGAAGAGAATTTCATATCGAGTGTTACGTTGAATTGAATGCTGGCTTGTTAGTAGGTACTGAGTGATGTGTTCATTAGGATTTCGTACAGAAAATGTTTAAAAAATCTGTTTCAGATGATGAGAACACCACGGAGCACACACCAACACATCACATGCTGCAGCCACCCCAGTCTGTTTTCCCAGCATGCATCTGTGCTGCAGTCTTGCCCATAGTTCACCTAATGGAGGATGGAGATGTTCGAGAGGATGGTGTCGCAGGTAGGGTCCCTTCAGAGAGACCTGATTTTGTGCAGATGATATTACAGCACTAAGCCACGAGAGGCCGAGGGTTACTGCGATTTTGTCATGGGGAAGGGTGTTCTTTGGCATGACGTGAAGCAGAGCGCCTAAAACTCCCTTCCCCGTAATAAGATCGCAGTAACTCACAGCCACGAGTGGCTTATTGCTTTCATAAAACGGCAGCCAGCATAAAATATATTAAAATACACATTGTTTTAGATAATTATTTTAGTTGTTATTAATAATAATCTATAATTCCGCCAAGAAATGTAGTTCCTTTAGAGTACGGTATCGTCTGCTAAGCAACCATTTACCACTGAATGAGGAGAAGAACGTTCGGTCGCCCGTCACTGTAAACTGCAGACATTTCATGATTTTTTTACTTTTTTCGTTTAACAGTAAACAAATATAACATAGAACTGTTTAATGCAAAAGCTTTCTGTTTAAAAGTACCTTCTGGTCACCAAATCACCACCGCGAGTCTTCTGCCTGTCTGACGATGCCACCTTTCTCACTCTGGGACTGAATCTCAAACGGCTCCCTGCTCCCTACATAGTGCACTACGTAGGAATTTAAATACTGACTCCTGCAGAACAACAGAGCAAAATATCGCTAAAAAATGTCATTTGGGACTCATCCACATTCATACTCGACAAGCAGAAGCTAAACTTAATGTTACACAGCTCACTATTTAGCTAGGGAGCATGGAGCCGTTTGGGATTCAGCCTGGGTTTGACGCTGCTTCTGACTGAAACACAGACATATGAAGTGTGTAAAACATTCAGGTAACGTTCTTTAGACTTTTATACTGCCGTTTTACAGTGAATCATACCGTAAGTGCTCTAATTCAAGCCTGTGATATTAATGTTCGGGTTGTTTAGCATATTTGCTCTCTTTTAACCTGTTGGCTAGCTGACCAGCCTAGTTCTAGTAAAGAAAATAAGTCTCCAGCCCTTCAGTTTAAACAAAAATGGGTTCTTACTTCATCAGTACACTCGGTGCTCCATGCGAGCAGCATTAGAGTCAAAGATTAATCCATTAACAGCAGAAGGTTTTATCGTGCCGTGGCGCAGTGATACAGAGTTCAGTTGTTGTGAGGCGGTCACAGCTGTGGTATATCATGGATTTTACAATGGCTTCGAACACAGCTCAGCCAATCAGATTTTAGCACCGGAACTATCCGTTTTATAATCTGTATTAATTCAGTAAACTTAATGTAGACTCAGGCCTGTTACAGTCATAACATTTTAAGATGATTACTTGCCACATAAATATTTGCAGTTAATAATATTTTTTGGTGTAATTGAATTATTGTTTGTTCATTATATGCAACTATATTACAAACTGGTACTGAGTACAACTGGCAAAGTACAACTAAGTACAAACTGGCTGATTATCTCGCTTCCCGGCTATCGATTCTTAGTAGCTTCCAACTGACAATAAACACAGCTCAAGCTCAGATAAACAACGTTGCCCTTTAAAGGTATTACTAACTAATATCAAATTGAGAAAAATAGTTATTCCCTGGTAAGATTTGGGTTTTTTTTAATTATTGTACTTCAAATAAAGGTTAGATTTTTGTTAATATTTTGATTGAAAGATCTAAAGGATTAGAAAAAAAGAATGTATTTTACAGCCTGTTTTGTTCACGTTTACCAGAGGAGCCAGTTTTTGTGGAGAGCACTGTAACTTGTATGTGCAACTGGATTAGTATTAGTAAAATAGCCCTAAGAAGAAAAATCAAGTCACTCTTGTTCTGTCTGAGAGACTTCCCACACATGATTTTACACAACAGCTGCACATCCCTTGCGATCGTCATCATTATGTTCTTCCCACAGTGAGTGCCGTGGCCCAGCAGGTGCTGTGGAACTGTCTGATTGAAGACCCTGCACTTGTGCTTCGCCACTTCCTGGAGAAACTCACTGTCAGTAACAGACAGGTGAGAGAGTGGCAATAATACAGGGTGATTCAGAAAGATTGATCCGATTTCAAAATGATTAATTTCACTTGTAAATCATTACAGATCAATGCAGTGAACTGTAAATGGTTTAAATGAGCATAAAGTTTATTATGTAATTGTACAAGGTCTCAGTCTGAACCTCCTCCAGCTGTACGGACAACATCAACACCATAGTCAAACTCATCCCATACTGGATTGAGCATGTCGGGTGTCGCTGCACTCACGGCTCTTTCAGTGCGATTTCGGAGATCATCCAGTGTTGTGGAACCAACGACGAACGCTCTGAGCTGTTGGAGCTTCACTGCCCACGAAAATCACGTTGCACAGTTATGACGGATTCACTCTTATTGAAGTGGAGAACGCAGAGCGCTTTCTGCTCAGGGGTCTCATCTCCTCACAGACTGAAGGTGAAAGTCAGAAACCCCATGACCCCCTCTTCCAATTGGATTGTGATTGGTTCCTAGGCACGTCACGGTTGTAAAAATATGGCGCTTTGAAATTGGATGAATCTTTTTGAATCGCCCAGTATTTTCATAATACAGAGTGTTGCAGATGATTCTGTTGTGAAAGTGTCTAAGCAGGCTAAATACGTTCTTTAGGATGAGCTTATGTACATGCTCAGAAAACTGCTCCTCAACATTGGAGATCTACCTGCACAGACCTCACACATTCTCTTCAACTATCTGGTAAGACCTCACTGCTTGAACACAGTACGCTTGATTCCTAGATCTTTATTGCTAGATTACTAGTATAACTATAAATAGTCCCCATAGATAAAAACACTATTTATGTTTTTGCTCAGGTGGGTTTGATCATGTATTTTGTGCGGACACCGTGCGAGTGGGGCATGGATGCTATCTCAGCTACTCTGACCTTTCTGTGGGAGGTGGTAGGCTATGTGGAAGGCCTCTTCTTTAAAGACCTCAAACAGACCATGAAGAAGGAACAGTGTGAGGTCAAACTGCTGGTAACTGCCTCTATGCCAGGTAAGATGCTTAGCATGAATGTAGAGACAAGAAAGTAGTGTCTTTAGTGATGTTCAGATTTTTCATAGTGTTTACTGCATGTAAATACACTACATGGCCTGGCAAAAGTATGTGGACATGTTGATACCGCTTCTAATTGGTTTCCTTCATCCTTAGCTAACAGATGCATAAAATTAAGCCAAAGGCAGGCTCTCTTAATCTCCAGGGAAAAACAATGAGAGTACAATTAAGCAGTAGAACACGAGAGGGAGTGTGTTATTGTGAAATAACATCACGGCTGTGATTTGGTTGCCGTAGATCATCACAGCCGTGATGTTACACTCCTCGAGTGTTCTATTGCTTTTATACAACAGTTAAATAAATACAGTAATAAATTAATAAACTGGGCCGTGAACGCGGCGTTTAATATGTTTTAATGTTTGCAGTTCCTTCACCAAATTATAGTTCCTTAACAAGCAGCTTGTTGATACGTCAGAGTAATGAACTCCGCTCACTCGTTGCACAGCCGGCAGTTCGTTCTCCAGCTCCACACAGACCAACACATTAAACTCGTTTCACACTCAGTTTTGTCTGCTTACCAACTTTAGTGCCTTTTACTGTGCTCTCAAAATCCACTTTTTACTGCAATTTTTTGAAAAGTTTTACACTCTCATGAAATAAAGAAAAATACAAAGTAGAAAACACATCAAGAAAACATCAAACATTTTATCTAAACGTGCTTTAATATTTAAAAAATCTTCAACCTATTTTAGTAGTTTCACCATGTCTGACCAGATCGGCTGTCAGTCAAATGTAATCTTTAAATGCGCAAAGTAAGAAGTAAAAACGTTCAAATGGCCTTAGCATCGTTGCTTAACAATGGCGTCTCAGTGGACTGACGCAGTGTTTGTGAAAAAATGGTGAAGTAAAGCACAGTTAGAACGCTTCTCAACCAATCAGCTTGCGTGGCCGGAACTAGCTGTTGCATAATGGATAGTAATGAACAGTTCAGTGATCTATGGAACAGCATAAGATGCTGCTTTCCCAATAAGTCAGTTTGGGAAATTGTTTCAGAATGTAGTGGAAAGTGTTACAGCAGCAAAAAGGGGACCAGTTCTTTTAAATGAGATGTTGAACCAGCAAATGTGGATGTGTTTTGGTGTCCACATACTTTTGGAAGTAGTGGTGACTTAATTGACATGATGTTGATTTTGACTTATTGAGAGTGACATTTTGCTGGTGTGCACAGGAACCAAGACCCTGGTGGTCCATGGGCAGAATGAGTGTGATATCCCCACCCAGTTACCAGTGCATGAGGATACACAGTTTGAAGCCCTGCTAAAGGTGTCATTGTCTCAGACCGTTTTCAGACTGTTCATAAAACTGATTCACTAGATATCCATGTATTTTGCTTAGATTTCAAAGGAACAGGAGGTGTGTATTGATATTCTGTACCAAGTTTCTAACCATTTTACCTCAACCCTATTTATTCTCAGGAATGCCTTGAGTTTTTCAATATTCCAGAGGCTCGGTCAGCCAACTACTTTCTAATGGACAAGCGTTGGAATCTCCTCCACTATGCCAAGGTCTGCTGTCTGTTTGATTTTGATAAGCTTATCTATGTGAATTGATTTGTGTATTGTATTATTTCAGTGGTACATCAACCAACTTTTTTTGTTTTGTTTGTCCTTCTCAGACATATGTACGAGACATCTACCCTTTCAGGCGATCAGTGTCACCTCAGCTGAACCTGGTCCACATGGCTCCAGAGAAAGGCCTGGAGCTCATTCAGAAACAGGTGTCAGCTTCATGTTCTGAGTTCAGAGTCTCTGTTTAGCCCTGTGTATGGGGTGATACGTAAGCTCTGCTTAATAAATGCTATGGCCCATAGATAAAGCTGGGCCATATGGCAAAAAACCTTATCACAATAAAAAATGAATCAGTAGATCTCGATATATACCACGATAAATGTCACATCGTTATTTCTTTCAAGTTTGAAGACTGATTTTGACTCCTGAGTGGTTAATTGCTGTTTTAAACTATGCTTTATGGTCAGAACATGACGAACACTCACCAAACAGTGGAACATTTCACAAATCTGTCATGGGAGAGTGGGAGAAAGGTTGTGGTGAGCTGTTTTTACCAGCTGGAAAAGCATGGGTGCAATTTTTGCAGTAGTCGTAATTTAAGAAAGAAAACAGATTATTTTAAGCTGTCTGGTGACGAGGGCTCGGCTATGTGGTTACAAGTGCTAAACTGTTTAGTTTGTCAACAAAGTCATCTTAATATGAACAGCAAACATTATCTGGCTCGGTAGGTTAGTGATGGATCACACCGCCTTGCTGCCATCACTCCTACCACATCCATGCCAGAGCATATCACAGTATTCACCAGCAGACGTCTGGATTTCTCTATTTTATCATAGTGTTTGAGGGGTGAACCGCAATATATCCGACGCTCTCTGTGTAAAAGCATTAACTGCAGTGTGAATCTCAGACCAGACAAACTGAGTCCTCCTTTTAGGGTCATTTAAACTGAAATCGGTGCTTTTTTGTCTTGTTTGATCTACAGTATCATCAATTCGACATGCTGTGTGAGTGACAGAGCGCTGCTTCAAGTTAGCCAGCTGCTAAAAACAGCTAGCCTGGGAAGCGAGAGTTCTCTCACTCTCCAATGCCTCACATAAAACATCGCATCCTCAGTTTACTTTCGTTTAAATCAGGGCTGTAATTTGCATGAACTCACTTCTTTCTTTCACTTTCGTTGCTTGTGAATGCACTAATACTAAAATATGACTGAGCGCTGTAACAGTGCTGTAGTTGAGAGGAGCAGACGTGATTTAACGCTGCTAAAGTTTGTTAGGATGTACAGAAAGAGGTGAGTTCACTGTAGGACAGTACAGTTACACCACTGACCTCGTCACTCACACTTGGTCACAGGAGAACAGATTGCTGATCGCTCCACTAAAACAGGGAATATATGATATCACTCCTTGACACACCCCGCCCCGCACAATCATGTAAAAAAAAACTCAGAAGTGCGCCCTCTTGTGGCGACAGCAGTGTAGTATCACTTTCCTCGCAGTAGAAAACGCCACCAGGGCTGTCGCTAGAACGTAGAAGTGTTAGATCAGTGTCTTATATCGAAAATTTATCAAACATTTCTTATAGTTATATCAAGGAAAGTTATATCGCGATAATTATCGTTATCGTTTTATCGTCCAGCCCCACCCATAGATTGTTTTTTTGATACTTCTCTTTAGGTCTTAATGGAATGTCAGTTGTTTGCAGCTCTGATTTCCAAGGTAACTTGTAAGTTGTGCTTTCCTGCTCCAGGTGTTCTCCAGGAAGCTGGAGGAGGTGGGCCGAGTTCTCTTCCTCATCTCGCTCACTCAGCGCATGCCAGCCATGCACAAGCAATCCCATGTCTCACTGCTTCAGGAAGACCTGCTGCGCCTGCCCTCCTTCCCCCGCACAGCCATTGATGCTGAGTTCACTCTCTTCAATGAGCCTCTGGGTAGGTCTTCTGAGAGGCCACTGCATGGATTACCCTTTTATTTGTGTTTCTAAAGCTGTGATCTTAGCTGTTATATAAATAGGTCCTTGTTATTTGACAGTTATTAGCCTGTTAATTAGCAGCAGGCATGAATCTAATCTAATTACCACTGACTTGTCTGTTTCTTGTTTGTTGGTTGGTTGTTGGGTGCATCTCAGGAAAAGAGCTCTTTGGTATGGACACCTTGCATAAGGTATTGTGGATCAAGCTGCTGGAGGAGATGTTCCTGGGCATGCCCAGCGAGTACCCCTGGGGTGATGAGATCATGCTGTTTCTGAATGTGTTCAATGGAGCCCTGCTGCTTCACCCTGAAGACAGTGCCCTCCTCAGGCAGTACACTGCCACTGCCATCAACACAGCTGTGCACTTCAACCACCTCTTCTCCCTCAGTGGCTACCAGTGGATTCTCCCTACTATGCTTCAGGTATAGATTACTGTGAAGCTCTTTGAAAAACAATAACATTATACAATGTATAAAATTATACAATTTATAAGTATGCAAATATACAACTTATGAAAAAGTTATTATAAATGTTTTATGAAGTTGTTAAAACTGGACTTTAGTATGCTGATAGTTGATTGAATGTATTGACGCATTTGTGTTATATTTCATATGTGGTGTGCTGTGACTGGTTCTTCTTCATGCAAGACCTATGCTGATTATGAGAGTAATCCACTGCTGCGTCGAGGCATTGAGTTCTGCTGCCGACAGTTTTACATCCTCCACCGCAAGCCCTTCATCCTGCAGCTGTTTGCCAGTGTGGCCCCACTGCTCGAGTTCACTGTGAGAGCACACAACTTGAATGATGATGGTTGATGAAAGTTTTTATGTTTAAAGGTTTTTTTAAAATAGTTGTTCTGTTGATACAAGATGAAATGAGTAGGTTTATATATGTGTGTGTGTATATATATATATATATATATATATATACACACACACACACACCGATCAGGCATAACATTATGACCACCTCCTTGTTTCTACGCTCATTGTCCATTTTATCAGCTCCACTTACTATATAGGTGCACTTTGTAGTTCTACAGTTACAGACTGTAGTCCATCTGTTTCTCTGATACTTTGTTAGCCCCCTTCTACCCTGTTCTTCATTGGTCAGGACCCCCATGGACCCTCACAGAGCAGGTACTATTTGGGTGGTGGATCATTCTCAGCTCTGCAGTAACACTGATGTGGTGGTGGTGTGTTAGTGTGTGTTGTGCTGGTCTGAGTGGAGTGACCTCAGTGTCACTGCTGGACTGAGAATAGTCCACCAACCAAATATATCCAGCCAACAGCGTCCTGTGGGCAGCGTCCTGTGACCACTGATGAAGGACTAGAGGATGACCAACACAAACTGCGCAGCAGCAGATGAGCTATCGTCTCTGACTTTACATCTACAAGGTGGACTGACAAGGTAGGAGTGTCTAATAGAGTGGACAGTGAGTGGACACAGTGTTTAAAAACTCCAGCAGCACTGCTGTGTCTGATCCACTCAGACCAGCACAACACACACTAACACCACCACCACGTCAGTGTTACTGCAGTGCTGAGAATGATCCACCACCCAAATAGTACCTGCTCTGTGAGGGTCCATGGGGGTCCTGACCACTGAAGAACAGGGTAAAAGGGGGCTAACAAAGTATGCAGAGAAACAGATGGACTACAGTCTGTAACTGTAGAACTACAAAGTGCACCTATATAGTAAGTGGAGCTGACAAAATGGACAATGAGCGTAGAAACAAGGAGGTGGTCATAATGTTATGCCTGATTAGTGTATGTGTATATATATATATATATATATATAGAGAGAGAGAGAGAGAGAGAAATTATATGAAAATAATATAGCATCACATATTGGCAGATTTTTGTGTCGGTTTGAGTATTTATTTTATTTATTTTGTTTGTTTATTTGACAGGGACAATACAGATAAACATTGTTACATAGAATGCAGTACATGGAACGTATATAGGGAATCTAGCTTAAGCTAAGCTAGTAGAGTAACATTACAGAGACTGCTTCAGATGAGCTAATGAGCCAGACCTGCAGCTAACCAGACTAAGACTGGATGCTGTTTGTCAGAAAAATATATTTGAACTGTTTCTGAATCTACATCAGGCTAGACTATTTACCTTCTCAGTCATGTCCTTAACAGTGTTCTTAGGTACTTGCATGTCTGAGTAGCAAAGAAAGTAGAAAGAATGCTTACTAGTACGTAATTTTACACTGTTAAAACACAAAACCTGTTTTCTTCGCTGTTTGCCGCTATATTTTCTCTTAAAAGGCAAAGAATACCATATTCAGTATTCGAATACTGGCACCTTAATCGGTTTACTGAGTACTGGAGTAGTCGTGCACATTCCTAGTGTGAACTGTACTTTGTATCTCTTTCATTTAGACCTGCACCAGTACTGGACTGTCTAAAGGCGTGTCTGCCCAGTGCCTGTTTGACCTGCTGGTGTCTCTGGAAGGAGAGACAGCTGATGGTCTGGATGCTCTGGAGTTGGTCAAGGCTGAGAAACCTCTTCGCTCTCTGGGTAAGAGGTGCTCCATGGCTCCCTCCAGATTCACAGACACTTCCTGTGTTCCATCTGTTTTGCACTCCGGCTGGTAGGAGTACTGGTTGTTTTCTTTCCTGCAGATTTTTGTTATGGCAATGAGGACCTAGCCTTCTCCATCAGTGAGTCCATCAAGCTGTGTGTGACAGTGGTGGCTTACGCTCCTGAGTCCTACCGAAGGTTTGAACACACTTAAATGGAATTCACTATGGCCGCTTTTCCACTGTCGAGCCAAACGCTTCTCAGGGCCATACTGGGCCGTTCCGTGCTGGTCCGGACTCGTGAAACCAGTTATGCTTTCTGTTTCCATTTGTTGTACCGCTAAATCAGAACCAGGAAATACCCAAGAAAACTACTCAAATGAAAGGCTAACTGCTAACAGGGTAATAGCAACATACACGCCACCCACCACAAACACGTTTGATTCTGTCTGTCACTCCAACTCCAGTCTCTCTCATCTTGTCTTCTAAATGGGTGGTATTTGAGGATGAGTTACTGAAACAGCCTGTACTGCAGTGGGTTTTACCTGTAGCTGGATAACTACACTAGCATTAGCGTCACCCGGCAGGGTTCAGCTCAAAGCACCGCAGAACAATTCTATTTTTTTTCTTTCTGTCACTCCACAACACCAGTCATTCGGATTTGTGCACTCAGATACAGAGTCTTTACCTTATAAACGGGTGTTTTTCGAACCGAGCCAGTACTGCAGCGGGAGGCACCGTGCACTAGCCATAGCTTAGCCTAGCAGGCTACGGCTTAAAGCTCTAATAGAACAGGCCCGATTTCGGCTTTCTGTCACTCCAACTCCGATCATTCCACTTTGCTCTCGCTGTTATAAGTTTTTATCATCTATACTTGTGATAGCAGAGCAGTTAGTCGAATCAGACTTGCGCTGTCATGTTTGGATCTCTTCAGCTAAGCTAGCTAAATTAGCTAGGAGAGAAGAGCCGGCAAGCTGGGAGGCTCCAGCTTCAGACACCAGAGACGATTCATTTCCTCTCTCTGTCCCTCTAACATCAGCCGCTCGACTTCGCTTCCTCAGATACGAGTCATTATCATCTAAAATTGTGCCAGTAAAGCTTTTGTCTACTCTCTTCTAGCTGGTTAGGCAGCGAATTTAACATTTAGAAATTGGTTTTAGATTGAAGCTTTGATGTTTCTTGAATGATGGATTTAAAATCGTGCACTGATTTCATTTATTAGAGCAAACTGAATTTATTTGAATGCTTTCGGGTTTGAAATAACGCAGCAAGATGCTGTGGCAAAATACCGATGTAAACAGAACCAATCAGTGAACAGCTATGTCGTTACATCATCCAACTGAACGGTTCTATGGCCCCAATTACGGTTAGGTAACCGTGCTGAGCCCGGTTTTTAAGCGATCCATGTCGAACTGTGTCCGTGCAGAAACGCCACTGGAATGGTTACCCTTCGTGCTCAGAACTGTTCGGCCCTGCAGTGGAAAAGAGGTCTATATTTGTAGTCTAGTTTAAGACCAGTTTTCCTTCCCTATCGTCTGTTCCAATACTGTATTTGCCTGGTAACCAGATTTAGGTAACCAGAACAGAAATCTTCCCTGTCTCTTGTTTCAGCTTACAGATGTTGATGGTTCTAGAGGCGCTGGTTCCTTGTTACCTGCAGAAACTGAAGGGTAACAGTCAGGCCCTGGAGTCAGCGTCTGTAGCCAGAGATGAGATTGCTGCCATTGCTGCTCTGGCTACTTCCCTTCAGGCCCTGCTCTATAGTGTGGAGTCCCTGACACGGTTAGTCCCTCTACACAGTGCACACACACACACAACGATGCCATCTATCTCTCATAAAAGCCCTATATAGGGTTTAGATTGATGAATGTGTTACAGTAACTAAATCATTTTATCATATTAAAGGAGATTGTATTTTGAACATGATAGCAATGATTTTGTTTATTGTGCAAAGGCCTATGACTGCACCTCAGATGAGTCGCTCTGATCAAGGCCATAAAGGAGGAACTGCTGCCAACCACACCATGTCTGGAGGGCCGAATACCAGGTCTGTGTCTGATCTGGACCTAAAAGACAAAGAACTCTTCCTAAGTTATCATAATATGAATTCCAGATCAAACCTTTCATATATATTCTGCAAAAAATAGAGTTGCGTAGTGAAACTTATGGGCCTGTTGTTTTACCTGCCAATGCAGTCAATGCACTGTTAATCTTGTCAATGTAATTACTGATGAAAATATTCATAGATTAAAAGTTTTTTTAATTTTGTCAATGATGAATACAAAGAGATAAGAAATCTGAAAGGACATGTTCAATAGCAGCAGGCAAATATTTATAAAACGCTAAATATTGATTACCAGCGCAACCATTATGCAGTTTCCAGAGCTATTTTATCACCAAACTACAGGTGGTTCATTCTGAGTTTAACGCTACCTACTAAGCTCAAAAAAGGAAGTTAAAGCCTGTTTCTAAATAGTATCCTTCTAAATGGTTGCTTTTTGTTGTTTGCTTTGATCAGAGTAAATTTGTGAATCACATATAGTGTTTATGTCTTCTAAATAATGAAGCTGATTATGCTTAAAAAACATTGCTTTACCTGCACAGGGACAACCTGCACCTGTTGGAGGAGGGTCAGGGCATGCCGCGGGAAGAGCTGGACGAGCGCATCGCCCGAGAAGAGTTTCGCCGGCCCCGCGAGTCACTGCTCAACATCTGTACTGAGTTCTACAAACACTGTGGCCCACGCCTCAAAATCCTGCAGAACGTGGCAGGAGAACCCAGGGTCACTGCTCTAGAACTTCTGGATATCAAGTCTCATATGAGGTATGAGGGTGAGGAAAGAAAGTAAGATTTCGCTTTTATATGTTTTATTTATGTCAAGACAAAAGATTAAGAGATTGTTTGTAAACATCAGGGTTGTCCAATCCTGATGCTGTAGATCTACCACCCTTCACAGTTTAGATTCACCCCTGTGAAGGGGTGAAGACCTTCTGGGGCTTCTGAACACTAGAGCCAGATGTGCTGGATCTGAACATTCCAGGGTGTTCGATCTCCAGGACTGGACACCCCTGGTATACGTGTTATTCCTGGTAAAAACTGTCCTGAATCTCACAAGCTTTCAGTTGTTTTGCTTCAGGGATTAAGTCTGGCATTACTCCAGTTCTAAGCTGTTTTCCCTGGTCATTCTGGGGTTGGTTCAGTTCATGAAAACAACAAAATTAGTGCATTAAATTGAATGAAACCATAATGATGGCTGGTGCTCTTGAGGCTGGTGCTGATGCTGCGTCAGCTGGCCACGCTCTCTCTGGGTGGGTAGGATGGCCCCTCCTTCTCCCCCCATCACTTAACGCGATGCTACTCGGCGCAGGCGTCTGTTAGCTGACATAACAGATCTGGAGGTTGGCGCTTTCCTCCGAGTGCGTTCGTCTGTCCAATGACGCCGCATGAGCGGCAGTTCGAAAAGATGCGGTGGAGCTTCACAGGACTCGGAGGAAGCCTGCGTTAGCCTTCGCCCTCCCAGCACTGGTGGTATCGTGTGATTGGGGGAGTCCTAACTAGCGGGTGGAATTGGAGACGACTAAATTGGGGAAAATCCCCCAAAAAAATGAATTATTGTCATTTATTGGTGTTGCTTTTTCCAGACTGGCAGAGATTGCCCACTCCCTCCTCAAGCTGGCTCCGTACGACACTTTAACCATGGAGAGCCGCGGCCTGCGGCGCTACATCACTGAGATGCTGCCCATCACCGACTGGTCATCAGAGGCTGTGCGGCCCGCCCTCATCCTTATCCTCAAACGACTGGACCGCATGTTCAACAAGATCCACAAGATGCCCACGCTCAGGTGCGCGCGCCCGCAGGCTCTGTACTCCAGGTCTGTCCACCGGCTACTCGCCGGCCTTCTTCTGTTGCTGTTTCTGTCAGTGAACCTGCTGGCTTCCTCGCTTCCCCTCGCATCTTTGCGATGTGAGGGTCGTCGGTTTTGTGCTGTGGTGCCGTGCTTTGTCTTTGCCCGCAGCTTTCTCTGTAAGGCCTCAATGTGGTTGAGTGTATGTGATATTTGTTCTGGTGGGTATGAGGTGAGTAAGTGTGAATGTGTTTTTTTCTCATCTGATTGGACAGTTAGTATGAAGGAAAGACGATATGGAGGTGTGAATTACTGAAACAGGTTTAATGGATTTCTGAGTTAAGAGAGAGCTGTTGTGTAAATTCCTAGGAAGGATGCAGATGTATTGACAGCAATAATCAATGCAAATGCAACACATAATTCATCACAAACCCTTCCACAAAACAAACTGTTGATTCTATTTTACCACTGACATCAGGCAAACATTTTTAACATCTTTTTTATTATTTCCCATAAACTGGCCATTTACAACTGAACTATTTGCTGTAATTGTTTGCTTCTGTTTCAGAAAAGTTTGAGTTTATAACATATAACTAACAATTGTGTTTTGGATATTGTCAGTGTAGTGCAAACTTTTTAGCAATACTAAATGTAATCTGATACTTACATTAGTTAGTGTTTCTTAATTCTGCTTTTGACCCACTGCCCTGCACACTTTCAGCTAGCGATGGGAGAAATTATCACTGAACCAGCTTTATAAACCGTTTATAAGAATTATTCACAGTTGGTTGGTGCCACCTTTTGGTTAAATTGGTGACTTTAAACATGAGAATGTCATAAGATGCCACTTATTGTTTACTGGATGCTGGAAATCAACATTTCCGTATTGAATTGGGTGTTACAGAGTGTTTGTTCAATGGGATAAATGCAGGAAGTCTATAGGTTTCCAATTAAGGAACATAATTTGTTCAAAAGTTTCGCATTTTAACATTTTTACTCAGTTTTTCTATCGTATGTCAGGTGATCTGCTCAAAACTCAGCATCACTGACTGGCTGCCTTCAGCCAAGCGTCATTTTAATCCGTACATTAATATAAGCCTAAATGATGACAACTGATGTGAGATCAGTAGGTGGCCTATGTTTGACACAGGTTCCTCTTTATGCTTGACCCTCTAATAATAATAATGTTTATTTATATAGCATTTTTCATACATTAAAAATGCAGCTCAAAGAGCTTCACAGTACTAAGTTAAAACAGAGGAAGAAAAGATAATCAAAAATAAAAACAAAATATAATAAACAAACAATAAATGGCAGAAAATGTATATATTAATAATAATATTAATAATATTAAAAAGCACAGGATAAAAGTGTAAAAAAGACAATGAAAAATGAAACTAACAAGAACATAAGAGTAATAGTAATATTCCAGTAAAAACAAAGGAAACAATAAAAAACTAGGTAAATGTTAAAGTAAAGAAATAGGTTTTAAACTGTTTTTTAAAACATTGGCAGAAGGAGCCTGACGGATGTTTATTGGTAGTGCGTTACAGACCTTTCCAGACCTTTCCACCTCTATCAGCACTCAGAAATGTATGAAGGTGCTAAACCATTAAGAAATTTAAAAACTAGTAGTAAAATTTTGTAGTCGATTCTAAAAGAGACAGGCAGCCGGTGCAGTGATGCTAAAACTGGTCTAATGTGATCCTGTTTTGGATCAGTTTCTTAGCATCTTGACAGAGATAACGTCTAAGTCGTGCTATATTTTTTAAACGATAAAAAGCATTTTGGTAATATTATTAATATGTGCTTTAAAAGATAAATCAGAGTCTAGAGTTACACAAAGATTCCTAACTTCAGTTCTTATTTGTAGAGCCAGATTTCCAAGTCTTTCATACACCTTTTTTCTCTTTGCTTCACTACCAATTATAATTATTTCTTCATCAAGTCTTCAAGTCTTTTCTTCATCAAGCTTTAAAAAAATGCTATTCATCCAGCTAACTATGCTGGACAAAACTCTAGTGCAAAACTTTGAAACGTTTAGAAACAGTGATGACATAATGAGGCGGAGGTATTGCAAAAGCTTCAATACATTTCAAATCACTTTGAGGATGCCCATCACTAGTTATAGCTATGCCCTTTCTCACTTGATCTAGCTAATGACAGGCTTGATAATCACTTGATGAGCTGGATCAAGTGTGCCGGGGCAGAGAACACCTGAAACTGTGCAGTGCTGTGGGTCTCCAGGACGTCTGATACACGTACATCTGTAAAATAACTGTTGCTTTTGGACTTTTCCCAGACGACAGGTGGAATGGGAGGCAGCCAGCAGTCTGATTGAGGGCATCTGTCTTACTCTCCATCGCCAGCCAATCATCTCCTTTCTTCCCCACCTACGCTCCCTCATCAATGTCTGTGTAAACCTGGTGAGTGTTGGTGACCTCCAGAACAATTTTGCACAACAGGCTGCATACTACAGGCCTGAACTTCAGGCTTATGAGCTCTAGCGTTGAGGTAATTCAGTCAGAGTTGCATTGGGTCCAGCTCAGGACTTTCGTAGATTTACATTTAGCTTTACATTTTTTTTTTTGTTTAGTTTTTTCTGTCTGTTTTTCAAAATCTAGGTGATGGGCGTGGTTGGACCCTCCAGTGTAGCAGACGGCTTGCCATTGCTGCATTTAAGTCCATACTTGTCCCCTCCTCTTCCCTTCAGCACAGCTGTGGTTCGCCTTGTAGCCATGCAGATACAGGTATGTGATGCCCTGTCTGCGTGAGCAGGTCCTACCCTTTCAATCCTGTGAGGTTAGTAAAGGTTTTAAGTTGCCTTTAGACAAAGTCAGGTCCATAAATATATGAAGGTAATGTTATTTTACCTGTCTGCTATAGCATATTGCAGTTGAAATTACTTAATGAATGTGAGCTCAAAGTGCAGACTTTCAATTTGAGGGTATTTACATCCAAATCAAAGAACCATTTTGTCCTTTCAGCAAAAAATCAAACCACCTTAAGAGCCACAACAGTTTATGTCGATTTTACCATCTTGGCTGTAAATATGTCTCAGTACTTGCTAATGTATTGGACTAAAAAATATACCATAAACGAAAACGCAGACTTGCTTTGCTCTGCTTTAAGCTTCAGCTCAGGATTTAGCTTTTCTCACATCTCTGGCAGGAAACTTTTCCGTAAAAGTAGAATAACTTTCTTGTAAAATGTCTCTCAACATTCGACTGTTTACGAGGCTGAAGTCAGCTTCTCCTTCGCCAGCTTCTTGTTTGAATTTGCCCGTTCCACCTTAAATGAATGAAGAATGAATTAAGAATGTTAATGTGGCACCATTTAAGGTGGAACGGGACAATTTGAACGAGAAGCTGGCGAAAGAGAAGCTGACTGCAGCTTTGTGACTTTCTAGTGTTTCTCGTTGCAGATCAAACGTATCAGGAAACCAGCTGAGTGCTTATAAAAGCAAACAAGTTCATTAGTCTCCAAATTATCGATGTTCGTCTTAATTTTTCTGTTTGCCTTTTCATTAGCTACTAGCTAGGCGAGATTCTTGTCTACATTGCTATGGTGACCAGTAGTCTGCGCGCCAGCATTTAAGACGGATTATTTTATTTTTACCTACAAATCTGATTCTGCTGTGGAGCCACAACAGGGCAGTAAAAGAGCCGCATACTGCCCCGGAGCCTAATGCTGCCTAATGATGACTTGTTTCTCTGGCAGTGGCAGTTCAGACAACAAGTCAAGTCAAGTCAAGAGGCTTTTATTGTCATTCCATCTATGTGCAAGTACACAGTGGAGTGAAATTACGTTCCTCCAGGAACAAGGTGCAACAAGGAACAAAAACATATTGAGAACTTGAATTCAACTCTTTCTTCTTTTATCTACTTACTTGTGAAATAATGAAGAAATAACACACACCTGGCCATGAAACAGCTAAGCAGCCAATGTCCAGTTACTTTTGAGCCCCTAAAAAAGGGGGTATTTGGTGCAAATGATATTTCTTTGTTGAATCTTTCTCTGTTTATAGGCTTTGAAGGATGACTTCCCGCTCAGTCACGTGATCTCTCCCTTCACCAATCAGGAGCGGCGAGAAGGCATGCTACTCAACCTTCTGATTCCTTTTGTGCTAACTGTTGGCTCAGGAAGCAAAGGTCAGTATTAAACCAAATCAGATTGTGGTTATCATCACATGTAAACAGCATGTCAGTAAATGTCAGCACATACCAAACCTTGGTAATTTGCGAATGTGTGCTTCCACAGACAGTCCTCAGATTGAGCAGGCAGAGGTTTTCCTGCTCCTGCAGACAGTCATCAACATCCTTTTGCCTCCACGTATCATCAGCACCTCACGCAGTAAGAACTTTGTGCTGGATGCTTCTCCGGCGCACTGTTCCACACCCGGAGACACGGGCAAGGACCTGCGCCGAGAGGGTCTGGCCGAGTCCACCAGCCAAGCGGCTTATCTGGGTGTGGAAATATTATTATAGCAGCAACAAATATGTGGACATTTCATGTTACATAGTTGTGTTATTGATAAATAAATCATGGAATCGTTATGAAATGTGATCATGAGAGCTGTTATTTTGACTCTCTTTTCTTTTGGTCTGTGGCTCTGTGTGTAGCTCTGAAGGTGGTGCTGGTGTGCTTTGAGAGGCAGTTGGGTAATCAGTGGTACAGACTGAGTCTGCAGGTGAAGGAGATGGCTCTGCGGAAAGTGGGCGGTCTGGCTTTCTGGGACTTTATCGACTTTATAGTGCGCACCCGCATCCCCATCTTCGTGCTCCTGCGCCCCTTCATACAATGCAAGGTGGGGAAACTCTGCATCTTTTCCAACTCTTAATTTTTGCTTTCTCTGTCTCTTCTATTCTTGTTTCATTAAAAATCTCAGTCTATTAGACCGATGAGGAAGACTAATAATGGCTTTTCTCCCACCTGTCAGCTGCTGACCCAGCCAGCAGAGTCTCAGGAGGAAATCACGGCTCGACATCACATTGCTGACCAGCTGGAGAGGCGCTTCATCCCTCGCTCACTCTGCAAGAGCTCCCTGTTCGCCGAATTCAACAACGAGCTCAAGATCCTGAAAGAGGCTGTACACAGTGGCTCGGGTCAGGATGTGTATTTTACAGATTGAGAGTCAGAGTAGATTAATCAGTCTGTTGGAATTAAGGTGTAGTTGCGGCTGGATTCATTGGTTTGTGAGCTAATTTGTTCAGTTCAACCCTTTAAACTCCACTACACGATGTACATTTTAGTTTCATAGTATAGGGTAATTTATAGAAGTTCCTAAATAATAATACAGGGAGATTCACTCGAAAGAGGCCCCGAATATTCTGTAATAACTCTCGCTAGGACGAAGCAACCTGAACGAAACAATGTGCAATGAGCCGCTCGGTATATGGAGCTTCAAACAAGCCGGGATGCCCCTGTGTCGGAGCGATGAGGTAGGCGCCGGACAGCTGTCGCGATGTTTAACCTCCGTTTGCAATTTCTGGGTGAATACCCCCGTACCCCTTCATGTGTCTGGCAGAAACCGGAGATCACTTCCAGCATCGCATGTAATGCAATCGAATACACATACATCAAGGTATGTAACCTATTGTTTGGTTCAGATTGCTTCATCCTTACAGGAGTTACAGCAGAATATTCGGGGTCTCTTTTGAGTGAATCTCCCGGTATAATGAGTCAGCGGTGTGTCCCCTTAAACTCTAAACAACAATCATCGTGTCCAGACTTTCCCTCTCAAAACTACATTAATGATAGTATCATAGCTGTAGCATAATATCATAGTTGTGAATATTTTTATTATTTACTGGATAGTAAGCCTAAACTTAGAGTTGAAAGTGTTAAGGTGGTTCTGAATTGGTCTTCTATCGAACTTAAATTGAACCCAGTATTAGCTTGCTAGAAAATGAATCCAGTTTTGTACTGTATGCTTTATAGATTGAACTGGATATTAAAAATCTCTTTCATGATGCATTGAAATAATAGTGGCTCTTTCTGTGGCTCTTTCTATGTCCCATTCTTCAGCTTACCAAGGGAAGACATCCATCAGTACAGTGGGTACCTCCACATCAGCCTATCGGCTGAGTCTGGCCACCATGTCACGTTCCAACACCGGCACAGGGACGGTGTGGGAGCAAGACAGTCAGCCCTCCCGGCAGCCGTCACAGGACACGCTCAGCCGCACTGATGAAGAGGAGGAGGAAAGTAAAGCTAATCCTCTTTCTTTTTTTGTTTTCATACTCCAAGTATTTAATATTATTATATATATCATTAAATCACACATCATCTAAACCGCTTATCCTTCTGGGTCGCGGGAATGAACGTTATTATTTATTGCCATTTTCAGCACAACTGGTCAAATCCCTGCAGTACTCCTCACATATAGGACCTCACCTCTCATTTATGAAATGTCCACTCTGTATTTTTTTCCCTGTTTTTTCTTAAACTCACCACCAGACTTAAGAGATGTACTGTGATGGTGGATACATTGGTTGGCAAGCCAACTTGTGCCAGCTGATTTAAGGCAGTCTGATTTTAACACAGAGTAACTCTGTTCTCCAAGTTTTCTTTACTTCCCCACAAATTCAGCTCAACAGCGAATTCCCTTGTGGCACAGGAAGTCGTGTATGGTTGGCATATTGGAGTAGAGGTCTGCCCTCCCGAGGATTCCTGTGGGACCAGGCACAATATCTTGCGGCGCAGGGCTAATTTCCAGTCGTGCACGCGGGAGTGGGCGGGAAATCAGACCCCTTCATAAATCAGACCCCTTCATAAATCCTGCTAATTAACCAATAAAGTAGAACAATCAGTAAATCATATATGTGAACAATATAGTAGTAAACAGTTAAAATGATTAAAGTCATTCTCGAGCAACTAATCACATGAACAACACATAGATTCTCATAGACCTGATTCACACATCCTGTTTCTGCGCAGCGTGAGAGACACAGAAAGTCCTGCTCTTCATTTCAGCGCCCATGTTCAGTGGTCAGTGGTTTCAAACATGCTGCATGCCTGAAGTGGCAGAGTCCCAGGCACCGCAGGTATTTAGAAAATAGACGTGGGGCAGATTTTTCACCTGCGCCGCGCGTCACGCAGCTAAATACACTGAAATATGGCGTGAAAATCAATGAAAATTAAACAGAAGACCGTAATACTTAAAAAAATTATTTTTATTGTAATTCATGACGAAATACTAGTTAAACATTCCATGCTGCAGACAGATTTCGAAGGTTGGACCACCCGGGCTGAAACTTTTGCCTAATCACAAGTCAGAATGCTGTCTGGGCTGGCGGGCAGGCGGGCGGGAGCGGGACTGAAAAAACAGTCACACATAGACCTCTATATTGGAGTGTATCGAGTTATGCACTGTCCCCTCCCCTTTCTTCCTAGATGACTCCATAAGCATTCCCAGTGTGGTAAGTGAGCACGAGGCTTTCTTCCCCACTCTCATTACCCAGCGCCGGTTCTCCAGCCACGCTACGGGTTCCTCCTCCACCCAGCCAGAGCCGGGCCTCAGCACCATGCTGCCCAGCCACAGGTAAATCAGCTCCTGCTTCTGGTTCTGTCGCTAATGCCAACTGTGAAGTTCAGACCAAAACGACAATCATATAATAATACAAACTCCTTTGCTTTAGAGCGGAGTCAAGCATACTTCTCATTGAGACACTTGATGGGGTTTTCTGTTTTCTTCGTAGATTGCCAGTTTTGCTGGAGGTCACCACATTATATCTTATTCTGCAACATGAACTACATACATAACATAACCATGTCTTTTCTTTAAAGAGAGGGCTGATCGTGAGCTGTGGTTTGCATGCAACTTCAGTCTTTCCCCCTAACCTTGTTCCCTGCCCACTCTGCAGTGAACCCAATGTGCTAGATGAGTCCCAGGGGCTGCTGCAGGAGGGTAACCTCTCACGGTACAGTGTCATGGCCCTGTGTTTGCGGTGTCTCACTGTGTGTGTGCCGGGGCTGGGCCTGCCTTCCCTACTCATCACATCCACTGACTCCTCACAATGGATACACACTCTCTCCCTGTCTTCCTCGTTCTGTTTTTCTCTTCTTGTCCCCCCTTTCTCTGCCTTCTCTCTGTCGTCTGTCCTTCAGTTGGTCTTGTTCTGTTTACTCTTGTGTTCTGTTTTTTACTCTTAGTCTCTCAAACCCTTCTCTTTCCGTTTCTTGTTCTCTTTCTCTCTTTGTTACGGACAGTAATGCCCCTCTATTGTCACTGTGTGGTACTCATGTCATTTCCAGTGAGCCTCATGGTGCCATGGTGTCCATTCATGTTTCAGGCTTTTTTTCACTGCTCAAATTGGAGTTCCTCGCTGGGGTGCCAATCTGTGGGGCTCAGGAGTATGGTCTGGCAGGTGTAGATCGGGAATAATCATTTTCTGAAATATCAGGTTGTAGTACAGAATAAAATTCACTGGCTTTATTCATGACATTTCCGTACAAAACAGTTGAAATTATATCGATGGGCTTAAGACCCTGCCAACACCAACTCCTGTAAATCCCCTGTGGTGTTGTGAATGACATTGCAGGTTTCTGGCCTGCGATTCATGCTTCACAATTTGTCTTTGTCGCTGTGTTTGATTAGTGACCAACCTTGGAACTTTTGGGGAATTTGTGGGGCAGAAACACTTCCTCTAAACTCTCCTCTGTTCCTGGAGGATTTAACAGGGATTGTGTTCAGCTCTCTTAACCATTTGCACTCACCTCCTGCACTCTGTTTCTGCTCCTCGGGCTTATTCGGTAGGGTCGCAAGTGTCCAGAGCGAGCCTGGCCAGCAGAATCTCCTGCTTCAGCCACCACTCGGTCGTAAAAGGGGTCTTAGACAGGTGAGACATCTAAGCCATTAAGAGTTTCCTAAATTTTATTGAAATTTATACAACAGTTAGTTCCGGCCACGCAAGCTGATTGGTTGAGAAGCGTCTCTAACCGTTGCTGTTACTTCACCATAACATCACGTTTTTTTCACAAACACTGTATCACTCCGCTGAGGCGCCGTTGCTAAGCAACGACTTTGACAGCTGTAGGAGACGCTCAAACCATTTGACCGTTTTTACTTCTTACTTTGCCACAAACAGAAAATGGAAACTTTTAAGATCACATTTGACCGACAGCCGATTTGGTCCGACTCTGAAGATGAGACGACACTAAATTCCCAAACCGTCATCACCACTGAGCAGCTTTTCAGTCGGCAGCTGTGACAGAAGAACAGCTAAACAACCTGGAATCAGCCAGAAATGAACCCAACACCATTCGCCAAACTAAATGGGCTGTAAGATGCTTTACAGACTGGCTGGAACAAAACAACATTAATACTGATCTGGCAAAAACTGACAAAACTGAGCTGAACTTGATATTGCGGCAATTTTACGGCTCAGTCCGATTTGGTCAGACTTTGAAGATGAAACTACACGTTTGGCGAATGGTGTTGGGTTCATTTCTGGCTGATTCCAGGTTGTTCAGCTGTTCTTCTGTCACAGCTGCCGACTGAAAAGTTGCTCAGTGGTGACAGTTTGGGAATTTAGTGTAAGGAGCTGGAGAACGAACTGCCGGCTGTGCAGCGAGTGGGCGGAGTTCGTTACTCTGACGTAGCAACAAGCTGCTTGTTAAGGAACTATAATTTGGTGAAGGAGCTGCGAACATTAAAACATTAAACGCCGCGTTCACGGCCCAGTTTATTAATTTATCACTGTATTTATTTAACTGTTGTATAAAAGCAATAGAACACTCGAGGAGTGTGTTATCGCCAATAACATCACGGCTGTGATGATCTACGGCGACCAAATAACAGCCGTGATGTTATTTCGCGATAACACACTCCCTCTGTGTTCTACTGCTTAAATATTGTAGTTCTATTTAATATATAATAGTTTATAGAAAGAGAGCAGTTTTTCTTTTCTCCAGTTGTAAAGTTGGTGGGTTTTGTCTTGTAGCTTCGTCGGCCGCTGTTGTCCATTCCAAGGGTGCAGGACGAATCTCGTGGCCGGCAGGGAGCAAGGCTCTCAACCACACGCAGGAGCATTCAGCCCAAGAACAAAGCAATCGATAAAGGTTTGTACGTAAATATCATAAAATGACTTGTTGGAGCTAATTAGTGTTTAAATGGGACATCCAGACCTCAAAGAACATGATTCTTGGTTCTTTTCAACAAGTGCATGTTGATTAAGGCACATGGATTATTGTAAGTTGGTACATTATAGTGCTTTTCTTATGATTCTTGGCTGATCAAATTGCTCTACCTGTCCGATTTCTCTTTCATTAGCACATAATGACCAGAAGAGGTCAGTCACTTTCACAGAGACTCAGCAGGAAGCTTCTGGAAAGTCTCCTTCTGCTACACCCACACCTACACCCAGCACAGTGCTGCCTGGTGTGACCGAGTCCAGAAGATTAAGCCATGGCCGGGCCTCACCTTTAACCACTGCTCCTTCTGAGACTCCATCACCAACCCTCAAAGCTGACCAGCACAGCCTAGGGCGACCACAGGTGGGTTTTAGGCCCAATCCCATTTCTTCTTTTTACCCCTACCCCTTGTTTTCGAGTGTCACCCTAACCCCTGGGAACTGAGTTACAGGGTAGTGGTTGAAATCTTCCCTCTGAAATGGGACCCTCAAATAAAAAGAGCATTACTTCATTAACAGCTACTAGCGCTGCTCTGTAGGCGACCCTGCCAGTCTGCAGTGACAGCAGAGGAGGGTAAAGTTCAGCTCCTCACTGCTGGGCTTTAGTTACATTTAGGGCATCGTATGACTTCAAAGAGGGGGCAATTATTTATTATCACCCACCCCTAATTCTTCAGTGATATGAAGCTGAAGTCAGATATTCACCAGATTCTTGTTCGAATTTTCCCGTTTCACCTTAAATGGTGCAGCAGTTACATTCTGGTGCTTCAGGCGCCAGAACTGCTGGACTATTTAAGGTGGAATGGGAAAGTTAGCTAGCTAGCTACCGAGACATTAGCATGCTATTAGCGATTTTTTGTGCTTGTTATCAAGAAAACGACCAAAATAAATAGAAACGACATTAAACTAAGATAAAACAGTGGTTATCATAATTTTTTAACAGAGGAAATTCTCACATTTGTGAGTTTCTTTGGTCTCTTGTTCTCCATCTTGCTGTTTTTTCTTTTTTTTCATATCTCTCTGTTTGGAGTCTCTGAAAAAACTCCGTTTGGAGGGTCATGTAGCCCCAACACTTCACCCTACCCCTCTATCTCAACAACAATCGGGACACCCTACCCCTAGACGTGAACACGCAAAACAGAGGGCTAAGGGCTAAGTGGTAGGGGCGAGGGGTGAAATGGGATTGGGCCACAGTCTAGCCTCAAATTTCAGGCGATATTATATCTCATGTAGCCACTGCTGTGGAATCAGCATCATTTTAGAGGATGTGTCATTTTTTCCCCTTTTTTTTTTCAAAATTAATTTTGTATTTTGGCAAGCTACTGAAGTACACTTCTTAGCTGGAATTTGTAAGCAGAAGTTTCCATCGGGCTCAGTTAGATGTGACACTGTTCAGTTCCAAAGTGAGATCTGGGGCTGGGACTATTCTAGTGGCTCAGTACACAAGCATTGTAAATAACTGTAAATTCATAAGCTATCCACAACAGCAATAATAATAGTTATAATAAAAATTTGAATGATTACTCACACAAATGTATACATTACAAATCGTGGTAGTTTCTAATCTAATCTACTCTGCCTTTCCAGGCCTCACCTTTGGCCATGGGTAAAGAGAAGAGAGAGCAGGGCAGTGTTAGAAGCAGCCTGTCCCCAACGCCTTCCTCCGCTCCAACCTCCAGATCCTGCTCTCCCCTCCCTCCCCCACTCCCAGCCCTGAGTACCCCGGTTCGGCTTGCCGCGACCCAGATCCGCGAGAGCCCAGAGGATGAGGAGACCTCGGGGCTCCTGCAGAACACAGACACCTCGCTCCAGACGGGTGAGGAGCAGGGCACAGAGAACCCTTTACTCACATCGCTGCTCACACCTCACTCTCTGTCTCCTCTCCCCCTCTCTCCTGTAGACCTGGACCTGGATGAGTCCCATGTCTGAACTTATCAAAGCCATAACTCCTTACCTTTAAAAAATATCTCCAGCCATCATCTGGTAGATCAGGATGGGGAACGCTTACTTAAGCTCAAGGACATTTTAGAGAAACTGTGTTCAGAAATTAAAAGTATATATAATAGTGTATATGCACAGGTCAGCATGACCTGCATCCATCTGTGGTCATGTCTCATCCCAGCCTCATTTAAGACAATGCAGGGGAGTTAAATCATTTTATGCAGTGTTCCTATTCCTATCTTTCTGACCCCATCTGTCTGACCTCATAAAAATAGTTTTTGACCCATAGACAAGCCAGTGGTCCTTCTGTATACCTTTAATAATGAAGTTAATGCAAACCAGCTTGCTTTAAACATTCATTTGCCGCTGTGAGTCAAAAAGGACCTCATCCAACACCAAAAACAGACAGTTGGTCCATTCAGTTTCATTTAGTGGATCATAAATATAAAATTGAATAATATTATTTATTAATTAAATGTTTCACGATATGCTATGTAAATAAAGTATTTAATTATATACATTAAAGTAATTACATAGATTTAATATTTATCATTATCAGTCAATATTTATTATCAATATTATTTATTTTGGATAGTATGTATTAAAATAAATATCTGCAATGTTAATAATCTGAAATTTTATTTTCTACCAAGAGCCAGTTTCCCAGACCTAGATTAAGGCTACTCTTAGTCTAAAAAGAATTGGTCCAGTGGTGATTTACCATTGGCACTGCAATTTAGTCAAAGACTGGTCTTAATTCATGTCCAGGAAACTGGCCCATAGAGTTTCTAGACTCAGATTATGCCTAGTATTGTTTTAATAGGAGCGAAAGTCCATGGACAGTATAATCTACCACAAAACCAGGCTTAATCTGTAAACGAGTACAACAGGACCCTAGATGTGTAGCAGAGGTCTTGGCCAAATATTTAAAAAGGCAGTTTAAGTGCTGTGAAAGTTTGTATTTGTTGCAGAATTTGCCGACTACCTATATAAGTATACAGAGGTTATTATAATAAGTTAATGAAACGTAATGTTCTTCTGACAGAAACTGGTCTTATTGAACCAGTGAGTCAAATTCTTGTACACTTGGCCAAAGAGAAAACATTTGGATCTAGATGCAGCTTATAATTCAGCCAAATTATCCCGAATACATACCATATTGTAATAGCTTAAGCTAGCAAGGTGCCTGAGAAGGTTGAGAGATTGTCAATGTCAATGTTTGCGTTAATACAAATATGCAGTGTTCTGTGAGTCTGTCTGCTGTTTTTCTCGTCTGTAATGTGCTGCTATTTGTTGGACTTGTGCAATAAAACGTAATCCAACCATTATTTGGAAAGAACAAAGTACATTTTTCAAAAAATGTTGATACCTTTTTCAGTTTCAAGACATGCCTTCAAAACGAAAAATATGTCAGAATGTCTTAACCCTTGTGTGGTGTTGATGTGTGTGTTACTCAGTGGTCTGGTGGACCCACCGCATTATTGTTTGTTTAAATCAATACAGTCATAACAATTTATGTGAAAATACCAGATGTTTAGAATATCACAGGTGTCCAGCGTAGGGTTCTCCTTTAGCAGCTATAGCCAGTCAGCAGCCTGTCCATGTTGTCCACCCTCACACACACACACACACACACACACACACACTAACAGCAGGCCATGTAGGAGGAAAACAGAGTGAAGGACACAGCACCTCCACACTTTTACTCCCCGCAGGTTCACCCAACACCACATGTAATATAAATGTGTGGGGGGTGAACAGAGTGAAGACACTGAAAATGGGTTATTTTATATGTTCTTCATAGAAAATGAGCAAAGACCAAGAATCTGAGGTTGAAATAATAATAAATCACAATTTTTTCTTTTGGTAGACATTGAAAATGGGTCCCACAGACCTGAACACCACTCAAGGGTTAAGACATCTCGAGATAATGCTGAGCCCTAGTGTGCTGCAGAGCTTTAAATATTTGTTTGAACCTGAAGGGACAGACTGCTTCAGATACATTTGGACGTCATGTGTGGAGCTCAGGCAGGTTTAAATTTCACGTTTGGAGTCTCACAGCCTGCCTCCCAATTTTAACAGATTGCCTTCTTCCTTTCATTACCATAAAACATTTTTTTAACCTGACACGGTGGAGTCACTCACTCACTCACTCACTCACTAAGGCTATGAGAAAATGAATGCACAGGAAATAGCAAACTGATTCAGTGGAGGACAGTTTAGTGCAGCCAAAAAAATACTTAAAAGTCAAACTATGTAAGTTTTGTGGATTTGGGGAACTGGAGACCTCTAGTGGAAATGTGTGGAAGAACATTTTGTAATGTTGTTTGTGCTGTGAAACCCCCCAGCAGGTGAATCTGATGTTTGCAAGCCAAAGAGTATTCAAATACAGCTCAGTCAAAACTTGGCAAATGACGTATCTTCCAAGGATGTAAGTGAATCATCTACTATTGTCATCATATCTTCATCAGTACAGTGCTGATTTTGCATCTGAGGCGTATAAACACTGAGCTGGACCAACATCAGGGGTCGCAACCCAAACGTTAAGAAGAGCCATTTTGTCCTTTCAACAAAAATCAAACCACCTTGGGAGCCACATTTTATCCATTGTACCATCTTGGCTGTAAACAAGTCTCAGTATGTGCTGATGTTCTACTACAGGCTAACAAATATAAATGAAAACGCAGACTTACTTTGCTCTGCTTTAAGCTTTAGCTCAGCTATAGCCGCTTTTCTCGCATCTCCGGCAGGAAAAGCGGAATAATTTCTTGTAAAATGTCTCTCAACGTTTGACTTTTTCCAAAGCTGAAGTCGCATCTCATTCACCAGCTTCGTGTTCGAATTTCCTCGTTTCGCCTTAAATGGTGCCTGAGGCGGCAGAATAACTGCTGCATCTTTTAAAGTGGAACGGGAAAATTCGAACAAGAAGCTGGCGAATGAGAAACTGACTTCAGCTTCGTGACTTTTTAGTGTTTCACAGTTTCTCATGGCAGATTAAACACATCAGGAAACCATCTGGAGTGATTATAAATGCAAATAAATCCATTCGTCTCCAAATTATCAATGTTCGTCTTAAATCTCTCTCTTTGCCTTTTCAGCGAGATTCTTGTCTGCATTGCTATGGTGACCAGCAGTCTGCTCTGATCTTCAGGGTTAACGATCCGTTGAATGATCAGCAGAGCTTTATTTTACTGTAAAGGAGGATTATTTATTTTTAATCTGATTTTGTTTATATCTGACCAACATTGAGTTGACTGAAAAACTCAACTCTAAATTTTAATTGGTTATTTCAGGCTTTAAAGGTTGATCCACAGCAGCACACAGACACTGTATTTTAGTGTTTTTTGTTGTGTTTTTCAATGTTAACAAAACCAAAGTGTAGTCCATGGTGCAGCTTTAATTTGGTTGGGCAAAAAAACATTCTTTGTAAATTATAGAAAGCGTATTCAGTCTAAAAATGTTTGTAGTGTTCAAATGCACTGCTTAAAAAAGCACAACTCAAACTAAATGTTTTATAATATATATTATCCATATAATGAAAGCTACTATGAAAGTTGCTACACTGTGATTTAAGTGCTGCTCTCAGCAGAAATATCATCTTTTATTCAGCACTTTGGATGATGATGGGCTAGTATTAGTATAGTAGTATTTTCCTGAGCTATGGTCAGCTTCAGACTAAAAACTTGATAACGTGGGTTACGTTCTCGTGTGTTGTATTTGGGTTTGGTTTAAAATTTCAGGCCGGATTAAAGCTCTGCTGTGCCTGCCTACTTACCCTACACACTTCCCATGAAGCTCCACTGAAAACACATGCAAACGACACCAGATACAAAACACAGTACCGTTTATTGGTAGAAAGCAAACAGTTCTTGGATGTGAACGCGGAATCAATACGCACTTCACTTTTTGGCAACAAACGTCTCCAAGAGTTTAAACAGCCTGTCCTCCCTTGAAGCAGCTTCTCGATCTCTCCGCTCTTCCCTTTCTCTGTACTCTCTCTCTCTCCTCTCCTCTCTCGCCAGCAGCTCTCTCTCCCATCGCTCCTGTCTCGCAAGCATTTCTTGCTCCCTCCTTCTCTCTCTCTCCAGCGACTGCTTCTCTCGCTCCTCCTCTCTCTTCAAAGCCCGTCTGTCCCTTTCCTCCTCTCTCTCCACCGCCCGTCTCTCCCTCTCGTCCTCCCTCTCGGCCTCGCGCCTCTCTCGCTCCTCCTGCCTCCTCTCCAGCTCCTGCAGAGCTGCTAGCAAGTACTGCTCCTTTCTCCTCTTGATGGGCGGAGCTTCCTGACCTGACGAGGACACCAGAACAGGCGAACCGAAGTGGGTGGAGGCGCTGGATGGGCTGGAGAGAATGGACGGAGTGATGGTGATCTCGCCACTCAAGGCCTGATCCATGATAGCATACCACTTCCACTGAGAGGAGTTTGGGTCTCCTCCCAGCAGAGAGAGGCTTTTAATGTCCTGTAACAATGCATTGCAATAAGAGAGTAATTAGTCTTTGTAATTAGTCCTATTATACACAAAAGCATTCATATCATGGAAAGAAGTTAAGGGTCCACTCTCTTCGGCAAATCTAAGTAAAGATGCAAAGTTATGGGAATTGTGGGCCGATACGAACAAATTAATAAATGTGTAAACTGGGACTACATCTAGCATTATGAAGAAAAACAACATTTCAGATGGTTTATAAATGCAGTAAATTGAATCAAATGCAGATATTTTAGCACAGTAACTCAGCGTCACCTAAACATTCGGTTCTTACAATAAACACACCATCAAATATCGGTTTGAAATCGAAACATTTTTCTGATGCTGATTTTTTTAAGCAAATATCATCCAGTACCAATTCCAATATTATCGCACATCCCTAGCACTCGGCTCCAGTCGTGGCCATTGACCTGTACAATTTTGAGTATTTTCTGGCCCGACACACCTGATCCAGCTCATCAGGGTATTAGATTATTAAGCCATCTGTGAGCTTGATCAAGTGTGATGGAGCTGTGTAGGGCAGGGGTACTCCAGGAGTAACGTTAAGGGGGAATTCCACTAATTTTTAAAAATTTTTACATAATTCAATTGTTATTGTAAATGAAGTCATTAAAATTAGTTTAATGTGAAACGCTCCACTCTAGAGAAACCTGAACTAGAATTTTTCCCAGTGGTGGTGACAGGAAGCAGCTGAAGCATTTAATGTCACTAAGATCTAGAAATGTAGAAATATATGAAATGGTTATGGCATAAGTTGCCCACTGAGTTGCCTGCGAATTTGTTTTATGATAGTTTGGAGATAAAGTTTTGGCCTGAAATGCATTTTTTATGGAAGAGAGGAACATGCAGGGCCTTTTAGGGCAAAACTGTACTGAAATAAACCTTTTTTTTTCAGATTTACCACTATTTCACAATTATCAACATTATATTTAAAAACTCACATCAAACCACTCTGAATGACCTTCTTTACATCTCGACCATAGAATTTGCAGAAATTTAGAAATTCTGTGGAGTTCCTCTTTAAGAACAACTAGATTAGATAATTCAGCAACGTATCTATCTTCAGTAGAAGGCCTACAGAACAAAACAGGTGACCTTACCTTATATTTCTGTCTGAGGTTCTCCCATTTCTTTTTCACCCATGCTGGCGTCACCTTACCCTCCAGATCTTTCTCCTTGACAAACTGCCTGACGAATCAGAAATCAGTATTTTTTTTCGCATGCTAATAAACTGATTAAAAATAGCCATTACTGACTACAAGGTCACTCACTCAAAGGCTCTCAGGGCAGTATTCCTCTTGCCCGTGAATAAGCTGCTATTGCTGACACGCCACACAATAAGGTCTGCTGTGTTGGCATCAGTCCCTACAAGCAGACTACAGCCTTCAGACAGTTTCGGTTAACCAACATTTACACTCAAACATTTTCTGTGAAACGACATTAACACTCCGTCTTTAGCGTGTTTAAGTAACGGCACGGAACCTGCTATAGACCCTTATTGCACCCATGAAGCTAAATGTACATTAACGGGAATACTACCGAATAACGAGACGTGGAAAAAGTACAGAGAAGCTGTATGTGAGTCAAAGTGTGGAGCAAGAATACACACGAGAGAAGTATTTACATTTAAACACACTCATGTACACCGATCAGGCATAACATTATGACCACCTCCTTGTTTCTACGCTCATTGTCCATTTTATCAGCTCCACTTACTATATAGGTGCACTTTGTAGTTCTACAGTTACAGACTGTAGTCCATCTGTTTCTCTGATACTTTGTTAGCCCCCTTTTACCCTGTTCTTCAGTGGTCAGGTCCCCCATGGACCCTCACAGAGCAGGTACTATTTGGGTGGTGGGTCATTCTCAGCACTGCATTAACACTGACGTGGTGGTGGTGTGTTAGTGTGTGTTGTGCTGGTCTGAGTGGATCAGACACAGCAGTGCTGCTGGAGTTTTTAAACACCTCAGTGTCGCTGCTGGACTGAGAATAGTCCACCAACCAAAAATATCCAGCCAACAGCGTCCGGTGACCACTGATGAAGGACTAGAGGATGATTAGCTCATACTCTACAGCAGCAGATGAGCTATCGTCTTTGGCTTTACATCTACAGGGTGGACCAACAACGCAGGTGCGTCTAATAGAGTGGGCAGTGAGTGGACACAGCGTTTAAACTCCAGCAGCACTGCTGTGTCTGATCCACTCGCACCAGTGCAACACACACTAACACCACCACCACGTCAGTGTTACTGCAGTGCTGAGAATGACCCACCACCCAAATAGTACCTGCTCTGTGAGGGTCCATGGGGGACCTGACCACTGAAGAACAGGGTAAAAGGGGGCTAACAAAGTATCAGAGAAACAGATGGACTACAGTCTGTAACTGTAGAACTACAAAGTGCACCTATATAGTAAGTGGAGCTGATAAAATGGACAATGAGCGTAGAAACAAGGAGGTGGTCATAATGTTACGCCTGATCGGTGTGTGTTGTCTATATAGCAACAAGTAACAAACTGTAAAAACAGTGTTAAGTCAGCTTCTTGATTCCATGGCTTTTCGAGGTTTTGTCGAAAGGCTTATTTTCTCAAAATCTTGCTCCATCATGTCGGCGTAATTTCTTCACAAGTAATTACTTTCTCGCAATATCGACACAAGTCAACAGAGAGAGTCAAAACAGTGGGAAAATACGTATTTGAACATAAGTACAAATCTCAAATCATTTTTTTAAATAAGTAAAAATCACGAGATTCATAATTTCGAAATGATTAATCGAAATTTCGAGAAATCCTTTTTGTATTAAAAAAAAGTCTCGCTAATATTTTACTTTAATATGCTACCAAAAACAGAGACGGAAGGGATTTTTGTTCCTTCTTTCCTGGACGTTAAAGCAGAAAATCTCATTCTAAAGACTATAAATACTACTGCTGGACCACTGTAGGATGCAGGGGAGCATGTGGACAACAGATGTGGCAGTGATTTTATTTCCATAGTGCCCCTTTAAGTTTGGTAATAAAGTGCAAACACTTAAGTATTTCCCACCCCTGTGAATACCGTGTTAATTTCCAAATTTATTCGTTGTTTATTTAATAAATGCGATTAAAATAGTGAGCACTTTTACTAAAACGTGCTCCTATCATAGTCTGACACATCACCACAGCTGTATTTGATTTATTTCAGTACCTGGTTGTAACCAGACAGTTTTGGTCAAGACTCATCAGGTTAGTTTTACCTGGACAGTCCAGATAGTGTTAACCTAACCTACATCACACAGGTTCAAACAGCCAGCAGTAATAAAAATGATGCTACAGCTTCTCTGACTGACCATTAATGACCTGTGTTTTGAAACTAGAAGTGTTTCTAAAAAAAATCAGTGAAATGTGAGCATTTTAGGATTCCAACACACAGAAAACTGCGGTTAAAGGACTTTATTAACACCCAGATGCAACTTAATTTGGCGAATTTGTCGCAGAACTTCTGCTCGTCTGTGTCCTGAACTGCTCCTAACTGCGACTCCGTGATGAATGCTAATCACACAGCGGTCAAACCGAATCACACACTCTTCTAACTGTGCTGCAGATGCATAAATGAGGGGGAAAACACCTACATTTAAAGTTCCCGATGGTTCCGACCTCCAGCGTCACTTCTACCTCGCTCTCCATCTTATTTTTGTTTGTATTATTTTCTTTCTCAGTTCTCTTCTTCCAGCAGACGGTGAGAGCGCATTATCGCCCCCTGCAGGATGATAGGCGGAACACAGAACTCGGTGAATTCTGAGCACAGTGTTGGATGAACTGATGAACCGAGTCTACCTGGTTACTACGGAGCCCCGCTGGTGACATCCTGTATAAATAAAAAATAATGCGTGGCCACGCCTTATGAACGCGTGGGAACGAGATCCTAATGCGTGGCACGACTCAGTAAGGCGTGGGAATGAGATGATTAAGTTGTGGCCATGACTTAGTAAGGCGTGGGAATAAGATCACGGCGTACTAAGTCATGGCCACGCATTAGGATCTCGTTCCCACGCATTATTTTTATTTATACAGGATGTCACCAGCAGGGCTCCGTAAATATCTGACTCGAGCATGGCGAAGTAATTGCAGCTGCAGTCTAGACTACCGCGAATATTCTCTAGATCTTGATTCCATGGCTTTTCGAGGTTTTGTCGAAAGGCTTATTTTCTCAAAATCTTGCTCCGTTATGTCGGCGTAATTTCTTCACAAGTAATTACTTTCTCGCAGTATCGACACAAGTCAACAGAGAGAGTCAAAACAGTGGGAAAATACGTAATATATTTTTTTTAAATAAGTAAAAATCACGAGATTCATAATTTCGAAATGATTAATCGAAATTTCGAGAAATCCTTTTTGTATTAGTCCCGCTAATATTTTACTTTAATATGCTACCAAAAACAGAGACGGAAGGGATTTTTGTTCCTTTTTTCCAATGTCAGATTATTACAGAGATACATGTTGAGGGAAGGCAATTATAGTTCATAATATCACAAAAGCCATAAATAAAATAATAATAATAATAATTGTTATTTGTTATTACATATACATATATATGTGTTATAATATATATATATATATATATATATAAAAGTAAAAAGGTAAATACAGTTTTTTTGGTTTTCAATTTCAATTAACAAATACACGGTCTTCACATAAATCTCTTCTCTGGCGTTTACGTTTTATCATTCGACACTTATGACAATGTAATATGTAACAATATAATATAATATAATATAATACAATATAATATAATATAATAATTTAAACACGTCTTATGTTCACAACCTGTATTACAAAATAAAAGCAGCACCATGGAGTCATTAATATCAATAAGCATGTCTGCCTCTCTTCTCAGATCCGCGGTTGGAGAGCAGCATTGGAGACGTTATAAAGGCTTATAATAACAGGCTGTAGTTACAGAAATGTCTGATGGCAGGCGGGACCACTAGGTGGCGCCAACAAAACAAACGGAGCGGATGTGACGCAGCGGGCAGAAGGCACAGGGCGCTGCTACACGAAACTGTGTAGTCACTGTTTGAGCGTCTCGGGTCTGAATATAAAAACTCTTTTAGTAAATATTTCTGCTCTCGGTTTTCCTCCATCGCCGCCGTCATGGTAAGCCGCTCTGTGTCTCCTCTGTGTTTAGTGACGTTGACTGCGCGCCGCGCGGCTCCTCGGTAGACTGGTTAGCTCGTTAGCTAACAGCTAAGGCTGGACTGCGGTGTCACGATTACCGGCTGGAGAGACGTCTAACGGCTTCTTACCGTACTTTCACCAGTATTGGGTTAAGAATAGCTTTCTACCGCTGTTATAGTAACACTACAGCGAATTAAACGTGTCTAAGCGTACCTAAGTAATAGTAGTTAACTCGCTTGTTCTGAAAATGAAAGTGTTAGCTGACCAAGCTGGCTGACACAGCTAACCTAGGTTATCTGGCCACGAATTAGTGCTCGGTAGTTCCCATTAAACTATCCAAGTTACTCCAAAATACTAATGACCAGAGTGTTTAAAATGAACAAAAGCTGTAAATTAGAGTTTAGCTAATAAAATTGCGCGAGGTTTCACATACAGAAATCTGATAATATGGCCGTATATGCACATGCAAAGGGTCAGGTATATAATTCAAAGTATATGTAGATGTACGTCTACCCTATATATTGATCGTGCATATATGGTATATCAGGTACATGTGTCTGATGCACAGACTGAAAGATTTTTCAAAAGCAAAACTACACCAGAAACATACATTCAATAAAAAAACCTATTTTATCATATGAAGTTAGTATGTATGAGTAATACGTGCCATTTATATTTGTTACACATATATTTGTATATGTTGATAAATGGCCGAAAAGCATATACCATATTTTAAAACAGTCAATTTCAAGTAAGGCGTGTGTCACATATATGGCCATGTGTGTTAAATACATTGGTTATAAGGGAAAATCTATATATGTTAATGTGTCATATATTTGAAATCCATGTATTTCCATGTGTCAGATTTCTTAAAGGGTTGTTGCCTTTTGTTGTAGTCAAAAAGGAGCTGAAGCCGGCTTCATGCTGTTTGTACATAATCCTCATGAATTTTTATAATCTCTAGAAGTATGTGGGAGTTCATGTGTGAAGCTGTGTCAAAGAGAATGGTGTAACGCCTGTATAACAAACTGGGAAAGTGATTTAATTTGTTTTGTACACTACTGTATGCTTAGGCTTCTATGCAGCACACAGTGATATTTGGTTGGTTTATATATAATATACACATATACACCAATACTGATTGGTTGATTTTGATACCGATTCCTGAACGATAGTTTTTCAGTACCTTCTTTTAAATTACAAACTGAAAGTGGGTCTGGCTTAAATGAGAAAGAAGTGTCAAGTGCTGGAAGTGGATATTTTTACTGACTGCATAGTAAAAAAGAAGCCCTGATGTTGATAGATAGATACATAGATAGATAGATAGATAGATAGATAGATAAAGAGCAGAAAAATCATTACTTACCCATTCAAAGCTTGATTATCAGTAGAGAAACACCCCCAAAAAATACCATTTATTCATGATATGTTTATCAGTAGAGAGGCATAGTAACATGGATGGGCGATGTAATTTATTATAGATAGGTATCGATTTTGGAACAAGCTTTCTGATGCTAGTAAGATGGAATAAGAGTTGCTGGGATGTGATGAGGAAGGGAAATGAAGAAAAGCTATGCCTTGTCAGACTGTTTGTGTATTCAGATTTGGTGTAATCTTTCTCTTGCAGTCTATTATGTCATATAATGGAGGGGCCGTCATGGCCATGCGTGGGAAGGACTGTGTTGCAATTGCGTCAGACCGGAGGTTTGGCATCCAGGCACAGATGGTCACCACTGATTTTCAGAAGATCTTCCCCATGGGTGACAGACTCTACATTGGCCTGGCAGGCCTGGCCACTGATGTGCAGACAGTGTAAGCATGAATTCCTCCAGTCTCTCTTAACTTGTGTTTGGACTCTCTTTCTCTTGACGTTACACTGAAGAGCGGAAATCCACTGGTTTCGCGAAATTTCTGCACAATTAAATTGTTGTGTTTTTAAAGAATTTAATGCACTGGTGCTGATAGAAACCAGACTTCTGCCTCTACAAGCTACCTTACAGAAAGTAATTACATGAAATTGTTACAAATGTGTTTCCTACATTAATGGACGTATTGCATTAAGGTTTTGGCCTTAAATTATTATTATTATTTTATATACAACTATTATCTTCTGGTTACTTCTGTTTCAATCTCATCTACATTCTCACCTGAGGACAGTCTGTATACTAGCTCCCTCCGTCTTAACGTGGGCATTTAAAACCTTGCCATCCAAGCTAGGATAAATACATGTTGGGTGGAGAGGTATATGCAAGGTGTAGTAAAGAAAATCTTCTGTTATTAACAATACATATTGATGCTGTCCAAAGAAAACCATCTCCATTTTTTTCGATTTTTATTTTTCTACATCATTTCAACACACCAGCCTTTACATTGTGTGAAAATTTCATGATGATTGGACCAATAGAAATGCTCTAAAATCACTTGGAATAAAACCTTTTTACATTGACTTACATTGAAAGGTAAGAGTGTTTTTGCTCTCTCCTGTCTAGTTACTATTTTGGAGATACATGTTTTTCTTTGGACAGCGACGATATACATATACCCAGAAGTGTGGTATCACAGGTGGTTTTGAATAGTAAATAAAATGGCTATATATGCATTGTGGACATCACAACCCCTGGTTCCTACCACCACCACGATGAGGAAATCTCAGTTGATACGTTTCTCTACAATGCATCTTTTAACTTCAAACCACTCTGAATTACTTTGTTTACACCTTAATTACTGAATTATTCAGCAAAATTCCTTTTTAGCAAAACCTCCTCTGCTCCCAGCTGATAGGGAAGTAGTGCTTAAATCAGAGAAAGCCGAATTTGAATTTGGAACTTGTCCTGAAAATCTCACCTCAGATCCCAATCTTGAATTTTTAACCTGTATTTCAGTTACAGACACACAGTAAATGAATAGAAACAAATATAGGCTATACATATCTATCAGGAACAACTTAAAATAGTTAGTTGTGCCTTTGTACTTTGGTTATTTCAGACATATCTGACCTGTCATTGTTTTTTTTCTTCCACCATCAGGTCCCAAAGGCTCAAATTCCGCCTGAACCTGTATGAGCTAAAAGAGGGTCGTCAGATCAAGCCTAAGACCTTCATGAGCATGGTGTCCAACCTGTTGTATGAGAGGAGGCAAGTATGAGGCTACCCATCTTAAGCCAGACATACACTGTGCGATTTTAGTCGGACTGAGTATTTTCATACAGTGTGAGCACATAAATCATAGGCTTTGGCTGAACATGAGGGGCGATTCAAACATATATTGTGTGAGTCAACAAAGATTTCTAAAATCACTCAGTGTATGTCTGGCTTTAGACATGCTGTTGCTGTGCTTGGCTTAGAAAACTAATTAAAAAGTTGAATTTATCCAGTTTCCTAACAGCTGTTAAAACAAATAAGGAACTGAGGCTTTTACTTCTTCAGCCTTGCATTGATGCTTTGCTATATGAATGATCTGTTAACAGTGTCTGAAGAAACCTTTGAAGAACATGAGACAAATGCTTCTATATGAAAGCCTTAAACAAAGGGATCCTGACTTTCCTGTCTTAGGTTTGGACCCTACTACATCGAGCCTGTGATTGCTGGTCTAGACCCAAAAACCTTTGAGCCTTTCATCTGCTCTTTGGACCTGATTGGATGCCCCATGGTAACAGAAGATTTCGTGGTCAGTGGCACATGCTCAGAGCAGATGTACGGCATGTGCGAGTCGCTATGGGAACCTGACATGGTGAGTGGATCATTAGCATCCATAACAGAGCTTATATTACCAGTGTGACTGGTCATTAAGATTAAATCTTCTCTCTCTGCTCTGTGTTCTGATGTGTTCTCCACTGGTTATTGTCCTGTTCAGGGGCCAGAAGACCTGTTTGAGACCATTTCACAGGCAATGCTGAATGCTGTAGATAGAGATGCTGTTTCTGGTATGGGAGTTATAGTCCATGTCATGTGAGTATCGCCCGTCTGCCTTTGTTTTTGTTCCTCTTTGTTAATTAATCCAGCACACATGAATGAACCTGCAGGCCCTCTCAGTGCTTGGTTTCCCTTAGGCCTGTCACGACCATGAAATTTTAGCAGACAGTTAATTGACTATAAATAATTGCAATTAACAGTTTAATTGTCTTTTCCTTGTTCTTTATATGCATGTATTAAGTACAGCCCAAAAGTGGCCAAATTGCCACATTAGCCATCTTGATTCCCTGCTATGTTTGCTCAGTAGATGACACTGGTAGTACTGTTGAAGTGGTACACACCAGTGGTGGGTGCACACTCTCACAAATATCGACAGTTACACAAAATCATGTGTAAAGTCAAACACAGCTTGTGTTATTTCTTGAAAGTGAAAATATAACCAACTCATACATGCTCAAAACATTAGAATTAGCTACATAGCTAACAAATTAATAAACGTTACTCATGCTGCCCTCTAAATATGTTAGTGCCAAATTAGACGTTTTTGTTTTCATAAGCCCTGTGATGTGTCTCAATTAATGCATTTACTGCTTTCTTTTATTTACATGCATTTGTCTCAAATAGCTAATACTGTAATACTCTCAAATGGGTACAACACTCCTAGTTCACATTTTGTTTGTTGTGGCTTAATATTATTGTGAAATATAATGCAGAAACTGATAATAATACACTGATAAACTGAAAAGATTTAATTATTTTTCTGTGTTGTGATGGCTGTGGGCTTCACACATGCAAGATGCAAGGGATATCAGTGATTTGTTGATTACTGCCGCCTTTATTAGAGCTATAAAATAATAAAATGGTGCTTTACCATATATATATATATATATATATATGGTAAAGCACAATTTATATATATATATATATATATATATATATATATATATATATATATATATATATATATATATATATATATTTACCATATATATATATATGGTAAAGCACAAATATATATATATATATATATATATATATATATATATATATATATATATATATACTTCCAGGGTTGTATATTTTTATTCAAAACCAACAACTGATGTAACTGTTGTGTCTGTTTTCTTTTCCCCAGTGAGAAAGATAAGATCACCACGCGAACCCTGAAGGCCAGAATGGACTAGAGAAAACTGCTACTGATTTCTGATTTCCCTTTCTCTTTCGAATCTTCTTTTTGTACTGCAATACATCACAGTTCTGGTCCAGAAGTAGTTCTTTTTAACACAATACTCAATAAATTGATCTAGTTATTGATTCTGTGCAGCAGTCTTTTTTTTGTGCGTGCAAACACTCATACTTCACAAGCACACGATTGCTCTTTTTTCTATGATAACTGCTAACTTACATATCGCTGTGTCAGAAGAAAACCTCGCATCTCCATTTTTGTCGTTTTTCAGTTTTTGACATAATTTGAAAATACCTGTTGCCTTTACATTGTGAGTAAATGAGGAATGGACCAAAAAAACATCCCAAAATGACTTGGTAGGGAAAAAAGTCTGGTTCCATTGACTTACATTAAAAGCAAAGTAGTTTTTTCCTTCTCCTGTGAAGATCCGAGGTTTTCTTCCAACAACAGCAAAATGTTTAACGTGGCCTAAAACCCATCACTGTTTGTAGTCAGCATGGGTGGTGCTACATGGGTCCCCCCCAGCTAGGGCCTCTATCTGGGCTTCCTAAGTGACTGTCTGCTGTGGTCTATGGAATTTTCCGGTCAGCTCTGGGAACTGTCTGTGTATGTGATGTGTTGTTTTACATGTTGTGGATTATTATGTTTTTTACTATGAAATGTTCTTGGGTTTGGGAAAGGCACTATGTAAATTAAACATTATTATTATTATTATTATTATTATTATTAATCAAGTCAGTTTAAAAGGCTGTATTGTGTTTTATACTCTGACTTTGAACTGATTCGGTAGAATAATCCATATAACAGAGTAGTTTGGTACTTAAAAGCCATTCAGAAACATAGCAAATCAAATGTTACGGTTTTGTAATATTAAGCATTTTAATGATTTTTTATTTTTTGTAGCCTATATACAGCTTTGTCTGCCATGATGCTTAGTTTCACTTGATTGCCTTTGAGGGCGCATCTAACGAGGGGCTTGCTCAAATAGTATTGGAACAGGTGGCAGATGTACATATCCGGTAAGAATTTGTGCACACGTGTTGTTTGGGTGGAGAAGCCATTATTTTAAGAACTACATAGTGCACCATATAAGGAGTAGAGAGACATTTGAATTTCTGCCATAGTAATTTTTCCTGCTCAAAACCAACTTCAGCACAGGAAGGCCTTGTTAATAGGCTCACTATCTGGATCAGGCGTGCTGGCACAAATAAAACTAATGTGGGTCAGGACAAGGGGAACTGACTTAATCTATTGAAATGAATGGGCCAGGACGTGTTACGCAAATTAATTTCTGTGGCCAGAATGTCACTAATGAGTGGTGTTTCACCATTCTGAATCATAGGGCTGCGATTCGATGCCAAAATGAATCATTCCTTCCATTCCGGGCGTTCGAGAATCCAGAGTCGACTCCAAAGCTGCGGACTCGATTCATCAAAGTGACGTTGGAGTTTCCCGGTACCGGCGTGAACACAGCGTGAAATAGCCTGTCAATGTTCAGACAGTGTGTGTGAAAATACACTCTTCCACAACTCGCACACCAATAAACCGGCGGTGTTTTACTTTAGACAAAGTGGAGAAAAAAGGAAAATGAAAAATTTCCCCCCAACCTAGATGCCGCGTTGGGTCCAGCCAGGCACGTCAACGGCGCCGCCATTTTAGGGCGGTCAACATCGCTGCTGGACTGCATTCAGTACCATTACAGAGCGACAGTTCAAGGAAGATACTGTCCAAAATTACACTATTTCAATAATATTGCTCTCAGAAAGTGGGATAGGATTATATAACGCAGGGAACGCAGCGACCCACACTCATGTTTGTGTGGTGTTTATGTAGATATGGTCGTGTGGTTGGTGATGCACAGAGAACCTGCTGATGTGATTGTTTCTCCTCTGGTTTTTTATTAAGCTTTCATTTAATAGTCCTTACACTCCTTGATCCGTGTAGATATTCATAATAGATTTACACCTTATTACAAGAACCTGAAGTCAGCTTCTTATTTGCCAGCTTCTTGTTCGATTTTTCCCATTCCATCTTAAATGGTGCAGCTTCAGGCACCAGAAAGTAACTGCTGAACCTTTTAAGGTGGAATGGGAGAACTTGAAAAGGAACCTGGCGAATAGGAAGCCAACTTCAGCTTGGTCCTTCTTACTGTGTTTTGAGTAAGAATATTTTTTATGTTTATTAAGATTAGAAGTGATTCACACATTGATGGATTTGCTGGTGTGTCTGATTGTGTTTCTCGCGCTAAACTCGGTTTTTAACGTCAGGTGCAGACTGAATACTTTCCTGCTGGTCCGGACGGCTAATTATCACGATCAGTTATTAAAGTAATAAAAGCTACCGAGAGCAGATCCGCGCAGCCTGGATTAATCTGTGTCTGAGGATTATAACAAAACAGATTTGGTGAAAGTCGGTTGAGTAATAAGGAAGATGTGGCTGATTTAATCCTGAGACTCATCGTCTCTCAGTACAAGTGAATCTGTTCACAAGCGGATCTTGACCTCTCCAACATGGCGGACGCGCAGACGTATCGGTGTCTCCACTGCCGTCAGTGGAGTCGGAATCGGAGTCGACTCCGAAATGTCCGGAATCGAACTGATCCGTTGAATCAAACCTATCACAACACAGAGGTGTGGCAAAAGCGGAGGGAACTGAGGGAGATGATTGGTCAGGTTCTCCAGGATCGTCACTGCCGTGCGCCGCATATTTGCCCACCCCTCAGAAATACCCGGTTCAGAGAGGTGGTCGGTGCAGTCACGCGGCTCCGGCGCGAAGGTCAAGAGTGATTCGCGGTGGTCATGTCCGAATCGTGGCTCTACCCCACCGTCCTGCTATGTATATACGGGTTTTTCTGCAGCCTCAGGCCGTCCGAGCCTTTCATCACCGCCTTTCTGATGGGACCTGACAAGAACCTCACGGAGACGGAGGTGAGCTCGCGTGCGTGTGACGGGCGATGACGCAGCACGTGTTACCTGCGTGCTTCGTTTAAAACGCGTTGCATCAGCTTTGATGTCCAGACTAAGCGTGTTTATTTCATCACTGCTGTTACCTGCATTGTATGTTAAGTAGCCGTTATAACTGTGTGCTCGGTTGGTCGACCCACGTTAACTGGATGAGATGTCCGGGCTTCTTAATCCCTCTGAGATTAATACGTCCGCACAAATTAATCCCAGAATAATTAACAGAAGTTGCATCACGAGGCTTTATGTCTGAGGTTTCCATCGTTCTTTCAAGTGGGTCACCTTTCAAGGTTAAATGACTTGGTTCTCTTCCTTCAGGGGTCCCAGGAAAACATGAGAAAACTGCTAAAAATGTACTGAAATTCTTAGTCCTTAAAAAAGTATAATGTGTTTTATTGATAATCCTGTTAAAAGGCATTTAATGGAAGTCATACAAGCAGAAAAAAGTAAGATCAGAGAAAGGAGAACAGCTGAGAGTCACTGTCTATGTCAGGGGTCTATAATTAAAATTCAATAAGGTCCAGTTAGGGAGATTATCCTCAAGCAAAGGTCCAGAACATCATAATGTCTAACTTGCATCATGATTCAGTGCCATAGACTGTTTACTGAAGTAGCCTAGTAGTTATATCAGTATCTTATACAGTCAACAACTGAATGTCAAATCAAATAGAGTGCAATTCAGTCATATTTCAGGAATATTTATTGTCAGTTTTCTCTTTTTTTAGAGTACATCATGTAAAATAACTTTCCTCTGACTCACTTTCCTCTCCAACTGCCGTTTCTCGCCTCGTCCCTCCCCTGTGTGTGCGTCACTCACTCGAGTCTCGAGTAGGAGAGATGGCCAAGAGGCTGACCGAGTTGAAATCCTCACCAGACTTGAGAATTTGGCTCTGAACTAAGATGCTGAGATGTTCTCTAATTTTTTTTTAATACAATCCTTAAAAGCTGAGCTACACACTTAAAAAAGATTCTTCAGGGCTCCTTTAGTTAAAGCAGTGATTCTTTCCAGAGCAACGAGTTCTTTACGGAAGCTTTAATGCTTAAATGATGGTGAAAATGGTTTGTAATAAATTAATAAAGAACTCTTAAAGAACCATCTTTTTTAAGTGTGTATATAGATGTATTTTCAGAAAGGTTCTGCTATAGAACCCTAAACAACACATTCTCCATCAATCTGAAGAAGGATTTCACCATGCAAAGAACGCTTTAAGCATACAAATGTTTTTTTGAGTGTTCATGGTTCTATATAGAACAATGTAATAAAGAACTCTTAAAGAACCATCTTTTTTAAGTGTGTATAAAGAAGAATTTTCAGAAAGGTTCTGCTATAGAACCTGAACAGCACATTCTTTATGAGTCTGAAGAACCGTTTCACCATACAGAGATCCATTTAGGTATGGAATAGTTCTGTATGGCACTCATGGTTCTAAATAGAATGATTGCCTTTACTAAAGAACCCTTGAAGAAGTGCGTAGTGTGCTAGATGGTCAAGGGATGTAAAAAATTTTAGCCCTTGTAACAAATGACGGTATTTGTGACATTTTTGTGAAAATCATATAAGCATGATATGGCAATGGTTGATGCCCTGTACTTAAAATAAAGGGGTCGCTAATTAAGCAATAAAACACAGAGGGAGTGTGTTATCGCGAAATAACATCACGGCTGTGATTTGGTCGCCGTAGATCATCACAGCCGTGATGTTATTGGCGATAACACACTCCTCGAGTGTTCTATTGCTTTTATACAACAGTTAAATAAATACAGTAATAAATTAATAAACTGGGCCGTGAACGCGGCGTTTAATAGGTTTTAATGTTCGCAGTTCCTTCACCAAATTATAGTTCCTTAACGAGCAGCTTGTTGCTACGTCAGAGTAACGAGCTCCGCCCACTCGCTGCACAGCCGGCAGTTCGTTCTCCAGCTCCTCACACTAAATTCCCAATCTGTCATCACCACTGAGCAGCTTTTTTTAGTTTTTATTGCTGCAGTTTTATGGCTCAGTCTGATTTGGTCAGACTCTGAAGATCAGACTACACGTTTGGCGAATGGTGTTGGGTTCATTTCTGGCTGATTCCAGGTTGTTTAGCTGTTCTTCTGTCTCAGCTGCCGACTGAAAAGCTGCTCAGTGGTGATGACAGTTTAGGAATTTAGTGTCGTCTCATCTTCAGAGACTGACCAAATCGGCTGTCGGTCAAATGTGATCTTAAAAGTGTCCATTTTCTGTTTGTGGCAAAGAAGTAGAAACGTTTAGATGGCTTGAGCGTCTCCTACAGCTGTCAAAGTCGTTGCTTAGCAACAGCGGTCTCAGCGGAGTGATACAGTGTTTGTGAAAAACTTGTGATGTTTTGGCAAAATAACAGCACAGTTAGAGACGCTTCTCAACCAATCAGCTTACATGACCGGAACTGTTGTATAAAACGTAAATAAAGCATAGTTTAGCTTTTTAATGTAAAAGGCTGTACAAAATAAAATGGAAAACAAAATAACTGATAATCCAAAAAAGAGTGGAATGATTAATGAGTGTTTTTTTTGTCTTGTTTTGTTTTGTTTTTTTTTTGTTGGAGGGGCTCTGTTGATCTTAACTGTCCTTTTTTATTGTAAACGAATTTAACAATGTAGTTTCCAATATTTCAGTAAAATTTACAACAGCTGCCTGAGGAATGGTTTGCTGATTATGTGCACCTGTGTTTCAGTGGGTTGTTATGGATTGTATTGCTAACTTTAAGGTTAAGGATGTCAGCAAATGCAAGTCATTTTAATATGACCTTCCATGAGAAACGGCTGTCATGCATGAGAACTGGGAACGTGAGCTTTTTGATAATGCCTGTTTAACTTTCCTCTACAGGTTGTGAATGAAATCTATCCACTATGGACGTACTCGTACCTTATTCTGCTGTTTCCTGTGTTCCTGGCCACGGACTACCTCTGCTACAAGCCAGTGCTCATCCTCCAAGCAGCCAGCTTCATAGTGACTTACACCATGCTGGTGAAAGCCCAGGGTGTGCTCGCCATGCAGCTCCTGGAGTTCTTCTTTGGTGTGGCCACGGCCACCGAGGTAGCGTACTACTCCTACATCTACAGCGTAGTGGAGCCGGCCAATTATCAAAGGGTGACCGGTTTCTGCCGCAGCATCACTCTGCTGGGATCGGCTGTAGGCTCTCTTACTGGACAGCTCTTGGTGTCTGTGGCCCAGGTTCCCTATCTTTACCTCGCCATCATCACCCTGGCTTCCTCTTGCCTAGCCTTTCTGGCACCGTGGTTCCTGCCAATGCCCAGCAGGAGCCTGTTTTTCCACCGGAAAGATAGCGTTCCCCAGGAAAGGACGGCCGAGGAGCCCGTGGATGGTCGTGTGCTTATTGAGAAGTCGGAAGACTCTGAATGCAAAGTTCCCCTCAATGTAGATGAAAGCACTGTGGTGAGTGGCTTCTCAATTACTAGTACCAAAACCTGTGAAACCTGTTTGTTAGTGTTCACACCAGGAAGAATAGACTTCTTTTATATGGATGTGATCATTGTTGGAACTAAGTAAATCGCTGTTGTTGGAAGAAAATTCCAAAATGGTAACTTTACAGGAGAAGGAAAAAACCTACTTTACTTTTAATGCAAGTCTATGGAACCAGAATTTTTTCCAAGTCATTTTAGCTCATTTCTTTTAGTCCATTCATCATGAAATTTACGTACAATGTAAAGAGCAACAGGTATTTTCAAATTATGTCAACAACTGAAAAAAGCAGATGCGAAGTTTTCTTCCGACAGCAGCGAAATGCTTTGAAATGAATGAGCCACAACGAAACCTGTTTTTCCTTTGTTTTTCCAGGTTCTCAAGGAAAAGCATGGTGGCAATGGAGGTCTGATTGAAGTTGTGAAAATCCTTTGGGCAGATTTTGTGGAGTGTTACTCATGCCGTCCTCTGCTTGCCTGGTCTGTTTGGTGGGCTCTGTCCACCTGCGGCTATTTCCAGGTGATCAATTATGCTCAAGCGCTGTGGGAGAAGATTCTGCCGTCGAAGGAGTCCGAGATCTACAATGGTTATGTTGAGACCGCATCGACTTTGCTTGGTATGTAAAGGTCACATACAAAAAGATTATCAGGGTTATTTATGTTAAATTGTGCATTTTTTAATGTTTATTTTAAACTGTTCAAACCTTTGTAGCTACAGTGAAAGTCACCTGCCACAAGTGTTTCACCAGCTTATATTGTTGTCAGTTGCTGGGTAATTTATCATAGCACGACTAAGATATAAATTAGAAATGTTTGATAAACACCCATTCATAATTTATTTGATGTGTCAGAAAGCACGATAAGAATATTACAAATTGGAATTTAAATATAAAGATTTTAAATAGGAATTCAATACAAACCCCTACAAAGTTGCGACAGTATCTGGAATGATTGAGTTAAATTGCAAACTGCACAAAAATATGATGTTTTATGTCTAGCCTTATGAACATGTTGAAATTATTATTATTATTATTATTATTATTATTATTATTATTATTGTTGTTGTTGTTTTATTTTTTTTATTTTTGATAAATACATGCACATTCCAGGAGCATGACAGGACAGGATGTTTACTGCTGTGCTACATTATCTTTCCTTTTAACAGCACTTAATAAACATTGGGGGACTGAACACACCAATTGATCCAGTTTTGACAGCACATGCAGACAAGCCTTCAGCTGAGGAAATATAATTTCGTTGCCTTCGTTGTCGTATTTTGCACGTTTTCAGTAGGAGACAGGTAGTCTCTGATTAATCATGCTGTTGAAACACGTGCAGAATGTTTCTTGTCATTATGTGGTAATAAGATTGAATGTCCCTGAAAAAGACGGTGTCTAAAAGGCAGCATACGCTGCTCCAACATGAGTATATATCTTTTTAGCGTTAACGGCGTTTTCACAGATGTGCGTATTAGCCAAGCCATGACAGACCCTGGCTTTTGAAGTTTATGCTGGTAACAGTCTGGACGGTCCTTTGCCTCTTTGCCCAGAGAACACAACGTCCATTTTTGCCATAAACAATGTGAAACACTGAATCGTCAGCCCACAATGCACATTTCCACCGTGCATCAGTCCATTTCGAAAGGGCTTTGGTCCAGAAAAGTCGGCAGTGTTTCTGCTTTTGTGGATGAGGAGTGAGCAGCGTTTATTGACCGTGCTTTGTCAGTGTATTCCTGAGCCCGTGTGGCGACACCCATCACAGATACATACCGGTTTTTCATGAAGTGCTGTCTGAAGGATTGAAGGTCACAGGCAGTTCATGGTTTTTTGTTTTTTTTTTGCTTTGCCCAATATGCACAGACGCTTTTCCAGATTCCCTGAATCATTGGTTAATATTATGCACTGTAGAGGGTGACGTAATTAAAATCCTCCCTCACTGCAGAATGTTGTCAGTTATGCTATTTGCTGACGCAAGTTTCAGCAAAGTGGCGAGCCATGATTCATCCTTGCTCATAAAGGAAAAGGCCTTTACTGGATGCTCCTTTTATAGCCTTTTACATGACATCACTTCTTTTAAAATGTTATCTGAACATTTAACTTCATTCCTAGTCTGGCATCAATTTCAGAATGAGGATACATTTACATAAAAACAATGAAGTTGACAGGATGAAACAATGAAAATATTGCCTTTTGTAGTGTTTTCGTTCAAATACAGGTCAAATTGAATTTACACATTTTGAAATTTGCATTTCACATGGGTTTGTAGAAAAAGTAGCTCTCATATTTTTATTAACACAAAAAGAAAATAATTTAAAAAAAAAACATCTCAGCAGACCAACACGTCCCTCAAAGCACAGGCTTGGACAAAGCAGAAACACCTTTACGCAAATAGTATTTATGATATAGCGGCTCTTCATATAATTAATACATAACAAATCTATTATAGTGCAGATTTGGATCCGTTCACAAACATAACACAAAGTTATTGATGAAGTTCAGTCGACAAAGATGACGTCCATGTGGGTCTCTCACTCTAAGTCAGGCCTCAAAGTTTCCCAAATAATCTCCTAAAAGTGACCTTTCACCCAGTTCTACAATGATGGAAAAACAATTCCAGTTCCATAACCATCGACCCCCCCGTGTCTGGAGGGATAGCTTGGAGACTGGCAAAGTCCTTATCTTATGTCACGATAACTTTCTCAAGGAACAAGGACTCTCCAAACACCATGATGTCCATGAAGAGAACGAACACAACATAACATACCAGACGTCTCACAGAGACACACAAGCAAGGCGAATACATTGCTGGGTATAAGAATCAGATTATTAAGAAGTATATTTTGCACTCTCAGAAATAAAGCTACTAAACTGTCCCTGTCTCAGTGCCCCTCTTGTCACTGGGGTGGTTCCCTCAAGGGTCCATCTCAGTGCCTTTAGTCAGGGAACATAACTGAACCATAATCCACTGAAATGATATGTTCTAAGCTGTACTGACTCCACACACCCCGTCTCGTCTCCAGGCTTTTATTTTACTGTTCTGTTTTAAAACATTCGGTTATGAAAAGGTACAAATACAAACTTTTCAGCTGGATAAACTTATTTAAGGTTCACAATCAGACCTTAAAACCACTGTTGTAGCTTTGAGGGAACATTTACACTGTTTATACTTTAATGAACAACAAAGGGACCTTTATTTCTAACAGTGTGTATAAAAACATGGTAATTTGATTACAGAGGATAATTCACACCCCTTCACAGTGTAAAGGACCTTGCACCCATGCTCACTGGACATTTTATCAGGTAAAAATTAACCCGAGACACTCAAACTGCAGCAATACAGACAAATGTGGCACATCTGTGTTGGTGTTCCTGCTGTACTGGGAAATGGTACATCACCCAGATTCTGCTTGGTCAGCAGAGGTTTTGTGGTGGCCTCTATGTTGATGATAAGGGGTGGAGAGTGGCCGAGAACAACAGATCCAGTCAAGAATTGTATATGTTTAAAAGTGCATCTATTCAGTAGGTGATCTTGATAAATTGGCCAGTGAGTGTGGGTACAAATATCAACATAGCCATTTTCATCTGAGACATTTACCCCCAGTTATGCTTTGATTGCTGCTGCACTGAATTTGATTTTTAAATCCTAATTCTAGTTTTGAAATGTTTCTGAAAGTTCACTCACGGGTTCCTTTTGGATGTTTTCAGGTGCGCTGGCTGCCTTCGGGGTAGGCTTTGTGAAGGTGTCTTGGGCAGTTTGGGGAGAACTGGCTCTCTGTGTTTTCTCTGTGGTCATCGCTGTAGCTGTCTACCTCATGGACACAGTCAGGAACATCTGGGTGTGCTACACTTCCTATGTTCTCTTCCGAGCGACCTACATGTTGCTCATCACCATAGCAACGTAAGTGTGGCCTTGTTGAAATGGATTTTTTGTTCACTCTTTAATTTTATTATTAGTTTATTCTTGTAAATAACAGTGAAAAGAAGCATGTAATGCAGAAGCCCTGCAGTGATCGAATCTTTGATGCATACGTTTTGTGACAGGTACCAGATCGCGGCCAATCTAAACATGAGAAGATACGCCTTAGTGTTTGGAGTGAACACTTTCATTGCACTTGTACTGCAAACTCTTCTTACTGTGATTGTGGTCGACTCCGCTGGCCTGGGTCTTGACATCTTTCCGCAGGTAAAAAGTTAACATTTCAAGTTTACTCACATTTTGCTGATACAGGTTGCTGATTTGTTGCATTTTTTCCCTTCCGCAGTTTCTGATCTATGGCAGTTACTTCGCTGCCATAGCAGTGATCTTCCTCATAGCTGGCATTTATAAAGTGGCTACACGCCGTAGGTCTAACGGTGCCGAGGTACAGACTGAAAGTGGGGAGACGGAAACAGACTCGGCTGGTGGTGACCATCCACTCCCTAAAGAAAGCAATGGTATTTCGAAGGCATGATTTCGGCGATTGCACACTGTTACTGCACAGATACGCACAAGTTTCTGCGCTGAAAAGTGGTGATGTTTGTGAAAAGCCCCTGTCTGGATAGTCTGAGGCTATTAATGTTCAGCTTGGAACAGAAGATGGTGAAGTTAAAAGGGAGTTCCACTGAATTTTCAGAATTTCTGCAAAAATTAAGTATTGGAGATGTAAACAAGGCCATTCAGAGTGGTTTGATGTAAAATAATTCATTGTAGTAAAACTTTTGGACTTGGATTTCTTTATAGTGGTGGTGAGGAACCAGATGTCTTCAATGTAAATACAGCCAAAACAACCAGTACATCTACCTTCGTCTTCTGAATTTTTATATGCAACGTTGACACTGATAAAATAGTGGTAAATCCAAAAAAAATAATGTTTTCTTCAGATTTTGCCTTGCATTTACCTCTCCGCCATGGATGGACATAGGTTTTGGGCCAACATCTTATCACAAAACTGTTTTAAAACAACCTCATGTGCACCGGCCAGTGTATTAATATCCATTTCATGTAATAAGTTTTCGTGAAGATGCTTTCAGAGGCGTTACACGCTTCAGATGTCTGGTTCCTATCACCACCACTGTGAACAATTCTGACTCTAAAGCTTCTCTAAAATTAACCATTTCACATCAAACCACTCCGAATGTCTTTGTTTACATCTTATTCATGGGATTATAAAGAAATTCTGTAGAAATCAGTGGAAATTTCTTTTAAGGATATAGTATGATATCTGTAGTATTTCAGCAATAACAGCCATGATTGTTAGTCATCATCTCTAAGCACACTAATGTGGATGTGCTCAGCACATCCTAAGAAACACCTGTTTCTGACTTATAGACACTTGAACATGCGCGCAGATCAAGCTTTAAAGATCATACTAGTAATATATTAAGTCATATCTTGTAGATATGGAGGCTTTGATTGTTCTTTAAAGTTAAAAACCTTTTGTTATCAATCATGTATTGTATTGTGGTACAGTTAGCTCTCGTTTTAAATGAGACTTTATTCTGCCTTACATTTGAGGTGTTTCTCCTTGAGAATTTAGGCCGTTTTGCTACGGCAAAAAAAAACAGAACAAATATTATCCCTCTTATTCGTACATCTAGTTATGACAATCCCACTTTGGCGTTCTCTAGATCGCAGGCTGTACTCTGATTGTGTCACATTCCTGTAAGCCTCACCTATTTGCCAATCACCGAACAGTGAGTTCTTGGCTGTTGCAATGCTGCAACTTCCACAAATCTTGCCTTTTATGCTGAAGATTGCCTTTGATCTTCATTTATCGATTATCGCACTTGACTTTGGCCTTTCCCTCGTCTTTTTTCCAACTATACATCAGTGTGTTTGACCACACATGATTTAAGTCTGTCATATTTCTCTTTGTGTCTTACATTTAGCAGTGTTTTTGGTGTTTTTTTTTCTTACACATGCCTTTTATGGTCAGTTGGTTTAGAGCCACCCGGTACAACTAATTCTCATATTTGATAAGTCGCCTTAAGCCAAGCAGGTTAAAAGAACGGGATATTTCAATTGGATCTGCACGACTGAAACGCTTTATCTGATTATAGGTTGTCTAAATCAGTAACACGTACTGTTATCTAATGCATATCTACTGTGCAGAGGCTTTAATAGTGTTCCAAAATATTACAATGTGCTTTAATTGCACTTTCATAATGACACCAAAATAAACTGATTTGAAGACAGTTGCGTATTTAACTGTAAGTAGTTACCAAGTAAGATAAATATTTGTCGCTAAAAACTGGAAAAGCACATTGTATGTGCATGTATGTTATGCGATGCAAAAACTCTCCAACCAGCAGTACTTATAACATGAAAACTACTTGTATTTTACTCTAAAGTTAATATATGATAATATAACAGTTGTAAGGTAGAAGCGGTGAAGTAGACTATTTTCTTGACTGTGGTATTTGTCTGGTATTAAATGCTATATGGTTCTGTCTTGCCTTTGTAATGAGTCTGGAACAAAGATCTTGGTTTGTTTTTGGTTTTTATTTAATTCTTCAAAAACTACAATGTTATATAAAACTGTTGGTCAGTTTTAGCCCAACAAATCAAGGAAAACTGGCACACTTCGAGACTGCTTAGACCTCCATAAGAACAGGTACACTAAAGAAATACAATAAAAACACAGTTTATTCATCACTATTTAGACAAAGTGAGTTCATTAGAACTGTCACAGATGAATTTTACATTTACTGGAGTCTATAGTTGACCATTATTGTATAATGGTTTTATACATAAATGCCTTTGTTCTGCTGAAGCTTTCTGTGTATCTTTCAATGTGAAATCTTGTTTAATGCATCACCAAACTATGAATTAGATTTATTTCTGCACTGTAAATGCAGAAATAAACTAACTAAGTTATGATTTAAATTATGTAGTTCCAAAAATGTATATGTATATTTAGGAATGTTTTTATATTTACTTTCAGTTTTAATGTCTATATAACTCATGAGTTACAAATTAACAGTAAAATTATTTTTTCCACTACGATATTTTTCCATTAATAAACGAAGTTAAAACTTCAGCGTGTATGTGTTTAAGTTTGGACTCACAATTCAAAAGTTTGGGATCAATGTTTTCAACAAAATTATTAATTGTGGATCAGACACAGCAGTGCTGCTGGAGTTTTTAAACACCTCAGTGTCACTGCTGGACTGAGAATAGTCCACCAACCAAAAATATCCAGCCAACAGCGTCCTGTGGGCAGCGTCCTGTGACCACTGATGAAGGACTAGAGGATGACCAACACAAACTGTGCAGCAGCAGATGAGCTATCGTCTCTGACTTTACATCTACAAGGTGGACCGACAAGGTAGGAGTGTCTAATAGAGTGGACACAGTGTTTAAAAACTCCAGCAGCACTGCTGTCTGATCCACTCAGACCAGCACAACACGCACTAACACACCACCACCACGTCAGTGTTACTGCAGTGCTGAGAATGATCCACCACCCAAATAGTACCTGCTCTGTGAGGGTCCATGGGGGTCCTGACCACTGAAGAACAGGGTAAAAGGGGGCTAACAAAGTATGCAGAGAAACAGATGGACTACAGTCTGTAACTGTAGAACTACAAAGTGCACCTATATAGTAAGTGGAGCTGATAAAATGGACAATGAGTGTAGAAACAAGGAGGTGGTCATAATGTTACGCCTGATCGGTGTATGTACACATTTTAAAGATTCTACTTTACATTAATTGTTATGCTCTGATAACAGATTTTGTAGAGAAAGAATAAGAAAAAAAAACAGCCCTTTTGACCCCACTGTGTCTGTGTGTGAAATATATATTTTTAATGATCTTTGGACAGGACTAGACTTTGAGCCCGAGATTCCCTTTGATTGGATTTTTCAAAGGACATTATAAACTGTGTAGTTCATGTCACAGACCGACAGGGGGCAGTACAACATATGAAATCAGGAAAAAATGGAACCAGATGTAAGAACCCATACAACAAATACCCAAATTAACACCCCCAACCCCCTCAAAAAATAACACAGTTTGTAAAAACAAGTAGTTTGATTAGCACTCTACAACAACTATTAAAAAAACAAAACGCTAAATAAATTGGAGTAACATTCTACAAATGTTTTGATGTTTTGTTCTAAACAGTAAAATAAAAACAAACCCGTATAAACTGGAGTACATTCAGACAACAAAGTAAACACAAAAAAAAACACTGTGTCGCTGCCAACGTTCCCATAAACTGTGATCCTGAACTCGCTAATGACACGTATGAGTCATCTAATACAAACAAGCACAGAAAGGAGGAAAAAAGAGAGGGAAAAAAAGAACCCTTTACAGCAAAGCCTTAAATCTAAGCAAAATAACACTAACGCTATCAAATTTAGTGCCGTCTTGGTGATAATTCTGTGTGACCAATAAGCACAGCTGCTGTGTTTTATCATTATTTCTGGATTTCCATTTTCCCTGCATTGTAAAAGAGGAAGACTCACTCAGCGCTCAGACTCAGCGGCCTTTTCTACTGCCCTCTTAGTAGCCATAACCATGATGGTAGCCCTCATGATAACCATCGTGGTGACCATAGTCATCCTCTGGACAGCGCATGCCGAGTGAGAGCTGGATGGCCATCTCCTGCCTGCGGAGCTGCATGGAGTCGATCAGGTCATAGATGATGGACATGGACCACATGGGTGACGGGTACCAGGACTTAACGTTGCCATCTTTCCCCACCAGCAGCATGGAGAAGTACTCCGGACTGACCTGGAAATAGTTCCTGATGTCACGCACCAGGGAGGCAGACAGGTCCTCGCGGTCCACAGTTGCACTTCCTGTGACAGAAGCAGGGACGGGTGGGTTAAGTGAGTAATCTGACAAACCGTCCCTCCAAAACTGATACTGAAATCTCGAGTATTGGCCCATTTTTAAAATAAAAAATAGCCTTTTTTAACTGAAACACTTTGTTTAAGACTTGGACCCAGTCCCATTTTCTATTTTTACACCTACTCCTTGTTTTTGGGTGTCACTTTGCCCCTTGGAACTGAGTTACAAGGGGTAGTGGTTGAAATCTTGCCCTACAAAATGGGACCCTCAAATAAAAAGAGCATCACTTCATTAACAGCTACTGGCGCTGCTCTGTAGGCGACCCTGCCAGTCTGCAGTGACAGCAGAGGAGGGTAAAGTTCAGCTCCTCACTGCTGGGCTTTAGTTACATTTAGGGCATCATATGCCTTCAAAGAGGGGGGCAATTATTTATTATAGCCCACCCCTAATTCTTCAGTGATATGAAGCTGAAGTCAGATATTCACCAGATTCTTGTTCGAATATTCCTGTTCCACCTTAAGTGGTGCAGCAGTTCTGATGCCTGAGGCGCCAGAATGTGAATGCTGCACCATTTAAGGTGGAACGGGGAATTTAGCTTGCTACCAAGACATTAGCATACTACTAATGATTTTTATGGACAATAATATATTGAAACGAAAAGATAATACAGTGGTTATCTTAATTTTCTAACATAAAATTCTCACATTTGTGGGTTTCTTTGGTCTCTTGTTCAGCCATCTTGCTGGTTTTTCTTTTTTTCTCATAACTCTCTGTTTGGAGTCTCTGAAAAACCTCAGTTTGGAGGGTCATGTAGCCCAAACACTTCACCCTTCCCCTCTATCTCAACAAAAATCAGGACACCCTACCCCTGGATGTGAACACAGAGGGGTAGGGCTAAGTGGTAGGGGCGAGGGGCGAAATGGGATTGGGCTTCAGTATTGTGTAGAGATGGCATATCTGTATCAGTGGGTGTCAGTGTCGGTCAGAAGGCAAAAAAAAAAGAATGAATCTGATTCAGAATTTTTTTGCTACTATTGGCCCGATACTAGTACCCATTGATACAGATGTGCTATCTGTACTAATGATACTAAAAGAAAGACATAACACTGAATTAGTAATACAGCATTGTGCAAAAGCCTCAAGCTATCTGAGAATATTTTTTAGGACTTATCTGGGCAGCAAGCATTGGAAAAACAGCTCTCCTATGCTGTTTCTTGCCTCTTTCTGGTCTGATAAATAGCCTTAAACAACTTTCTTGGGTGGCCTCAGACTTTTGCAGGCATATGCACAGACAGACTCCGAGGGGGGCTCAAGCTGACAGTTTAAGTGCCCTCTTGCCCGCCATGTATAATATTAGTGTGTTATATGTAGATTCTTTAAGATTCATTTCGTGGCGAGGCGAGGCTTCACCCCACAAATATAGCATGTGGGTCTCTTTTAAGGCCCACTCTGGAGCAGTACTGGCACCAAAGTTGATTTGACCTCAGTCACTCTGATCTGTGATGGAAGCATATATCGCCATGATGCTGGAAATCCCACCAACAAAACACTGAAAATCTGAAGCATTAAATGATTTTAACCAACAATTAAACATTACGTTGGCAGTAAGTGGCATTAGTAACTTGGTAAAGTATGTTTTTGTTATTGCTAAAAACAAGTTTATGTGAGGCTGTGGGCTGTGTGGAGCTTGTAAATATATAGTATATTATATATTTATTTGTATCACTGATCAGCAATTAGAGAGCAGAGTAGGTAACGGTAGCAGGCAGTATGGCCAAAAATGTATAACACAATATACTTTTATTTTCAAATAAAACTGTTTAAGATGCTTATCTAAACCTAAACCTTTGTAGGTTAACAGTGGAACATTATTCTGGGATGTTCCATCACCTTTAGTAAGAATCATCTTTAACAACCAAAGTAAATCTGAAATATTTTAGTGCAAAACAGGAAAAACAAAACTGAGCAATTCATAGATAAACCTATAGCAATATACTGCTTTTTTACCACTCGCTCCTTGGGCTCAGCAAAAACTGTGCTAACTGTTTTTTCTTCATTTCAGTATTTAGGCTGCAGAAAAGTGAAGCTTCTTGTTTTTAGTTTGACTTTTTCCCCACCGTAAATGAAGCAGCAGTTACATTCTGCCACCGGCTGCATCATTTATGGTGGAACAGGAAATCTGAATAAAGGCCAACTTCAGCTTCACTGTATTTCTCAAGTCTCATACATGTTTCCCAGACACTCATGACTCTGCTGGAATTTGGAAAGCACTACAGTCATTCACGCTTCAGTACCAGCAAGTCCACGGCTTGTTGCACAGACAAGGCCCCGAGACTCTGATGCTGCTGATCGAGTCAGGCAGCTTCTCAGGCGGTACAAGAGGAAGTGTGGCAATGGTGTCCATAATAGGTTCCATAATAACTCTAACCTAAAAGACCTGCCATTGCTTTGTGTCCCTTTCAGACGCAATGGGCTAGACAGCGGGATCTCGTTGTAGGAGCTGCGTTTTCATTTTCGTTTGAAATGTGACTAAAACATCTGTGACTCAGCTAAACGGGATAGCGCTAGCATGGTTTGCAGTCTTTGTATATTGCACAATCTGTGCAAACAAGTTATGACAAAACTCATACCAGAGGAAGGATTTTAACCAGTATACCCAGTATACCTATGTATACTGTATAAACCAGTATCACTATGTTGCTCTCCTTGAAATATGATTTGACTGTTTCTCTATATAAGAATGTTAGAAATATGCTGTAAAGTGTCAATTTAACCTTTGTGTGGTGTTGATGTGTGTGTTACTCGGTGGTCTGGTGGACCCACCACACTATTGTTTTTTTCAATCAATACAGTAATCAATCCAGCCATAACAATTTATGTAAAAATACCAGATGTTTAAAATATCAGAAGTGTCTAGCGTAGAGCTCTCCTTTAGCAGCTGTAGCCAGTCAGCAGCCTGTCCATGTTGTCCATGTTGTCCACCCTCACACTAACACCATGTAGGAGGAGAACAGAGTGAAGGACACAGCACCTCCACACTTTTACTCCCTGCGGGTTCAGCCAACACCACATGTGTAATATAAATGTGTGGGGGGTGAACAGAGTGAAGACACTGAAAATGGGTTGTTTTATATGTTCTTCACAGAAAATGAGCAAAGACCAAGAAATCTGGGGTGGAAATAATTATAAATTGCATAATTTTTTCTTTCGGTAAACAATGAAAATGGGTCCTCAACACCACA